ATGTTTAGGCATTCTAGAATAGAATTACTCTAAAAGAAAATAAAAAAAGTAGTTCTTAAAGACATTCTATAACTAAAACACTTATGTATAAAGGTACTATAAGAGTGTAACTTATGCTATAAAAACAATCTCTAAAGATATAAACTATATAGATAACTTTAGCTAATTACAGCACCTAAATAACTCTAGACTATAGTAATAATAGACTTTATAATAAAATTACTACTATCCTGTAAACCTAGTACAGAAAGGCTTTGTAATATAATTATAGTAGTAGTTAATAAAACTACTAAGTTTGTTCTTATATAGGTAACAGAGAAAAGCATAACAGTAAAAGAATTTATGTTTAAACTAAAAAAGAACCTTTTTATAACATATAAATGCTTATAGATTATTATTTTAAATAAAAATAAACTTTTTACTAGCAAATATTAGATAACTATAGTTTAACACTTTAAGATAATTTATAAACTCTCTATAGCCTATTACCTTTAGACAGATAGACAGACAGAATAAATAAACACAAAAATAGAAAAGTATCTATAAAAATATGTTTTATATAAATAAACAGACTAGCTAGAATAGTTGCTAATAGCTTAGTTAGCTATTAACACTACACAGTCTACCTTAACTAAGATAACTCTATATAAAGTAAACTTTAGCTACTTATATTAATATAAGCTTTTTAGAACTTAGCTAATAAATTTACTAGAAGCCTTAAACTAAACAACATAACTATTAAAAATACATTAGAAACTAGGTAAAAAAGCCTAGATAGCAGTAAAAGCTATAAAAGTATTAGTAAATTAACACTAATAAATAGCGCTAAAAATATATCCCTATAATTATGTATATTTAGATACTATAAACTTTAAAAACTCTTAACTAGCATAAAAGCTAGCTAAAAAATAAATAAAACTTTATAAAGTTATTTAAACCTACTTAAAAGCATGTAAGCTTAAATTACTAAAGAATATAAAGATCTTCCTATAGTTCTATGTTTTTAAGCTAGAACTAGCACCTAAAAATATCCTGTTAGCAACTTAAAAATAGGATAAAAAAGAACTTAAATACAAAGTTAAGAAAATCTTAGATAAAAAAAGAAACTGTTACTTAATAAAGTAGGTAGGATACTTAACCTATAAAAACACCTAGGAACCTGCTATAAACCTATAGAATGCCTAGAAGGCGCTAAAGGAATATTACTTACGCCTTTTAGATTAAACTACTTAGGTAAAAGTTTACATAACTAAAAAACATCCTTACTAGCTAGAACTACAGCATTAGTTAGCTGTAATGTAGGAAGACTACGCCCCTTTAACACTAGCTAAGGTAAAGAAAGGCTAGCTACTTTTACCTTAAGTGCTTTAAGCTTATCTAAGAAGGAAAAGTCTTTTTTTAAATATTTTACCCTTTAATCTGCTAGAAGATTAAGTTGCTTTTACACTCTCTTCTAATAAGCTACTAAGGACTATAGGTGTGCTAAGGACTTTTTTTTTTTACATATCTTATCTTTTTAAGCCTTTTTTAACTTTACTTATAATCTTTTCTGCTTCTTCTTTAAACAATCCTAAGACGCATCTAACATAAATGTATTATAATAACACCCTTTTTAAACACACTCTACACACTTGTCTAATAATAGGGACATTATGTAAGAGGAACTGCTTAAACAACAGGCGCTATAAGGACGCATTTTTGTGTAACAGAGCAGATTAAGTTAGGCAACAGTCTAAAGGCAACAAATAGAGGTAGAAAGACAAGGAGCCTAGTAGGGCATAGTTAAAAAGGATAAGCATATGTTAAGCATTTATAAAAGGACACGCACTAGCTAAAAAGAAAACCTAACACTTACAACAGAAAAAACATAACAGCAAAGACGCTAACTAGAAGGGAAGCCTACGTGTTATAGCTAACAAACAGCTTGTAATAAGTTAGCTTGCTATTACGCATAGCCTTAAGCATAGCAGATAGAAAACAGTTAACCCTGTAATTAGCAGACTTTATAACTAAACAGAAAAGGAATAGCGCTATTTTATAGATAAATGCTTAGCAGAATGCGTTATCTAATAAGATATTGCAGGCTTGCGCGCTTATAGGCTACAAAGAAAAACAGCATGCAAACATGCAAGCATGTAACTATTATGTATATAGTCTTAATCTTAACTATAGTTTAAAAGTTGTAATTAATGTTTAGTTTATTTTTTATAATAGACTAAAAAGCTTAAATCTTTTTTAAAGAGGATTAAGCTGCCTTATATATCTTATAATATATATACCTCTAACCTTTATCTACCTAACTAGTAACACCTAGCTACCTATACAGCTATAGGGACAAACCACAGCCTGCCTTCTAAAACCCTAATTATCCCTTACTCTGCTAAACAGACTGTACACTTAATCTAGCTAAGTTCTTACCCTCTTTTTTTGTTAACACTGCATAGGCTGTTGTACTTTAGAAATTACTATTTCTCTAAAGTAAGAATTGTAACAGCTATATTGCCTATTAGTGTAGTACACGTCCTAGGATTTGTTTATAAATGCATTGTTCTGTTAATTAATTATAACCTAAAGTGCTAAACAGAGGTTACTATACAGTGCTTTACATATAGGCTTAATTAAGAACATTACTTATTTAAGTTTAAGTTGCCCTTAGCATGCTTATATAACAGTAGTGTAAAGTAGTATCTTGCCTTAGAATTATAAACTAAAAGCTTTTTATATAAGAGTAAGTTTATTAATTATAGCTTTAAAAGCTTTATATAAAGTTTTTATAAAGTTCTTTTACTTACTTTATGTAAAGCTTATTATTATCTAATTTATCTAATACTAGTTATAGTTTATGTTAGTATTAAAGTAATTACTAAGCTGCTTATACAGTAACTTCTATAATTATCCTAGACTAATATTATAAAGGTAGAACATGTGTGCGCGCCTTTTAAAGATATTAGGAAAGATGCTTATATACAATGCCTTAAAAATAGCAAGGTGTTAGCAGAGCTTAATAAATACTATAGCCTTATTAGCTAAAATATTATATAGTTGCTTTATATAGTTATTTTTCTTTCTTTATGCCTTTTAGAATTATATAACCTTCTTAGGCGTAAGGTTCTCTACTATAATATCTTGTGTAAGTAAAAGTTAGTATAGATTATATAGTAATTAAATTATATATAGTAGGTACAAGCTTTAGGGAATCTTATGTAGAGCTGTAGCTACAGGAACATGTAGCTGCCTAGTTATGCTCTTATATAGTAAGCTATTACAAGGTAGTTGTACTAATTATAGAGAAAGTATTAAGTCTATAGGTAATTTATATAGAGACATTTTTTATTATGTTAAGACTAGTAATAGTAGTAATAGTTTTATATAATACTTTAGTAAGATAGTAAACATGTGTTCTTCTTTTATAAGTTTATATAGTGTAGTAGCCTTTATTATGTTTTTCTTAAAGCTAATGCCCTTATTTTATAGAGTAGTAATTAGTTTTTATAAAAATAGTTAGCTAAAATTTTTAAAGTGTATAAGCTTCTACTTTATAAAGTTATTTTAAAAGTTCTTAAGCATATGTACATCTATTATGCTTAATGCGTAAAGTTCTATAATTAAGTTAGCTGCATATAAATTAAGCTTATTTTTAAGTGTGTTATTTAATAGTTTAATTTTATTTACTTAATCTTTAATGTTTATTTGCTTTACTAAGGTCTTTACTAAGATGCTTATAAAAGGTATATATTAGTTATACATTAATATGTTATGTTAGCTAGTTATAGATAGAGCTAGTGTTGCTTATTGCTTTATAGTAGTTAATTATGCGTTGTTGCGCACTGTCTTACTTCTTATTATACGCTGCCTTTAAACAGCCTTATGTAAAAAGATAAAATAAACCTTCTAGTATTAAATAAGCACTACTATTTATATAATACCTTTAAATAGTATTATACAGATAGGTTTTTTACTCTTACTTAAGTAACTAAATAGAGATTTATAGCTACTTATATATAAATTAAACTTTATTTTTACTTTTACTAATTTATAGTTAAAGTAGTAAGGAAAAGAATTCTTTTTATACATAAACTTTTAAATAAAAAAGTATAAAAAAAGCTTTTTTTTTTATAGTATTTAAACTACTAATTAGTGTTAAATAGACTCTTTGCTAGCTAGCACTTAGTGTTAGCAAATGCATATAAGATAGAGAGGTTTGCACAGTGTAAACATTGCACAGGGGTGTTAGGTAACTAGTGTTAATTGCTTCTTGTTTTTCCTCTGTACAGAGGAAAAGGGGGATATCTAGATGTTCGCGCACAGAGGTTCGCGCACGAGCATCATGTGACATAGATACGTGATCCTGCTCGTGCGTGATCGCTCGTATCCAGGCCGCGACGCTGCTGCTGCGTACGGACACAGCACGTTATCTTTATTATCCAACCACCACCACAGCGCACCCAACCAAGAGTATCTACCCCCAACATTTCCAACTTCTTCCCGCTCGGTCTTCCCCTTCCCACCACATGTTCTTTCATGATATGATTTTTTGAAGACAGTTCCTGGTAGGGGATGTAAAGGTGTTGAGACACACTTCCCTCGCATGAACCTGAGAAGAAAGGTTTTTAGAACGCAGCTTCGAGCGGCTTGAAACCATTTACCACTCTAGATATGGACGCTGACATGTCTGGACTCTGAGCGGTAATTTGGCAAGACGCCCCATGCTAGGGGAGAAGTATGTTTTTAAAGGGTTACAATCCCCCCATCGTATTCTCAGAGCAAGAAATTTGGAGGCAGACGAGGGGAATAAGTTTATAAAGATAGGAAAGCAGAGAAGGGGGAGGCGTGTATAACCCTAAGGTCAACAGGACTAATGTTGAGTTATTAAGCGCTTAGTCAAGCAGTGGAAGCTTAAGGCATCGATGTGAACGAAGGCAAGATATGGTACTTCTCAGTCTGATTTCGTAGGATGAGCTATGATTTCACAGAACTGGCAATTTAAAATCATACATATTACACTTTTCAATACAGCTAGCCATCCATGCTTCTAGCAGAGGATTTATCTACTTTTCTAAAGCCTTCAGCCTCTTGAGTCCAGCTACTGCATTGACCTGACCCTCCGCATATCCGATTGCTTTGGCCAGCGATGCGGCTTCCTCGTACTTCTGCTGGGCTTCCTTGGCCATTCCTTCCATTTCTAGAAACTCTCCCAGATTATGCGTGGCTACGGCACATCCGATATCGCATTCTTCGTTTCTATCTGGAGGAGCAATGGCCGCGGCTCGCTCGATCGCCTGGTTCGCCCATTTCCGAGCCTGGTCTACCAGAGCAGCTCTGGATGGTGGGGGGGTGTTCGGAAATGAAGTCGATGTGGAAGTGGACGATGATGGAGGTGGCGTCTGCTGGGCGAGACATGTGGAGATGTTGTTCACTATTAAAACGTGATGAGTGATTGCCAATGCAAGGAGACTGGAAGGACTCACTTAGTACGACGCCATGACAGGATTTCGGCGGACACAGCGCCAGAGCTTGGAGGAATAGTGGCGTGGCTAGATAGTGGGAATTATTCAGCTCGTAGTGGTGGGCGAGAGCTACAGTCGAGTCAGTGGCTGCCCATCCTGGCGGCATGTGGTCGCACTAAGATAGACGGTGAGGAGAGGAGATGCGGGTGCGTGGAACATGTTGAGACAAACATACACTCCATTGTGCCGCCCATTTCCTCATCTGTCATCCATTCGCCCTCCCCTTGTTTCACGCCGTCTTGCTCCCGCCTGCTCTTTTCTCTCAATGCGGTCTCCACCGCCTCTGTGAGCCGCTTCTCCGCCTGCTCCGGCTCATTCACGTATTTGGTGTTGTAGAGCTCCGCGAGCTTGACGTTGCATTCCACGATTCTCTTCAGTATCCGTGACCGCATGCCATCGCCCCAATGCTTGTCGCCGAATTCTTCGATGAAGCGCTCACAATCTGCCCGCATGATCTCTAGCACATCGCAGGCCAGCTGGTAGTGCCCTGCCCGCTCAAACAGGTAGGATATTGCGAGCTTGACTCCGAGGATCTCATCGCTGAACGGATCCATGCCCACCTCATTCGCGACCTGTAGGGCCTGGCGGAAGTACTTGTTCGCCTCCCGGAGGTCCATGTTGCGTCCACGACTGTAGAATATGGCCCGGCGCAGCTTCTTCGCGACGGGCTCGGGGAAGTTGTGGTATGGCCTGATGATATAGTTCTGGTAATAGTAGGGGATAAAGAAGACGCCAATTGCAGAAACGAGCAGGAGACTGTACAATTGAGAGTTAGCCTGGACAGACTGGAGGTCCGGAGCAGACATGCTTGCCTTCCGACTGCGATGGGGAATAGGATGGGACTCTTGTGGTATTGCTCTTTTAGCTGCTGGGCAAAGGTGGATTTCTGGCGTCTCCCGCATTGCTGCAGCATAGGTCGCCATACTCGCAAGGGGAGTTTGTCAAAGATGAGCACCTGCGGACGGGCTTCGCATTGGGCAAAGCGGCCTATTCGCGGGACAGCGCGAGGGATTGCTCTTGAGAACATGATCGTGCGTGACAGACGAAACGCTGTCCAACGAATACGAGTGAGGGGCGAGGGGCTTGTCTTTCACTCGCAATTGATGAGGGGAAAGAGCCCGTGAGCCCGTTCGCGATTTCCTTCGTAGGGCTGAAGCTCGTCTCGCTCTTGCATGACGTTTGGCCGCGGGCCAATCACGGCAACGCCTACAGCTCCGCACCACAGGCTGCCCTCCAAACACCAAACAATGCACTGAACACACCAAAGAATGTGCGGCCGATATGCACTGGCCCTGGTACGGCCCTCTGCCCGAGTTCGCATCCACGTCTAACATGGGTTGCAGCGGCCCTCTGAGGTGCGCCGTCAGCTGGAGCAGTCGCATATGGCAGTTGACGACGCCCCAGACGACGACTACACAGGACTTCGACAGAGCTACAATTTCGCCCCCGGCTACCATGGCCTTGTCTACCGAGCAGGTAGTCCCGGCTTTGGAAGGAGCAAGCCAACGGACGAGACGGTCCGGAAGGAAGGCATGAAGGCGGACGACGAGGTCGCGCCTGCCCCAGCCGTTCCAGCGGAGGGGCACCACAACACAAAATACAACCTGCAGGCTATGAAATGGGGTGAGGCGCCTGATCCATTTCTCACCGATCGCTCCTATGCTCTGTCTCTCTGTCTCTCATATGGCGGTGCTGACAACAACATGCGTCTTCAGGTCTCGTCCCCTTCTGGACCAAGCGCAACCCCGACTATGCATCTATGATGAGGACTATCAACTGTCGTGACGACTCGTTATACGAGGATCGTGGCATGTGGACAAGCATGAAAAAGAAGAAGCGCTGTATTGTCGTCGCACAGGGCTTCTACGAATGGCTAAAGAAGAACAACGGCAAGGAAAAGATACCGCATTTCACTAGGCGCAAGGATGGTCAGTTGATGTGCTTTGCTGGCCTGTGGGATTGTGTAAAGTTCGAAGGTTGGTCCTACTCTCGTCCTTCTGCACGGCCGTGGACTCGCACACCGCAAGATAGGCCTTCTGCTGCTCGTAGCCGCCCATTGCAGCTGCATGTTGTAATCGCGCATCTCATCTCAGATGTGCCACGTTTTCCTTGCCCCGTGTCGCCTGGCCTATGCTGAGACTGACACTCGCTCTCCCCCCAGACTCTGACGAGCTGCTTTACACCTATGCTATCGTCACTACCGACTCAAACAAGCAACTCAACTTCTTGCACGACCGCATGCCTGTCATCCTTGAAAATGGCTCGGAGGCGATCAGGACCTGGTTGGACCCCAACCGCTCTGAATGGAGTAAGGACTTGCAATCGCTCTTACAGCCTTATGAAGGTGAGCTGGAGTGCTATCCGGTAAGCAAAGAAGTGGGCAAAGTCGGTAACAACTCGCCCGCGTTTGTCGTGCCTATCAATAGCGCTGAAAACAAGAATAATATTGCAAACTTCTTTGGGAATCAACGAAAGGCCGTCAAAGCCAAGGAGACCGAGAATGCCATCGGTAAAGTGGAGCGTGACTTGGAGGCCTCGAAGACGAAAGGAGTTAAAATCGAACACGGCGTCAATGACTCTCGTGAAACTAAGATCCGCGTAGAGGGAACCGAAGAGAATGCGCCATTGTCAGTACCAGCCTCATTGCCTCCTTTGGCTGCCGAGGCTTCAAAGGGCATTAAGCGGGACCGCAGCGAAGGAGGCGACGACGATGATGGTGATGCAACAGCAGGTGTTCCCCAAGAAAAGCGGATGATCCCCGTCATGTCTCGACCACTCAGCAAATCCCCAAAAAAGAGCCCGGTCAAATCGCCTGCAAAGACGGCGAAGAAGGGCAGAAGCGCTACTAGCAACGGGAGCGCAGCAAAGAGCAGTCCGGCGAAGGGCGATGGCAGTCGGAAAATCACGTCGTTTTTCAGTAAGTGATATTTGAAATATACAATGCTACCGGGCCTACCGGAGTTGTGGGCTCGGGCAAGGCGACAGTGGGAGTATCATGGGGTTAATGACTCTCTCTCGTCCGCGCGTCTTCTGGATAATGGCAGGGCAGTCTGGTATTGCGCGCAGGAAGTTTCCGGCGGTGAAGGACGATGGAGGTTGTATTAGGCATGCGCGCAAGAGGTTACAGGATCCTCGGGCGCATATAGATCAGATATATGATTCGCGACGCGGGCGGCAAAAACGGCGTGGGAGCGACGGGTGACAAGTTTCCCATGCGTGTCATGGTTGTCTGGCAATTGCTCCGTGAGCAGTCTGCACGGTGAATGGCTCTGCTTGTCCCAGGATATGGGAAGAGCGTTAGTCTGCGTAAATTGCGCGCAATAGGCGACGGCAAAGGACAGAGCAGAGGAGGGAAGTCCCCTGGAGCAGACGGCTCAGAGTGTGAACTATCAGTGCACAAGCAGCATCGAGCTTGCCATGCGGTTCTAATTATTGCACCTACGGTTGGCCCATGGCACGAGATGGAGCAACCTCCACTCTCTCTTCTGTGCCCCAAGCGAAATCTGCAACCTGGACATCTGGAGGTCTGTGCCGCCCTTGCAGTGCAGGTGTTTCGTTCTTCGCTCCTCCGTGGCTGTTGAAGCTTGAGGTGTTGGAGTGTTGATTGCGCTCCCCCGCCATTGCAGCCGAGCTTCAACAGCGAACTCCGTCCCAATTCACGCGCGCCCGATCCCGCAGGTTAGCTGCACACTCTGCCTCACATCTGCCGGCTGCTGCCCACTAACTTACAGGACATCGACATTTGCTGCACATGGATCATCAAGCCAGCCCTGTAGCCGTTGCCGCAGCCCGCCCCTTCCCGTATTAAGACAATTTTGATCCTCCTTGGCCCTGGGCGTTTCTACCGCTGTTCCTCAACTTCCACACCTATCCCCACCACCTGTCATCCGAGTGCCACAACTACACCGTGCCTTCCGGTAATGCATAACGGTCGTCTTCCACCGGCTTCACGCCTCCTCGCTCCTCTCTTCTTGCACCCACTGCATTTGCCCGCTGTTCCATTCGCAAGAACCTAATCGAACTGCTACATGAAACCTCCCAGCCTTGGATTTCCTCCCATTCTTGCGTGTGCGCATGTCTAGATCCCCGCGGGCACGCCTTTTCTCTACCCCTTTTAGTCCAAGATGATGTCCCTTTTGGATCTTATTTCTCAAAATCAGCCGCATTTTCAGACCCATCAGGCGTTGCTGGTAATTGGATTGCAAAATGATTTCATTCAACCGGACGGGAAGCTTCCAGTCAACACCCGCAATGGATTTCTGGACCGCATTCACACCGTCCTTCCAAAATTCCGCCAGCTCTCTGCCAATGTCATTTGGATTCAGACCGTCTACGAGGTAGATCGCATGGCAAACGACCCTACCACGGGCGAGGGAGACGCCGTTGTCGTGGGGGGACTTGTGGAAGGAGACGAGAGCAGCTCAGATGACGACGAAGATCTTCCGAAGGATCTTCTCCCGCCAATCCAGTCAAGATCGTCACGGCACAAGCAGCGTGCGTTGGATCTTCTCAAGAGGGTCTCCGCTCGAAGGCGGACTACCCCGCGAGAAGCTTCTTCACTCTCTGCCACGGAAGAAGACGAAGAGCTGTTCCTGCTACGGGCCTCCAAAAATGGACCTGCTTGCTTGCCTGACACCCCAGGTGCCGACTTCGTGGACCCTGTTAAGCCCAAGATCGAAAGCGCAGACACGATTGTAAGGACGACAAGTTATTCTGCCTTTCAAGGGACATCACTCCTGCTAATCTTACGGGCAAAGCTGGTCACGGAGCTCTATATCTGCGGGTGTATTACGAATGTTTCCGTGCTTGCGACGGTTATCGACGCAGCCCGACATGGGATCAAGATCAACGTCGTTGAGGACTGCCTTGGCTTCCGGAAGCAAACCCGGCACGACGAAGCGCTTAAAAGAATGGTTGAATTTTTCGACGCACACATCGTCACTAGCCAGGAAATCCTCAATCGGGATCACACGGAGGACTCTGCGTCGTCTCAGCAAAGGCCAGGGTCGCGGAAGAGCTCCAAGGATACCGCCGACGATAGGCTCCAACGTTTGGTCGGAAGCATGCGACAAAGCGAGGATCGGCCCACACACCAAGCGAATTCGAGTAAATCTCCGTACCAGGGCCTCGAATCACCGGCCATTGCCATTGACGGCCGACAACGCACATTATCAGACGCGTCTATAGCTGAAAGTCGCACCACAACGGATACTAAACTGAGCGACGAGCAATTTGCTGAAAAGCTCAGCCAAGGCGCAAGGGTCCCTGAAAACCAAGGCCAGGGTCCCGCACCGGCCGCCAAACAAAATCTTGTCAAGTCAAAGATAGTGATGCGGCCACGTCGTGACAAGGGCAAAAAGGAAGAGGACAAAGGTAGCAAGAGGCAACGAGCCGAGTCCAGCAAAAAGGGCGCATCGAGCTCTCACCACCAGCCCCAAGCTGAAACACCTCCCAGCGTCGCGGCGAAGGCCCCGAAAGTAGCTCAGCCTCCGCCCGTCGAACCGGCGCCACGACCACCCACGATTACAAAAGCTGGAAGTAGTGATAAGCTTCGCGAAAGCCCATCTAGGCAACAAACACTCAAGTCCTCTGCATCACAGCCCTCTTTGCCTTCTTCAAATCTTGACCTCAAGGAAAAGCCATCGCGCGTGCGCCTGGCTCTGGGGAGAAGTTCCAAATCCGAATCCAGTAACCCGCCCCAACCCGACGCTCCAAAATCACCCGCAAAAATCCCTCCAGAAACCCAAATGGTACCTTCAACATCCGCCAATTCCGCGAAAATGGGGAAGAAGCTCCAATCCCTTGCTACGTTCCCAGTCCTGGGCCCTGGCGACCCAATTGCCGAGGGCGACTCCCACATAATCTATAACTTCTTTCCTCCAGAATTCCGTCACCCTACCGACCCGTCGAAGCCACTAAAGGACTTGATATTCCATCAACTGTACAATGAAGTGAGATGGCAAAAGATGCATCACCAGCAGGGCGAGGTGCCACGTCTCGTGTGTTGTCAAGGCGCATTTGGAGCTGACGGGTCAATGCCGGTCTATCGACATCCCACCGATCAAGCGCTGCCGCTACTGCACTTTTCGCCAAAAGTGAGAGTCATACAGAAGCAAGCTGAAAAGCTGGTTGGACACCCGCTAAACCATGTTCTGATTCAGCTGTACCGCTCGGGCCAGGACTACATTTCAGAGCATTCAGACAAGACGCTAGATATTGTGCGTGGGTCGAATATTGTAAATGTTAGCTTTGGTGCAGAGAGGACCATGCGCTTGAGGACAAAGAAGTCGGCTAAGACTGAGGAATCCGAGGAAACGGGAGGGCGCACTACGCAGCGTGTTGCGATGCCACATAATTCTATGTTTGTATTGGGGCAAGATTCAAATATGCGATGGCTGCATGGTATCAACGCTGACAAGAGATTGCCTGCGGAGCGTAGCGAGGAAGAGAAAGCGTACTCTGGGATTAGGATTTCCTTGACCTTCCGACACATTGGTACCTTCTTGGACGCAGAAAGCAGCAGGATATGGGGCCAAGGCGCCACGTCTAAAGACCATCGTGACGCAAACGATGTCATCAACGATGACGAAGACGAAACGGAAAAGATGGTGCGTGCCTTCAGTAAAGAGAACCATGAGACAGAATTCGACTGGAACGAATGGTACGGCGACGGGTTCGACGTCTTACATTTCCGCCAGCCACCAGAAGACATCCCAATCCTATTTGCCTCCAACAACATCGTCGAGAACAAGATGGTCCAAGTCTTCTTATGGGAGAACAAGCTGAACCACATCCTCTCAGAAGCCCCAACATTAGAAAAACTATACGAACTCGACCGCCAAGTCTGTTACCGCGACAATGATGTCAACCACACCGAAGTTCTTATCGCTGTTCCAATTCTCCTATACCTGGATCATTACCATCCAATGGACCGTGACGACCGCGGCCGCGCATGCAGCTCGCGCTCATACGAAACTTTCGTCATGGTCTCCGCTATGCTGAAATACTGGGTTAATCGCCACGTCCCGACCTACTATAACGACTTTGTCAACATGCTCGAAAGCCTTGAAGAGAGGTATGCACTCGATCCTGGGCCTTTTATCGCCGGTCGGAGATTTTCGATTGGGGATTGCTCGACATGGCCGGCGCTCGATGAACTTATTGTTAATTGGGATGGTTGGAGTGAAGAGAGGTTCCCGCATCTGACGGAGTATTATAGGATGCTTTGGAAGAAGAAGAAGAGTGTGGCGAAGCTAAGGAAAGCACTGCCGGATATTAGGAAGATTGGAGAGAAAGCTGTGGGGTAGATGCGATATGACTCGCGTTGATCTCCTGAGGGATTTGGAGTACCCATGCACAGCGCCGATACTACCCTTTGGTGCTCGCCGATTCTGATATGTCTACGGCCTTTTCTATTTCTATTTCCGTCATTCCCAGCGCAGAAGTTCTAGATTGGCTTGACTTTCGAGGCCGGATCTGGTGGGCGTTGGGTGACTGGATTTTTATCCTGCCTGAACGGAGCAGTCGCATCATTTATAGGAGTTCCGAAACTCATGCATCTTCTCAGGTGTCTTTTGTAGATCTGAGCCGGAGTCGTATGGTATAAAAATCTACTGGGCATTTGGATGATGTTGATATATTGGCACTCTATCCTACCCCTTCTTTGCTTTCCTCTGAATCAAGAAGTAGTCAGTTGACACAAACCGAAACCCAAAATGTACCACAAAATTCACCTTCTGCCGTGCAGTGCAAATACGGTCTATATGAAGGATTCGTGTCCTACGAGACATTGCAATCATGTGCGTAACACAATTAACATCCCAGCATTTTGGCTCGCGTAAACTTTCCTCCAATGTGGAGCACCTGAATAGGCAATGCGCTAGCATGCTTTGGAAGATACCGAGGCTCAATAATGCCGGGCCGACGACTCGTCAGTGGATGTCAGATGCTAGATGGACAATGCCGACGACTTCAACAACGACATCTTCATATTCCTTTCTCTTTTCCTGAGCTTACCGCTCTATTTCGATATATTCCGTGAACTACCGAGTGTGACGGCTGCTGAGAGCCTGGAAGCCAGGGCCTGCTGCGACATTGTACAGGGCTAGACTTTGGGAACGGGACAGACAACGAGACTTATAACGAAACATCGAGAAACGGAAAAGAGGAAGAAGGGGAAAGAGAAAGAGAAAGATGGCAGAAAAGTACGAATATGAGTACTTCAACGTCACGTTTCCGGCGGAATATGTTGCACATGTAGAGATCAACCGGCCGGAGAAGTTGAATGCTTTTGTTGAAAAGTGAGTACGTTTTTGCTATCTTTCTGTTGCAATCTATTTTTACTATTCTGGTTTAAATGAGGTATGTCTGGGAGGACTATGACTTGGTTCGTTTAGGATTTGGGGACCTTGAGAATGAGTTGTCTGGGATTCCTATTACCCACTGTTTCGTTCCTATGAGTGACTTCGATAGTCTGGCTGGTTTGCTATTCTCGTCGGTGGATAGTGGGGTCCATGAAACATAACTTCTTCCCCACACTCTCTCTGTCTAAAAACTTTTATTTACAGCATATTCACACGTAGCTATCCCGCATCCTCGTAGATCTCCCCATCCTTAGTCCACACTGTATGATAGAGTAACGCTCTTACCCTACCTTCCTTCCCACTCCCAAGTAGATATCAACACACCTAGCATGAACCCCGCTAACCATCCCCATCTCTTAGAATGTGGCTCAATCTATCCGCAATTTTCCGCCGCCTCTCACACGACCCTAACGTGCGAGCTGTTGTCTTGACCGGAGCTGGAGAGAGAGCGTTTACGGCAGGACTAGACGTTAAGGTAATGTGGCCTTTGTTCTTAGCGCTCTTGTTATTCCCAGTACCTTCTCAAGCATGCTGTGTTCTCCTTGTGAAGGATTTCCCAATAGGCATCTGTCCAGCCAAACTAAGCCCCCCAAATCCCACACTACCCGCCCATGCACTAAGCATTCCAAAAACACAGGCAGCATCCGAAGGCATACTATCCCGCGACTCCCAAGATCCCGCTCGAACCGCAAACGCCATCCGCCGCCACATTCTCGAATTCCAAAACTGCATTACCGATGTTGAGAAATGCGAGAAACGTATGCCCCCTCCCCCTCACATCGCTGCTCCCCCACGAAATCCCCCTCATCCCTAACCCCATCTCAACAACCTTCTCAACGCATCCTAACGCCCAACAGCAACAATCGTAGTCTTACACAATATATCCTACGGCCTAGCGCTGGACCTCTCTCTTGCCTGCGACATCCGGCTCTCCACCACCAACACAGCGTTTTCTGTAAAAGAAGTTGACATCGGGCTTGCTGCAGACATCGGCACGCTCTCCCGCCTCCCGCACTCCGTGTCCTCCCTCTCCTGGGCTAAAGACGTCTGCCTAACCGCGCGAATCTTTTCCTCAGACGAAGCCCTACGAGTCGGCCTCGTTAGCGGTGTATATGCCGACAAAACAGAAGCAGTGCAGGAGGGATTGAAACTAGCGGGGGAGATAGCAAAAAAAAGTCCAGTAGCGACCATGGGGACGAAGGAGATATTGAATTATTCGCGGGATAGAACGGTGGAGGATGGGTTGAGGTATACGGCTGTTTGGAATGCGGCTATGGTGCAGACGAGGGATGTGAAGGATGCTATGTTGAGTGGGTTGCAGAGGAAGATGCCGAATTTTAGTAAGTTGTAGGCAAGGTAGGGCAAAGTAGGGTAGGGTCAAGCAGGGCAGGGTATGGTAGGACAAGATAAGATGATAGTAGTATGTATAATTCAGGCTTGGACAACCTGAAGTGAACCTCGATTTGATTTGATTTGAGAAGTTGGTTGTCTTGGTTGTGTTAGTTATCAAGCTGTAGCACATGAAGGAATAATTGATTGAATGAATTTTTCATTGCCTCTGAGCGCCTGAAGTGCTAATTCGGAAAGGAAATATATCCATCCCTAAACCCACCCCGTCCGTCCGCATTGTGTCCACTCCTGGGGCATGCTACAGAGAAACACTTTCTTGGAATCATGACTTTCAAGTTCGTCCATACCAACTCCCTTCTAAACCCCAAACCCCCTTCCTACCCTCTCGGCTACTTATGCCCTTGCCATAACACCCCAGCAGCGAATGCGGTTGTCAGTGTAACCTGCAAACAGTGTCTGGCCATCAGCGCTCCAAGCCAAGCTCACGCACTCAGGCTCCCTGCTCTTTTTGCCAACCTCCATGTACTCGGGCTTGAGCTCGTCGACCTTGCTCTTCTTCTCGAGGTCGAAGATGATGATGCTGGATGCGGTGGCGGCGCACAGCCAGTAGCGGTTGGGGGAGAAGACGAGAGCATGGATCTCGTCGCCGGCGGTGAGGGAGTAGAGGTGCTTCGACTCGTTCAAGTCCCAGAGCATCGTGGTTCCGTCCTTGCCACCGGACGCGCAGAGAGAGCCGTCAGGGGAGATGGTGACGGTGTTGATGTAGCCGGTGTGGCCGATGTGGTCGGTTTGGATGCGGCACGAGGCGAGTTCCCAGACCTAGAGCTCTCTCGTTAGCTATTGAATTCGCTAGACAGCCGTTGGAGAGCGGTGAGTGGGGATGTCGAATCAGGGCAAAAGGTGATAGTTTGTCTCATGGCCCGAGGGCTCTGAAGTAGCAAATACTTAAAAATGCATTGCATCATATGCATCCCGCAAGCTTCACCTGCAGTCCTCAACCAACGGAAAGGAAAACGGCCCACCTTGACCAGCTTGTCCCAGCCAGCAGACACGATAACCGGGTTCTGCGGGTTGGGGCTGAACCGCACGCACGACACCCACTCGGTGTGGCCCTTGTCGGTGATGGTGAACTTGCAGTCTCCCAGTGTGTTCCATAGCTTGATGGTTCGGTCACGGGAACCGGAGACGATCTGGCGGTTGTCGGCAGAGAAGGACACGGAAAGGACGTCGTTGGTGTGGCCGACGAATCGCCTCGTCGTCACGCCGGTCGAGAGCTCCCAGAGACGGAGCGTCTTGTCCCAGGACGATGAGAGCGCATAGGCACCGTCGGACGAAATGACCTGTAGAGCGCAATTGTCAACTCAGCCTGGCTCACGGACTTCCTAGCTAGCCAATTGCTCGCAGCCATGGATGTAACGTACGCAGTCGGAGACGATGTGAGAGTGGCCGTGCAGACTCCTCTTAGGGTAGCCATACGAGGTCTCGTCGCGGGTCAAATTCCAGATGATGAGGGTCTTGTCTCGGCTGCCAGATAGAAGCATGTTCGGGCTATTCTCGCTTTAGCATCTCGTCGCAATGCGACTTCGAATTTTTGGTGAACCTACTTCTCGAGGGACGTGGCCAGGGAGGTGACCCAACCAGTGTGGCCCTCAAGGGTGCCGCGGAGAACCAACTGCTCGGCCATGATGGAAATAAAGTGGCTAAAGCTGTGTCGGGGGCTTTGGCACTCGTGGATTAGCTGTGAGCAGAAGTGCTGGACGAGGTGTGAACTTCGGCACCATTTTCGGTGCGTGAAGCTAATCTTCTTTAGGAAGACGAAGCGAAAGCTTGCCAAGCGTTGCTCGACGTTTCGTCTTCCACCTTCACGGTGTTTCTTCCTCAAGGGGAGAAAAGAGTGAAGCTGTTTCTTATGAACCATACTCTGGAGTGTTAGGGGACACGAGTTTCACATCATGTTCTCTGCATACTCCCACCTTCTACGGACCTTTGGCATGGTGGGTTTAATCAGCCAAACTTCTTGCTGGGTTATGATTAGCATCAACATGATGCAGAGTTCTGTTCTGAATCATACCCTATAAACTTTCACGTTTGGTAGTAAAATACAGGTGTAACACGTCTTCGCGTTATTAAAACATTATGATTCTCTATCAGGCAACTCCGTCAACTAGGGTTTGTAATTTCCCTCGTACGAACCACCCAAATCACTAATTCCAAGTCTCCCCAGCCCTTGAAATAAAACTACAAGTGGATGCTTTTAATCTACTCTTTAATCTTCATTTAGAACCTGCAGGGCGCGTGCTGAATAATTACTCCAGTTCCCCGCCTAACTCCGATGGCTGCCAAGACTCCCCACTACCTTACTAGGTGCTCTCAGTGGTATATAGCATCGGAGGACGCTAGTCCACACCCATTGAGAAATTGAAGCAGTTAGTAAGATTCAAGATGTCATCTCCTATCCACCATCATCAATTCCTACTCCTTGGCGCCGGCGAACTCGGCACCGCATTCCTCCCACACCTCTCTTCCCTCCCCAACACCCACATCACCATCGCCATCCGAACACCATCTAAATACGCACATCTCTCTGGTCCAAATACCTCCCTACTATCTCTCGATATATCCGGACCCTCTGAAGACCTCGCGAAAACTTTCGCAAACTACTCCACCGTAATCATATGCACTGGATTCGGGCAACCAGCCGGAACCATCACGAAACTCGCCAAAGAAATCTTACAAGCCGGACTGCTTCGAAAAGAAGCCGGGCTAGGAAAACTGTGGTTTTTCCCATGGCAGTGGGGTGTGGACTACGACGTCACCGGTGATTGCGGGGGTTTAATGCCACTATTCGGCGAGCAGCTCCAAGTGCGGAAACTGTTGCGGTCGCAGGCAGCCCAGTCGCATGTTACATGGACGATTGTATCCACCGGAATCTTCATGAGTTTTCTGTTCGAGCCGTTTTGGGGGGTCGTTGGTGAAGAGAAAGCTGGAGCAGGGTTCGTGGTACGTGCGCTGAAGAGTTGGGAGCATAAGGTTACAGTGACGAGTGTGAGTGACATTGGGAAGACACTGGCTAGAGTTGTGGCGGGGGATGTTGAGAGCGAAGATCGTATTCTCTACATAGCTGGGGACACTGTGAGCTATGCAGAGCTGGCGGGTATTGTTGGGAGAGTGACGGGGAAGAATGTGAGGCGGGAGGAGTGGACGACTCAGCATCTCGAAGAAGAGCTCGCAAAAGATCCTGAGAATCTTATTAAGAAGTATCGGGTTGTGTTTGCTGGAGAAGGTGTTTGGTGGGATAAAGAGATCACAGTGAATTACAAGCTCGGGATGCCTCTTACGGGTGTCGAGATGTATGCGAAACAGCATCTTGCCGCCTAGCTCTCATAAAAATACACAATATCAATCGGGGGTTTCATATTCAAGAAGGCCATAGCGTGGTACGATTTCCCTATTAAATCTCAGCAAGCGGCATTACAAGGGACATGTCAGCGGACGTGTCAGCGGACGTGGCGCTAGCTTGCCTTTAATGCCGAGTGCATAGACCCATGGTAACATCTACATACAGTGGTATTCCCTAGCCCCGATCCCTGAACTCCAATAATGCCTGCGTACCTAAGACCATGCCATATTATCAATATATCAATATCGTTCGGGACCAGGGACACTAGATCCAGGATACGGGAAACCACCTGGGCGCGGCATTCCTTGTGGTGGCGGGAAAGGCAACCCACCCGGGGGAGATCCAGCGTGCGGTGGCCCTTGGAAAGGGAACGGCGGCATGCCACCCGGTCCTCCTGGACCTCCCGGTCCCCCTGGCATGCCTTGTGGTGGGAATGGGGGCATGCTTGGCGGCATGTTTGGTGGCATACCACCGGGGCCTCCTGGACCTCCTGGCATATTAGGCGGTGGAAATGGCGGCATGCCTCGTCCTCCCGGAGGCATGAATTGGGGTGGTGGCATACCAGGCATACCAGGCATACCCATCGGAGGTGGCATGCCTGGCATCCCCGGGGGAGGGAACGCGCCGAAAGGCATTGGTCCCGGGCCGCCCATCGGGTGTATGGGCTGGCTGAGTGGATTCTGTTGGCCTTCGGCGGCGTACGATGCGGTTATAGAATCGATGACTTGTTGTGCCTGCTCGCTAGAGATCTCTGGAGAATATATTAGCCTGGGTCAATTGAAGAGGATGTGAATAGACGCACGCTCGTAGTATTGCTGGACATTACGCAGATGATTTCGTCCACTATTGTGCGCCTTTCGAACGCTCATCGAATCGTGGGTAAGATAAACATCGCAGTAATCGCCTTGATCGCTGTTAGTTGCGCGACTTGGAGAAGCTTCATCCGAGGAACCTACAGAAGAGTAAAGGAAAGTCAGTATGTTACAGCAATTATGGGGGTGGATAACTTATATTTCGGCATTATGATTATAAGACTTTCTCTTCAACTTTGCAGGAGGTTTGTTGTGGCCAATAGTTAGTCTGTAGAATTGGTTGGAGTAGATGCCGCGCGGTGGACTTTTAGACAAGGCAACGGCATCGGAGTTTTCTTTCTCCGTAGCCATGTGTCAGCCGTCTTGGCAACCTGTCGGCCAGTTGGAAGTATGCTAACCATTTGAGATGGGAATCACATATTGGTCTGACTCTATCACTAGTAAAGCTTCGTTAAGCTCATAGAAGTGTCTATAATAAGCAGAATAACTATCTGCAGCGAGAACCCTCACGTCTCAAAAGAGAGACTCAACGGCATCTTCAAGCGGTATCTATAAAACCACCTGTCCAAATGAGCTCCAGAACTCCAAAAATGCTCAACCAAAAATAGTGCTCGGAACGCTTATTTGATCATCGCTTTTACTCAATCATTCCGAGCCCCAAATATCTCATTGCGCTCATGAAGATAATCATCTCGGTCCAAAAGGTCTAGGCCCGAGAATCTGTCTCTTGCCCCCAAAACCAATCCCTGTGCCCACCTTGTTCTGGTTATCCCCACCCATATAGCCATACTGGTTGACGTCCCAGCTCTGTCCCTCTCTCGTTCCTGCATTCGGGTCCTTCGGTGCACTCTGAAGAGCTCGTTGCGCCTCCTCCCATTCACGTTGACGGTCTCGTTCACGCTCCATTTCCCGCTCAAGTAGAGACTTTCCAGCCCACCCGCCTTGCTTCGTCTTGGTTTGTGATGCTGCGCGACGAGCGTCCTCCGCAGCACGCTCTGACGTTGATGTAAGTTCTGGTGGAATATAGCTTGTTGGTTTGGAGGCCACCGGTGCAGGGTTTGAAGCAAGGAAGCGGTCAGTGCGGTTGGTCTTTGCATAGTTCGCAGGATCTGGGAGGGGTCGTGCGGAGGGCTCAGGGAGCGGGCGCGTGGGCAAAGATGGCGGTTGTACGGCGGTCGGTTCCGGCAAAGGGCGTGCGGGTTGTTTCCTGCTATCGTGCCATTGCTGACGGAGATATTCGCGCTCATCGGCGCCAGCCCAGGACGCCGAGCTGTCCTGTGGGGAAGGAGAGCGGGGTGGAGGTCGAGGACGGCTTCGAGAGCGGTCTCGGGTACGACTCTTTGACCTCGAGCGCATTTTGCGACGCTCATCGTCCCGAAGTCGGTCTTCGCGCTCAAGCTGGTACTGCCGCTCACGCTCTTTGGCCTCTTCGAGCTGGCGCTCCAATTCCCGAACCCGCTCACGCTCAGCATTATATTCGGGGTCAACCTGGCTGTTCCGGCGGCTTCGCGGCTTGGTAGGTTGCTCAGCTTGGTATTGACTGAGCATTTGCCCTCTCAGCCTGGCGTCGCTTCCGGCCCGCTTCCGGCGAGTCTCCTTATCGATTCTCTCTTGAGCCTCTCTCTCTTCCCTCTGCCTCTGCTCCTCCTCCAGCTTCCATTGCCTCTCCTGCTCTTCCCATTCTCGCTTCTGCTTCTCTAATCGCCGTTGCTCTGCTTCACGCTGCTTGCGGCTCTCCTCCTCCCATCTTCGTTCTTCCTCAAGACGTGCCCGTTCTTCCTCAGCCTCTCGATCGATGCGACGTTTATGCTCAGCCTCTTCTGCAAGCACACGCAGACGCTCTTCCTCGGCCTCCCTTTCCCTCCGCTTTCTCTCCTTCTCAGCCAGATTAGGCACGTGAGGACCCGCACTGGTAATCTGTCGTCGACCGCCGAATGAAATGCCTTGGTTGCCTTGGCTAGCGCCGCCCATGTATCCATACTGATGAATGTTCCATGCGGGCGCTGTGACGCCTTGGTCAGCCTTGTTACTCCAACTACTTACGCCACCCGGAGGCGACTTGGGAATACCATTAGAAGTCCTCGAAGAGTTTGACCCTCCAGTGAGCGCAGGACTGAGCGCCCTCTCGGCAGGGGGTCGTGAAAGGGGATTGAAAGTAGTTGAGCCGCTAGTGTTACTGTTCGTGCTGGGACCCCTGTTGCGCCCGAAACCAGGAGATGTGAGGGCGCCGCCATTTGAATAGGCCCCTGCTCCTGTGGTGGTTGGGCTCATTGGGTTCCCGCCTCGCTTGGGTCCGATTGTCCGAGGGAATTGGGAAGGGTTAACGGAGTTGGCGACTCGACTAAAAGCGCTCAGGCACTGGAGGACCTGCGCGGGATCTTTAGATTCGTACAGGTCGACGGTGAGAAATCGGTCGTGCGAAGGCATGTTCAGCGGCGGCGCTTCGCAGGCGCGGAGGAAGTGCGAGATGTTTTCCATTTGAATAAAAGGCATAGGCGACTTCTTAAACTTGACGCCTGGGTTCGGTACAGCAAGATTTATGAGTCTGTAGCAGCAAGTCAGTAACCTGGAGGCGAGGGTGAAAGAGCAGTGTAAGAGCAGTGTAAATACAGCGCAGTACATACCTGCATAACACGGTCCCATCTTTCAAAGCATCGAGCAGATCACCGGGCGGCAACCGCTCTCCCAGCATGTCCTCTATCCAGCTCCGCGCTTCATTCGCTGCCTGTGGAGTATACCGCGACATGCGCAATTTCCTCATGTCCTGGTCCAGCGACGACACAGACGCCATGGTGAAGGAGCTGGGCGAGCACAGGGCTTATGGCCGTTTGGTGACGGCGCGCGGCGGACGTGAGTGTGAAAGCTGAGGGTAAACAAGTAGTATTGAGATAGGGTGTAGCGGGATGTCCTGGTGAAAGCGGCCTAGGGAGGAGTTGTTGTTGCAATGCGACAGTGAAGAATCGAGGACCAGCAAGATACATGCCAACGTACAGAACAAGAGTCGGCTGCCGTGGTGGGGCGGCGGCGGGAATGCGTGAACGAGGAGGCGGTGCACGACCCCAGCCACGCGCTTTCGTCACTGGCCAGAGCGTCAAGGTCCGTCATGCCGTCCAAATTTTTCATTGCCATATCATTCAACCATGACGAGGAATCCCGGTACTATCCGGCGATTATGGTACAATTGGAAGATGAAGCAGTTGCCGTGGAGGAAGAAATGGCTGGTGGGTGCGTAGACGGTCTCTTTTGGTCTCCCTTCCTGGCCTGGAAGGATTTAGGTTGCTTCGTGTTTTGACACCTACTTGCATTCTATTGATCTTTTTGCCTCTGTCTACGCTTTCAGGCTTCATATTTGCGTTGCGCAGGCTACCTCCTTCCTTGGATTGCGTCGAAAGTAACTCTGGGTCGAACCCGGCTCGAGGGTGCTGCATCGAAGCGCAACAAGCCCACGCTGACAATACCAAGGATTTGACCTCCAAGGAAACACATTTTGGGAGTTCAAAGACGCCCTCCACTCGAACCGCAACCGCAGAATTGTCAAGTACAGTCGGTGGACACACTACAGCGACGTTAATGTTGGACGTGAGCCATTCCCCAATCTTGCCACTCCCTCCACCCTCTGCATGGAAATTATCTGACGGGAAGTGTTAGCGCTATGGATGCAGTGGCTGCGGCATACGCGGTTTGAACCGCCTTCGCTCGCTGAACAGCAAGCCAACGTAGTTAGACAAGAGCGGATAAAACTGCTCGCAGCGCAAGCCGATGCTCGATGGGCGGCGAAGCCCTCGGCGTTGGATGCACCGGATAAACAACAGCCAATGCACATGCTCGAGTCGAGAGATACGAACACTGGAATAAAGCAAGCGAACGTGGATGAGGAAGTCTGGAGGAAGGCCGAACCAACCCAGACAATGCAAGATGAAAATCGAGACGAGGAAGAAGAGGTGGCAAAAGACGGTCGTGGACACGTGGAAGATGTCCCAACATTAAGGACGCGAAAAGTAATGCAAGAACCAAGAGACTCCCCCTGGAAGAAGCCTGCAATAACAAATCCTGGCGATAACTGGCAGCCTGAGTCATGGACACCGGCTCCGGCGAGGCGGCGATCTTGAGATAGCAAGGTGTATTGACAAATGTATGAGTATTTCATGTAACAATTGACTATTTACTAGCACTAGCGCAGTATTCGAACGCTGCGGCACCTGCGTGTCCTCGTCAAAATGACCTCGTCCTTCATTAGGTCAATGCAGTGGAACAGTTCCTGAACTCCACACACATATAGAATATCGCGGCTTCCATTTAGGAGCCTGAAAGATTCTTGTCCTTTGTTCCGCTAACCTATAAGTCTAAAGGCACTTACCAATTTTAACTCTTTCTACCTTGACTAGGAACATATCCTTTTATCTGCACCCTTAGCCGCCTACACAAAATTAGATCAAAATCGAGAGCGTCCAACACTGGATCCTAACGAGCCTTCCGGGTCCCTGGCTAAGAGGTGGATACCCTAGTTGACAGCATCTTACTGGTCGGCTAGGAGATAGAACAGCTCCAATATACAAGCCTTATCCTCTTGCTGAATGCCCTCCTTCCTCCAAAGGGATCAGAACTTGTGCTAGCATATGCCAACTCAAACGCCTCAACTCCTTGATGAATACACCATGGTGAAGCCCATTTCCTAATCTAGCTCTCTCCCAACACTGTGGGAGAATGTCTCAGGAGTTGGATCAGTGATGTCTACATCTATCTAGAGGTATACGAGCAGTCTGTAGAATACGGTGAGCTTGGCGATAACCACTTTTGAGTCGCTAAGCTTCGACATATCTATTCGGACCTGGAAATGATGGCCCCAGGAAGCCGATCTCATATTCTTGGTCTCCGGTTGGCATCGTCTAGTCCCACTCTACCAATATCCTACGCCGAGTAACACGCTCTAGCAAAGTGACGCAGAGTCCAGGCGTAATGTTCGCTAAAAAGATGGGGGTACGTTTTGACGAATAACGGTTCTCTTTAGATTGAGCGAACAGCCTAAATTTCACGATGAGCAGTAAACAGCGGCGAAAGCTGGACCATTGGATAATTTCAGATGGCGCGTAACCATACTAAGATACTATTAGCTTGGGTGGCTTCTTGAGCGAGTAGTCGCTATAACATCAACAAAACCTACTGCAAATAAGCATGTACTAGATCCACCAGAGACTAGTCCTCCTAACCAGTCTTGAATTGTACAGGCTTCCTGAAATTATCTCGAGATTCATGCCGACGATTTTGGACGAAGGATAACTATATTGTTAGTGACTTCTCAAAATCATTGCACGGAGTATTCAAACAATATGTCACGTGATACTCAGGGTCTTGCGGAGAATTCCTATCGAAATCTATGGGAAATCAATCAAATCTAATTTTCCCACTCTGTTAATTGCAGAATGGCTTTCCTGAGTTGTCTGATCTGAACTTTGCGCTGCTAATCCCTGTTTGAAAATTTAAAAAACATCCGCCGGATCCCATACGCTTTTAATTTTCTCTAATCTTTTGTAGACTAGCACCATATAATGCCTCCTTCCAATACTTTTAGTTTGAATTCCCTTCGTTTAAATGTGTTACCAAGTTAAATGCTGACGGCAAGGGAAGGACTACATCCTAGAGAGCGTTATCGTTAGCTACATTCTCGTCCCAGGTCGAAGTGCAGTCCCCCGGACCAAAGATCGCCTGGTGTACAGCGGGGTCTCTCCGAGCGGGTAGCACCGAGTTAGAAGGCGCAGTGGATGGAGCGTGAGGTGCCTAAAAGGCATTGCCTAAAAAGCGATCCGTTTTTTAAAGCTGCAATCTGTCGGTGTACCTGGGCTAACTCCGGTGTCGGATTTGTCAAAGTCGACTTTGGAATCAACTTGGATATCTGGACTGGGAATGGGGTTACAAGTTGGAACCATACGGAAGCGGCCCGAGGAATGTCGCGACTGATGTATAAGGTATTCTTGATTGCTCTGGCTTTGAAGCATACGGAGAGATGAGGTCCATTACGCACTCTTCCTATCCGGCGCGGTCAAAGGCCGCATTGAGAATGATCCGCCAGCAATGATATAACCTGCCGAAACACTATCCTCCAGAACCTGCAGCGAAAACTGGTGGAATACCTCAACCGCGGATTATAAGATATCTTTGCTTGGAGAGGAGCTGATGTTGAATGATAGGCTAGCAGCCAAATATGACGCCTTCGGAAAACGCCTCCACGGTCATGCTCACGGCTACTGCGAACACGACTGCCCTTCCTCCACTCAGAGCCTAGTAAAGATCGGCATTCGATAAAGGGGTGGCGATTATATACTTTCCACTCGTAGTGACCACCTCCTATTCAAGGACGTTGTCTGCGTTCAGCCCATGCTTGGGGCTTACGATAGAATGGCCTTTCTCAGAAGTTCAATAGCCACTGTTGGACACGCTCTGCCCAAGACCCTCAAGCCTTCTTTCGCAGATGCTTCAGGGTTCTCGTAAACCACCACCCCCAGAACCGAGTCGGACCGCAGTGCCACTGCAGTTCAGGAGATTATTCGCTCTAGAGCAGATCTCGATAAAAGACATTTCTTTGAGTGGGTGTAACTAGATAGATAGAGGCCCTGAATCTCTACTCTTCCCCTAGCAGGCTGTGGTCTGAAATTTTAATATTCCTCGAGCGTTGTTGAGTTTCGCGAATTTCAATGTTTTTGCGACATGATTTGAAGACGACGCGTTAACCGCGTAAATGGGTTCACTTCTAAGTCGGGAAGGGAGAGGAAAACCTCTACTGCGGATGGAATGGCTAGCCGCTAACCTGTGGTAGACGCCACGGCCTGTTTTGCAAACAGAGATACTCGCTCGAGAATAGGACTGGATTTAATTTCAGAAGCCATGAATTGTCACAACAATTGTTTCAGTTCATGTGACGGTGCGAATCATGGAATGATACAGCGCAGCAAATTAAGAGATGACGTAAAGTTGCTTACAGTCTTTCCAATACTATCATACGGAATCAATGCGCATCTTAATACTGTCGTCCACCCAGGAGGGTTCAAGGGTAGCTCTTAATCAGGAATAGTACAACGCCTTGGACAAGAAATGTCAAATCCAATTCAATGGTCTCGTTACGGAAGACGAATCCCACTAGTCACAGCAAGTCTTTCGATAATTTGATGATCACTAACATTTAGTGTATTACATATTATAGTTCTCGTTGCAGGTCCCATACTAAGAAGACAATACATTATCATAGATAAAATAGCTCAGCACATGAAATCGTATCGAATCGGTGCGTGTTCCCAAGTTGCTCTTCCTAAAATAGGATAATCGGCTACCCGATTGGAAAGATGTATTAGATATAGGTGGTGAGAAAAACAGAACCAGCAACCTTCAACTTCATCCCATCTTGCTGTTCAGCTGTCTAGTGAGATGTGACGTTTCCTGCTGAGACATCGCTATTTCGAACCCAAATCCTTCTCCTGAACGAAGTCATAAACGAATACTTGCTATAATATAGGATCCGTATCTTTCTGCACAAATCATTAATGTAGGCCTTAAGTCTCACATCATTGTCACTTGTGACAGCTACAAGTTAACATTTTCAATGCTACTACGCACCTTCAACTTATCATGCCCCAGTTCAGCATCGAACTCTTTTCTGGCGGCATCACTCTATCGCAAAATCTACATTCAGCATCTCTCGTATGACGCTCCAGATATATAGAACTATGTTTGTATGGCCAAATGCCATGGCACACCTTGAAGGTCACAATGAAACCTACATCACATCCATTTCCCCTCTTCATATTTATTAGTGCTCATGGCATGTTCAGAAGTATCCCGCCTTTAGGGATCTCTAGTATTAGCTCCTTATCTTGTGTGTAGAGACAAGGAAAGTGCAAGTGAAATCTCCTTTCTATTTGGGTGTTGCATCGGCGAGGAATTTGAACCAAGTGACACGGGTTACGGGGGAGCGGTCTGATCCGGCCATAGTGAACCGACTTAGGAACTGAAAGCGGCGAAAGCGGGACCTCTAAAAATATATATTTGATTATAGTATTGGTAGATAGGCGATGGAAGTTTTGGGTTATTAAACCCTAGACAGCAGTCGTACTCGGTGTCCTGTGCCTACCTGAGAAGAGTCCCGAGTTTATTACGACAATAAAAATGATAATATGTGATAACTACTCGCTCTCACTAATATTCGTACCAATTTTCCAAATACACCTGCTCAGAACTCTGTAAGCATAGTATTAAGCACTAATATATGAACCACGTGAGCATATTTGCACCTATACAAAACTCAACTACTTTCAGCCTTTATAGCACCAATAATCCTCTACTGAATGAAACAATTATTAGGCTATCGTAAATCAAGTTTTCAGCTCTATCATTTGTATATATATACTATATTTTTCTATATCGCTAATATTTACGTAGTAGAGGGAGGAACTTTCCATCTCTTTGCACTCCTGCCTCATTATCTAACGCTGAATATGCCCTGATCGAAAAGCCTTAGGAAAGTGATACGCTAATTTAGAGAGGAAAATGTTGGTCTAAGGAGTGAGCTAAGCCTAAGGAACTAATTGTGAAACCTCATATTTAGAGTGTTTGTGACGAAGCGCTTGAGAATGTGTTTCGGGCTAGGCGGTGGCTCGTACCTTAGCGAGGATTAAAACAACGGTCTTGTGATATTCGCAAAGGATTGGAAAGATGGTACGGGATGTCTTACAAGAAGGGGGCAAATGCCAGGCATCTATCTGCGACTAAGAATGATATACTTTCTTAATCTTATGGATTCAGCATGCCAGAGTAGGAACACTTGCTCTCTGTGTTGTTTAATTTACGTACATATAAATACATTATTCACTATAGTTCTCTTCAAATCTACTATTATCGGTACTTCGTCTTAGCGTAACAACCTATTCTTAAGCTATAACTGCACAAATTTTGCTTCTGTCAGTGTTACTAATTGATAGTAGGCCAAGAGTAGAAAAGTATTATAATCCGCGAGTAATTAGTTCTGCTTGACAGCTTAGGAGCAATCCCGGGTAGAGAGCACTGAGGTGAGCAGAAGTGGTAGGTGGGTGCTGGGACTAGTGCTGGATGGATGAACGCTGGTACGCAGTGGGTGAATTAGCTGACTCACGGTCCTCTGGAGCTTGAGCCGTCTCCACTTCTGCGTCTCAACTAGTTCCATAATTGGCTACTACTTTAAGCCTGCTTCAGCTTCTAACCTAAATTAGTCCTAAAATCCTATTTTGTCTGTAGATCAAATGTAAATACTAGCATACAGTTACTAGCAGAATGAGTTTCTAAAATGTAGGTAGAAATTTCCTAGCCCCTATTTGCAAACAACACCTTAGCACCTTATCTCGGCTTAGTATGAAACTTCCCCACAACAAATTCGACCTCCGCCATCGCATTAATGTCGCCCGGAACAATCTAGGAGCAATTCTTTCCATCCGAATCACCCGCCTTTACCAAAGTAGACCTTGCGCTCGGAAGCCAAGTGGGCAATGTGTTTATTGTCACGTGCAAATTCAGGAATCAAGAAAGAGCTCCCCTGTAGGGAGATAGGCTCACCCTTTAAAGATGGGGTTGAGCGTACTGGGGTGGATACTCAGACATAAAATTGAAAGATACACCAGTGATCACAATACAGGGCAACCTTGAAATACAAATTCCTACTACCTGTTACAATATGTATACCAAATTGGTCTAGGAAAGGTTCTACATCTCGAGCTTTTGTGTTAGTCCCTGTGAAAAAAAAATACACGCCACCTCCGGGAGACAACCTACTGATATAATCAGTGACTTTAATGCGGCCGTAGAATGTCAACTATATTGTCGAATTCTCACTGGAACGAGAAATACTGCTCTAAATCCCCTTTCCCACTAGTACACAAAGCTGCGGCGCCCGAAGTCTTAACGTATCAAATTTTCTTCTCGTATGTTGGGTTGAGTGGTGTGTTGCGGATATACATAGATGTCCTATGTTAAAAGCTTCCTACGTATGCTTCCGGTCAACACTCATTCGTCAAGGGCCGTTAACTGAATTATTTCCAACGCACTTGTACCAACTCCACAAACTTCTCCTGGAAGATATCCAACCAATTTTCCAAGTCTTTGCCGCATGCGAGCCAGAAACGCCCAGAAACCGGACCATCTATTCCCCAAATGAACTCCCTAACGCTTGAGTAGGACCATATTCGTGCCCCTCCGTACCAATCCAGAAACAACCTGCCACCGCTAATCCCTCGACAGAGCTAATTGTGTTAGCGCGCTAGCTGCCTTGCCTACATTTCAACAGGCGCCTGTGTATTGGCTAACTCGACTCTATCCACTGGATATCGAGGCTCAGTGATCATCTGCTCTTCGGCATGTGCGCGTTCGTATTCTTCTCTGAAGAAGTTGTATTCCTCTAGGATAGAGTTTTAGCATCTTAACGAAGACGATGATACTGTGTCTGACAGGAATGAAATGAGGGGAGGTGGGAATATATACCCTTGTGTGTAAACTGGAAGCAGATATGTTCGGGTTGTGTAAAGTCATGGCGGTTGGGCGGTTGGGAGTTCGGTGATACGGGTGTGTCGTTTGGTGTATCGCTTGCTTAGCACGGCTAGTTAGCTAGTCACCTGCACTTGAGGATCAGAAATGATACAGACGAAACGCGATTTACCAAAGTCAGAAGATCGCCGTGACCATCTCAATCCGAGCGAATTGCGCCTGGAATGCGATGATGACGCACTCGTTCTTCTCCCTCTCAGATACAGTCGGGCCTCTTTGCTGCGCTGCGTATATACTGGGGGATTACTGAACGACGAAAGTGGGTACTCCTGCTGCTCACCCGATGTAGCGGAGGCAAGAAAGGAAAGCGAATAGTGGTACGGGAATCTGTTCGACTGCCATAGGTTGAGCTTCTCGAGTCTTGCGATTCCTGCCAAATGGTGCCAACCATCATATTTTGGGTGCAGGTTGGACCAGATCACATCGACGTCGAACGCTTTGATGTGCGTCATGTCTCGAATATCGCCCTGAAACTTGTCTCGTTTATCATGCGAGGAAAAATAATACTCGACCATTATATGTCTTTCATAGACGGTAGCGTCACTAGAAGTTAGGACAACTTGGTGGCATTCACCAAACGTTACATCAAGACTTTGCAGTGTTCTCGAATGGTAAACATGAGGAAATGCTGCATGAGGCACTGAAAGCGGTTAATGCGCGGTAACAAGGATGCATATTAAATGCTTAGCAGAGGTTGTTTGAGGCTTACGAAAATGAATTAGCTTCTCAGTACTGTTTTCAGTACTCCACTCTACGAAATGCGATTCGGCAACCACCCTAACGGCCCAGCTTAGTAGCTTTATTTGTCTTTGCAGGATGGGGAGTGTGCTTGAAGAGCTTCAGTCTACATAGTTCTCATATACTATGTAGGATGAGGGACTCACATGGTTGCAACCGGCGATAGTATAGTTGACATAGTGGACTCGGGTAGGAGAGAGTCGGCTACAGTGGGTGAACCTTGCTCTGCCGTCAAATATGGCGTTGTGCGAGGCGTTACTTCGGACGTGTTATATAGCGAGGTAGTTGTAATGCTCGATGTCCGACACCCAGATGATGAGGGCGCGTACGTGGATGGTGGATGTGGCCTAGACTGGAAGGAATTAGGGGGTCTCGTTCGGTTTGTTCGTTGAAGTGATTGTCGAACATCGGTGCTGGTACGCAAACCCCCATGCATCGAAGGAGCAGCGGTGTTAATAACAAGTTGGTCGTAGCTTCGGGCTGGTGCTTCTAGAAGCTCGCGTGAATCCCTTGGCAGAGGCGGCGTCGGGCTATCCTCATTTATCAGTCCAGAGCGGACATACAGCTTATGCCAAATAGATTCTAATCTCTCCCTGATAGGATCGATGTTCGTTGGTCGACCCCACTGGAGGGCACTGTTCATTTCCCGCTCGTACGAGTACCTGACTCCTACAAGATCTCGGAATAGGGCTTGGAACTCAAGTAGCTGGCAATGTAAGCCTATAAGTTCTGGCTCTTGACTAGGCTGAAGTAGAGCGAGCCTCAACGGCGTATCTAGTCTGGGCCGGGGACTATTAGCCGCTATTGTCCGATCCCGCGCATTGGAGAGGTCGAGGGAGTAATTGACGGGAGCGCTCCTTCTCCTGTAATATGTGAGTTGAGAAACAGAGAATATCCGGACTCGAGGCCAGTGAAGCTAACTAACAGGGCGAAAACTACGGTGAAGGCCAGGAGTTTCTGGATCTCTAGGCATAAACCGTCCTTTAACTCTTGGGCTCGTTTGTTATCGTATGCATATCGGGTAGTCTGCCTGTCGGGATTCTTTAGCAGTGGTTTTTCTCTGAAGAGGTACCGGGAAAGGCGATGTACCAGACCTGCTTCCATGTACGTCGTGACCCGAGACCCAATCTGTGGGTCTGCAATTCGGTTAAGTAGTCCCCCTTTAGCGACCAGTACCTGTCGATAAAGGCCTGGCACTCAAGCAGTTTCCGATCGAAGCTCTCCTCTTGAGGATATGCCTCTTCGTACTCCTCTAAGAGACTGGTAAAGTCGCACAGCACCTTGGACAGGTAGTCACACGTTTCAATCAGCTCTCGAACTCTGGTAGGGGCATTTTCGAATTCATCAGTGAAAGCGTTCCATATCTGCTTTGCTTTCTTAGCAGTTTGATAGAGCTCGAAGAGGGAGTAGCCAGGGGTAGCCATGGGGGTCTATGAGAGCAGTTGGAGATGCGGCCGGGATGGTGGGGTTCAAGGGGTTGCCACGTGCGGCAGTACTGCGATCTGTATCGTCCAATAAGACAGGCCCTGGAGAATCCCACAGAGTACGTTTTGGGTTCGCAGAGAGGGTGAAAGAAGAAGGCTCTGACGAAGGAAAGCCAGAAGAGGGAGGAGAGCAGCCAAAGACGCCGTGACGCCACAGCCCTCCGCCTTCAGCCTTTTGTGTCTGACAGGCGAAATAGACTCTCGTGCTCCTTCGCAATGGCTCATCTGGGAGGCCTTCACCAAAGTGTCTGCAGCTACCGGGCGCAGAATCCGATATCTTGGTGCTATGCCATTGGACGCCCCGTACCTGACCGGTCTCTATCGAAGCCCAAATGCGTCAGCCTCTGCGCGGTGCAGATTGTCAATACTCTCAGCCCTGGTGTCACCGGCCTCTTTACAAGCCACCACAGTACCGGAAACGGAAGCGCCCTGGCGCTTCCTCTCCAGAGAGTAAGGCTAGATTAAACCAACCATGACAGATAAACTTAGCTGGTCCCGTCTGGTCGCGTCCGACGTGCCGCCTCACTGTCTCGTTGTTCGCTGCTTGCTCGTCTCTGTCCTCTCTTTGCAGTCGTGGGAACCCGTGAACGCTTATGCCCAACATTCATCACGGCTTCCTTGGTCCAAATGGGGAGGTCTTGACGGAACAGGAGCGTAGAGTAAGCTCGCTACTTATCATTTCTGTTGCCGCTTCCGCTTCCTCTTCCGTTCTTGCTAACACTAACCTCAAAAGGACCGCCAGCGGCTTCGCGACGAAATTGACCTCAACTCTTTCAACCTACGCATTTGGGCCGTTGCTGCGACTGGCTTCTTCACTGACTCATACAACTTGTCTGTATCTTTGGTTAGAATTCTCAGCCCCTCTAATCCCGCCTCAGGTTTGCGACCAACGTCATCCTTCCCTCTCTCGCCTTCGTCTATTGGCCCAACGAGAGGTCGACATGGAGGGAACTGCTCGTCAACTCCATGACTTTGGCAGGGTCTATAGTCGGCCAGGTCTTCTTTGGATGGCTTGGTGACCGCTTTGGGAGAACTAGGCTGTACGGTATAGAGCTCGCCATCGTTATCTTTTCCACCATTGGGGTCGCCTCCGTCTCGTCAGGCTACCTAGAAAACATGAGCATATTAGGGTGGCTCTCAATATGGCGTTTTGTCATGGGGGTACTGCTCCCAAGGTACCATACTATGAACCTATGCTAACTGATTTGCAGTAAGCAGAGCCCTCTCTTTCTCTGCCTTGCCAAAATGTCACCCAAGTGGGGTCTTACATAGTCTAATGTCAAATCTCTATATTCGAAAATCTTGCTAATTATTCTTCCACCTTAAGGGTAGGCATTGGAGCCGAATACCCTCTAAGTGCTGTGATTACGACCGAGTAAGTTGCTGCTTCGCGAGCTCGCTCTCGTGGAAGTCGAAGTTGACTGGTGCATGCAGATGGTCATCAACAAGAGCCCGGGGGAGGATGATCGCCGCTGTGTTCCTTATGCAGCCGGTCGGCCAGTTGTTTGCACATCTCGTCGGCCTGTGGGTTCTCTTCGGACTTGACAAAAGGGACCATTTGCAAGAGAATTGCTCCAAGACGGCTGATGCCATAGCCCTGGCCAAATGCACATCAACTGTTGATTCTATCTGGCGGATAGTAACCGGAGTGGGAGCAGCGCCTGCCCTCATTGCCATCCTTTTCCGTTTGTTGATTTCGGACCCTGGCCTCTACGATCTCGAGGTTAAGAAGAATCTTCCCCGAGCGCTCCGAAGTACTAGAAGGGTATATGGCAGCCAGGCAAATCAGAATATTCAAATGCAACTGATAGGTCAAGCTAACGGACCGGCTACCTTGCATCCCCCTGCAAATCCTGTCCAGTTTTCCTCCAGGGATCTCACGCGGTTTTTCTTTGAACAGAAAAACTGGGTATACTTAGCAGGAACAAGCACAACATGGTTCTTGCTGGATTTCTCCTTTTATGGCCTCGGGATGGGGAATTTTCGTACGCTGTCTAAAATATGGGCGACCTGGGATGCAAAACAGCAAGGTGGCAATCCTCCTGCGGTACCAAGTTGGAATACAGACCCGACACTCAACGCTACTATTTTAGAGAATAAGGGTAGGCAAGCAACAATATACGACGTACTGTACGAAAATGCGAGAAAGAGCATGCTAACGGTATCCATCGCCTCGGTCATGGGCAGCCTGCTGTTCATCTATGCCGTCAACTATCTACCCCGACGGCAGTGGTTGACAACCTCTTTCTTGGCACTCGCCATTCTCTTCATCATCACTGGAGGGACGTTCTATGCTGTTTTCCACACTACCAACCACGCGGTTACCGTCTTCCTCGTCGCCGTTTGCCACTTTGGGTTTAATTTCGGTAGGCCCTATTTTATCCAATCTTACCTAGCCCTCGTACTCTAATAACACATCCTAGGCGCGAATACCCTCACCTTTATGATCCCCGCCGAAATCTTCCCAACGACATACCGATGCTTCTGCCATGGTGTCTCTGCGGCAGCGGGAAAACTTGGTAGTGTCGTCGTCCTGCTCATCTTGCACTACGTCCATGCCAGCGATCCAGTAGCGACCACGCAGGGGTATATCTTCATCATCTTTGGTATCGTCATGGCGATTGGCGCCGCATTTTCTTGGGCCTGGATTCCAAATATCCAAGCGGGCCGGGAGGATCCGCGGAGCCTTACGTTGAGTAACAAGAGGTTAGAGGATCTAGGAGGTGGGTATGAGAGAGCAGTTGTTGGAGAAGGGGAATGTATCGGGTTTCGACGAAAGTGGCGGAGGTGGCGCGGGGAGGATTAGTGACCTGCACCGACGTGTTCCACACTAGGTCCTCGCGCCACCCCAAAAATCCTCTCGTAAAGAGGAATCTGTATCTTAAGAGCCTAACAACCGCTTCGTAATATACTCTAAAATTCTACTAGTAGCCTTGTATACCTATTTTGAGACACTTTTTCGACTGTTAAAGTAAACCTTTCTAGAGATATAGCCGTTCATCTCAAGTTTAGGGTCAAAACTTGATGTCCTTGAGACCAGCTTTTCTTATTACTTTTGAGCTTTAACAGGAGTCTTAATTAGACACAACAGGAGAATTATTAAATTTTGGAATTATTATTAAGTCGGCTGTTGGGACCTTCAAGTGCAGGTTTTCTGGTTTTGGGAACTGGCGTGGCCCACCAATGAGCGTAATTGGCGGCACGGGAATCGCCTTGGGTTGTTGAAAGAATGAAATACTGAGACCAAGGGCTATGCGGATTGGTCTATGCCTTGGCCTTCTCCTTAGATGGTAATCGATTGCGGTTAGCAGTTGAGCCTACAGTAGAAACCTTCCTTCCTTCTAAACGATGTTATGTTACCTCCAATTCTGGTGAGTTTTGCCCCCAAAAATAAGACCCGTCTAAGCCAACAAATTGAACGGTTTGGAAATTATTTGACCCACACCCAACCCATGTTTCTTGCGTTGTATTTCAGTAAGCAGTCTGCTGTCGTCGGCTATCTATCGTCGGTTATAGCGGTGCTTCTGTGATTTCGATTCATTTCACGCTTAATGGATTTTTGCTTTGCTCCCCTTCTTTTGCTGCCTGCTCCTACAGTTGCAAAGCTAAGCTGCGCTTACTGGCTCCTGCACGCTATCTTTCAGTGCGAATACGAAGGGAAGGGCATACGTGCAGCGCTATCTGTTTTCTTCTTCTTTTTTTTGGGTCCCTATGCGGATGTCACCTTCGACAGCCGTGTCCTACTGTTCCAATTTCAATCATGTCTATTCAACAGCTTCCTTCTAAAATTTTATCATTCATATCTCATTTCACCTCGTACGTGCTAATCCTTTCAAATTCCGTCTCTTTATCTCCTCTTCTAAACAATCGTTCTAGAACCTGCCACACAATGGGAGTGATGACCGCACCGTCTGCATCAATGCGACACAACTATGCAACGACGGAGGTATTTGATTATTGTGTGTGTAAACTAGAAGACTGCGAAGTCTCTGCGAGATGTTCAGTAGGAGTAAAATGCCCGCCCCTCGTGTCAAAACGGCACCACGATTCCCTTAATAATGTCTAGATGAATGACAAGTCTCCCCCACCGCATTCCCTGCTGCCCGCTCTCACGTATTTTTGGTGCTTTGGCCGTGCAGCCGTGGCGGTGGTCCAGGCAATATAATGAGTATAGAAACCTAGAGTCCTAAGGAAGGCTTAAAGATAGTTCATGAATAAACCACGAAGAGGTTGTGAGCGTTATATTTAACATGATTGTAGCAAAGCCTAGCGGCTATAATATTGCAAGTAAGTGCCCGCGCCTCTTCCTGAACCCCTGGATACCGCATCTGAGCATTTCTAGGCTCTGAATGTCTGAAGATTCTAAGGGCGGCTATTGATAGTGATATAGATTTAGTATCCCGTTAAAAAAAAGTATGAATGGGTGCTGTTTACGGCGTGATGGCGTACGGTATTAGGACAAAGAGTAAGTGTTCAAGTGCCGATCCTTTCTTACAGTATTACTACTGGATTAAATCTCTGGCGGTGTAGAATTAAGGAGGTCGAGGAAGCAGAGGATGGAATGGCGAAGCAGGTGTGAAGTGGAATACGGTCGAGACTAGGTATGTCTGGCATATGTAATTGGTTATGCACTTGTGTACCTCTAGAGGCCGAAATCCTAAATACGGCCTTCTTCTTTTCCAATAACTCTCAGGTTTCCTAATATGAGGACCTGCAGTCTACCATACTATACATGTTCAAGCGAAATTGCCAACGGTCGAAGAAATCGACGCTGCCCAGGATATTCTTAACAACAAGTCACTGACTAAAGTTGTTGGTATTGGTAATCATTTAGTCGTCAAGTGTGGCGCTTAAGTCGATATTCTTGAAGGAGAAATAATTCTGTTCTTACAACATTAGACATCCGTATTGGTACCACGTATCTATGCCCTATTTCAGAGTCCCAACACATCATCATTGAGCGAACAAAAGGCCATGTTCTTTCCTTGGCATGGCCTGAAATGGGGCTTGCAACAAAGGAGGCGTGGTAACGAAAGTTCGATCAGTTTTTAAGGAGATGCGCCTTCAAACCCATTTGCGGACTCATTCGACACAGAATCCGATCTAAACGAGGTAATGGTAGCGAAATATGTGGGGGATGGTCTTTCTAAATATACGACGGAATACTACGCGCCCTTTCAAAGAAATATTTCAAATCATCCGCTAATTTTTCCACGCGGGGACTTCCAGCACAAGAACATCGTAACCCGTAACTTTTCAAGTCTACTTATCAAGAGAATTCGTGTGGGTCAAGCTCAGGGTTGGAGGTCGTGATCATTGACTGGGGGTTCGCAGGCTAGTATCCTGCTACTAGGAATACGCACGCGCTATCTTTGCATGTGGAAGTTGGGAAGACGACTGGAGTCGTTAGGTCGACAGCATATTGGAGCCGTTTTGGAACGAGTACGTCTGGACGAACATGCTTCTTTTGGAGTTATGGTCTTGAGATTGATTATGATTTGGCAAGCCTGATTGCATACGCTATTGAGGGAGTTCTGGTGTTGAGTATATTCAGGATTACCTTTGACACTGGTGGGCTGAGTAGATGGGGATAGCAGGGTGATGTTAACAATGGCGACAATGGAAGCTGGAGAGTGGAGGAGAGAATGTAGAAGTTTCGAAGATGAAAACTGGCTTAGATAGTGTTATCCCCGGCATCAACACGGTTTATTCTCAATAATGGGGCACAAAACAGCCGCGACGCCGGCCGTGGCTTAGTGGTCATCACAAACTTCTGCAGCAGAAACTATACCGTAAGCGTGCAGGTTGTAGCTGTCGGTTTCGAGTTCAAGTTATAGCATTTAGGGTTATAACTAAAAAAAGGAAAAAAAATTATTTAACAATACCTCGCAACTTAGCCCTCAATCCCAAGAATGAGGTCTTCTTATTTGTTTCCTAGCTGAGACTAAAGACGTATGAAGAAGGCTGTGACATGGAGATCCTGTGAGCATATTTCAATATACCGTGTAGTTTTTTTACCCGCTGCTATCAAACGTGTTAAAGTCTTTTGTTCGATCTTTCGTTTGTGTGGATGATCTCCTTCCGCACCGATTTACTCCGTGTTCTCCCAGCCACAAAATCCCCCAACAAATGCCTTCAGATTTTCCAGTCAGTGCCCAGGGGCTGAATCGTCGTGCCAAACATATGACTTGATATTTTCGATCACCCTTTCGCCAAATATGCAAGTACGTAAAAGAGCTCTGGAAAGTAGACCTCACATTGTCATGTGGAGCGATTGGGCAGCATCAAGGATTCGAGGTATATGTATGCACGCAAGTGAGTCAATTAGCTTCGGAAAATTAACATCACGGTATTATGTGTCAAACGATCGGTGGTAGACTCGGGCGGCATCGCAAGTCGACTAACACCACAATGGAGCCCAAGGACAACAGGTGCACTTAGTCATTTAGCTTCGCGAAGCAAACATCACGGTATTATGTGTCAAACAATCGAAGGATAGAATCGCAAGCCAAACAACACCATAAGGGAGCATTAAGAACACTAGGTACACATATCAACGCCAGACTTTCATTACACGATCACACTAGTAAATCACCACATAATCACATCATAAAGACGGTGAACAATTGATCCGAAGTCATCTTTACGTCTCTCTACAGTACATTTCATGATTCAACTCATCCACCTACAACCAACCAGGGCGTCCGGAAGGAAAGGAAGCGAGGGGCTAGAAAAGAGCCGCCAGCCGACCTCATAACCCCGCCTCCACTCATCGCTCCCGCTCTTGCTGATTGGTAGGGGGTGTGTTCGATAATATGTGGTTTACAGAATGTGTGATTTGGGGTGTTTGTGTGGTGAGGGGCGGAGGGATATGAGTGTGTAAGGGGGGAAGGAAAGCAATCCGACAGTCATCTATCGTGCTCCCAAAGTAGTGTTGATGGGGTTATTGTGTTGAAAGTCGTGGTCTAGGGACAGGGATAAGGAATAGGAATTTGGGGTATTACGAGGAAGTGATTTTTGAGAGAGCCTTTTACGACTTGGCAACAACCACCTCCTGCTCAACGGGCTCAGCATCGGCCACCTTCCTCGACATGTTGGCGCCTTCGACCATGCCGCACAGAGTCTCGACGACAATGCCGGTGATCTGGTATGGGTCGGCATTGGAGGCCGGGCGACGGTCCTCGAAATAGCCCTTGCCCTCCTGGGCGCAGGAACGGGGAACACGGACGGATGAGCCACGGTTGGCAACACCCCAGGTGAACTTGTCGTACGACGAAGTCTCGTGCTTGCCAGTCATACGGAGCTGGTTGTCCTCACCATAGACGGCCATGTGCTCAGCTTGGCGCTTGGAGAGCTTCTCCATAGCCGCCTCAATGTACTTCATACCACCCTCCTCACGCATCTCCTTGGTCGAGACATTGGTGTGGAGACCAGCACCGTTCCAGTCGCCGGGAATGGGCTTGGGAGCGAACGTGACCTTGGCGCCGTACTCTTCAGCAACACGGTGGAGGATAAATCGAGACATCCAGAGCTCGTCGCCCACTGCGTTACGTGATTAGTTTGCATAATTCGGGTAGACTCGGCTGGGGATGATTCAGCACTCACAAGAAATGCCGGTGCACGGGCCGACCTGGTACTCCCACTGGGCAGGCATGACCTCAGCGTTAGTGCCAGAAATGTTGATGCCGGCATACATGCACGCCTTGTAGTGCGACTCGACGATGTCACGGCAGAAGACCCTGCCAGTGCCAACACCACAGTAGTATGGGCCCTGGGGAGCTGGGAAGCCACTCTTGGGCCAACCATACGGCCAGCCGTTAAAGTCGAGAAGGGTATACTCTTGCTCCAGACCGAACCAGAACTCGTGCGAAGCATGTGCCTGCATCACGACGTCGGCGTCATGGCGGAAGTTGTAGGCGTTGGGCTTGCCATCAGGTCCCCAGGTCTCGCACATGACGAGGATATTGTCACCGCCCACACGGAAAGGATCGGGGTAATAGGCACACGGGCGGAGGAGGACATCGGAGTTGTTGCCCGGGGCCTGGCCGGTGGAAGAGCCGTCGAAATTCCATTCGGGGAGGTCCTTGAGGCTAGTAACCTTTTTATTTAGGGTCTAGAACGAGGGGAAATGTCAGTTGTGTCTAATTTTTGCATGCCACAAGGCCGGTGGATCAACGGGGAAACTCGTCAACTCGTCATCACACGATGGCGCGCGGACAGGGCCTGCAAAGCTTCTCCATTCGACCATCGGTGCGTAATGTGGCTGGAGGAGGGGCTTGCGGCCTTATCGCGGGGTTCGTGATAAGGACAGGGAAAAAAGCAAAACATGGCCCGAGCCCGGCGATTGGCGGGCGCCGAGAACATCATGTCGAATTGTTTGGGGAATGAGAGAATGAGGAATTGAGAGCTTGCCTTGCACTTTGAGCGGAGGCCGTTGGAGCCGTCAATCCAGACGTACTCGGCAATGACCTTGTTGCCCTGCGGGAGCTTAAGGTACTTCTCGAGCTGTGGTTGGGCGTGTCAGCCTGGCAATTGCGACCGAGGGAGGAGAGGTACGAGCTGCAACTCACGTTGGCGGTGTTGGAGAGGATTGTTGACTCGGCCTGTGCAATCTGCGTGAGCAAACCTCTGCTGTCCAATCCAATTGACATCGGGCCCGTACCATGATTGCTGTTGTGGGGAAGGAGGTGTTTGGGGGGGTGAGGTGGGTGTCTGGCGAAGGAAGTGTATGTGCAAGGTGTGCAGATGGGAAAGCACAAGAGTCCTGGGGGCAGGAGGCTTAAGTAGGTGTGCTCGGGAGAGTGTCTCGGTCAGTGGCGGGGCTGTGATGAATTATTTAGGCTGGCCCTGGGCCAAGAGGCGTCGCCAAACGCTTTCCGTGGGATGAAGAAGCAATAATGCACGCAACTGGCTGGCGTCCATTGTGACTGCTGGGGTTTTCCACGGCGCCCCCAAAGCACAGAACCCACCCCAGGCTACTGCTGTTGAACCGCATCTCTGGGGCTCTCCTCTGCCCAATCCACGCACCCTTGATTACCCCCTCAACAACGGTGTCTTTGCTCAGGCATCGCCGCAGCACTATCCATTGCTGACAGGAGCACAGTGAGACCCCGGTTGAGCACGGCAATGAGGCCCTCAAAGCCCCCGTTCTGCGTGCTCCGGCTTTGACCGCTTTGTTCCTGAACCATCACCCGCCAGCCATCATCTACATTTACTCTAGATAGGATCAACCGTTTGGTTGACGCTGTCGCTGTCTCCAAGACTACCAACTCACACCGCCAGATACCAGCAAGCTCATAAGCCATGCCATTTATGGTCAGACTGCTCCTTTCCCCTGAGTTTTGATTGATGAAGCTGCGTGTTCCTGTGTGCGTGAGGATACATCCACCATCCCTGGATACGGAGGAAGCTGCATCGGATGCCTGCACCTGGGCGCTGGGCATCCGATACACATGCAGACCTCCACTATCAAATAAAAAGGCCTCCATTCACAATGCAGCTTGCCGTTTGACGGAAGTTTCTCTTCTCTGAAGTCGCCCAGCTTCACGGGAGCTCGTGGCGATAGTGATAAGGCCAGCCAGTCGGAGGCGGATAGCCGCATTCTTCACTGACTCGACCCCGGCACTCGAACCTCACTCAACATTCCACTCTCCTACTCTGTCCTTCTCCCAACTCTAGATCAGGCCTGCCTGTCACACGATGGCAATACCGAGCTGCAGCTTCCAACACTCAGATTGTGGTTACCAAGTCCGATGCAAAGTGGCCTTACCCGTTTCAATCGCCATTAATATATTCCCACTGGCCTGGAAACCCGGTGTCTGACTGCATGCGGCGTGGGGAAGGGAGACATCTCAATCCAGCAGCCAACGCCCGCCAACACAAACCTCACACGAAAAGTCTCGTGCTTGTGTTCTGACGGAGTTGGTTGAATCCTTTCGCTGCTCAGAGGTGAGAATTGGCTTTTTTTGGCGAAATGCGGCTTTTTCGGCCCCACCACCACAAGTCTTCCAGCCTTCCGGCAGAATTTTCCAGCGCCCAACAAGCAACCTCCTTCAGTCGTTTGACCTTCTCCATACGCGATGGTGAGCACGAGCGTCTTAAGTGAGCACCATTGTGAAACTCACCCCATGGCATTACCTGTCTACCCCAAATTTTCGCGCATTCCTAACCCCACGGCGTGAATAATCCTCACACCCACTATCCCGCAATAGACGCTGCTGAGATGTTTCCTTTGATCCAGAGCGATTCGAGATATTTTTAAAAAGCCGCAACTTGACCAGCATGCCTGACGATCCTCGTTTGCGACATCGGTCCAGCCACTTACCGGTTGTTGGAGTTCTCATGCCCTGCATCCCCCGCAAGTGCGGCGCGACTTTTAGTGGGGCACACCAAGATCGCATCCTGCATTCTTATCTGTGTGGCTAGTGATGAATGATGCTCTGTACGTAATGCGCGCCGCTCGGCAGGGGAATTTGGTGATGGCTTCGTGTCAATGGGGGCGCGCTTTGCAGAGTTTTCTTGAAATGGAGGTGTGTGAGCAATTTTCAAGAGAAGATGGTAGAGAAGTTAGGGGGAGAGAATATCCAAGGAGAAGTTCTGGGCTAGAATGTGGAAAATTGTATGTGTGGCTGTGTCATCAGCCGGATCAGGAAAGGGAATGTGGAACTTCCCACGTGCTTGGGGGTTCTGGGTTCTGGGGTGATGTCAGCTCAGGATCTGATATCAAAGCCTCCTAGATCCTCCACCTTCACGAGTCTGGTTGGCGCACTGCAGAGCATAATGGTTGAGCTTGGTCCAATTGCTTTCTCCGTGAGACGTGCACGGATTGTCCTCGTATGATTAGGGACCATCTCCATCGAAAATTGGAAACGTTCGAACGGGAAGCCCCTCAATTCGAGATTCCCATATCAACTCAACCTTGGCATGGTGGCTAGAGCGAGGGTTCCTGCAGGAGGCAAAAGTGCAGCTCGGAAAAGCGTGAGCGCCAAAGCAGGATCTGGCAGGGCTGACGAACATGAACACGCCGCCTGATCACCGGGAGCCGAGGGGAGCAAATATGGATCGTACCAGCAGTTCGGAACGCCTGGGGTAAATGGGCGTCATCCGGGATAGGACGTCTGACGTGAATCACCGCTTCCCTGATGCCATACTTGGGAGCGGGGTTAGTCATCCTCGCTCTCAAACACAGTGCTCAAAAGCCTGTGCTACACACTGTCTCTCCCATCACAGGCACAGTCGCTAAAGCAGCGCTGCTGTTCGCATCCGAGATGGGGGATCGGGAAGAATCGTAGGCGCCCCTTGCGCCCCAGCTCCCACCAGCCCTGTCACTGAGCTAGCAATCCGAGACGACAACGTTCCTAGCTTGGCGAGGCTGCTGTGAGTATTCCGTGGATTCCGGAGATTGTGGGGGTGCAAGTGCTTCTCCACTATGCATTACTACTTCTGGCGGATGCCACTCCCATTTCATATCAGCACAGGAAACACTCACGTGATCTCCTGAAAGTTTGCCATCCTAAAAATGGACCATGCTAGAGAACTAGTCTATTCCACATAGTTCCCCACGATGCGAAATAATGTTTGCTAGACGCTGCCAGCGCAATTTGCCAACACTATAATGCTTTCTCACTTTGTCTTTCTTCGTGTTTGAAGAATTCCGAAAATGCGTGACGCTCATTTGCTCCGTTGGGATGGACTGTACAACTTGGATCGTTGTAAAAAGATCGCGAAAAGCCGACAAAACACAATCTTGTCAGTGATCTTCTAGACTGGAAGATGATTTCCTAGATCTAAGTCTTGTTTCAACGCCAGGGCTCAGGAGCGTTTGGTATATCGATCAACTCCGTTTCACGCCAGGCAAGACGACGTGGAGGACAACAGATACACCATGGAATCAAAAGTCGTGAAATTTGCAACTCGCTTGATCTCCCCAATGAGGCTTTCCCAAACATTGTTTAGGCGAACAGCGTAGGATCTAGAAAGGAGAAGTAGTCATGAACCGGCAGTGTTGGTCCAAAATGTTTTCGGTCTACAATGCCTTTGTGTTTGCGATGTGGTATATAATGTTAAGAGGCCCACGTACCAACTTTTTGCTCTCGTAATCAATCTTTTGGAGTAATTGTGCCTCGACTATTATAGCAGTGGATTCTCTACCAATCCTCTAGCGTTTCTTCATCCCAGCTACGGCGAGTTATCGTACGCAGGATGTGCTTCACGGAGCACGTCTACCATCATCCGTGCAGGCATTGGGGTCGAAAGAGATTCGTAGGGGAGCCGTGTATACGATCCAGGATAGTGAACGGGCGCCATACTGGTTGTGGCTATGTTGACTCCCTCGGTTCGGTGAACAGCGATGAGTATTGTTTCGACTGTAAGTACCGTCAGGCACAGGGAGGGGGCTGGAAACCGTTTGCCAACATCAGCAATGATGGGTGGGCCAAGATTGACGAGAAGATTCGCCAACGCTCAATAGAGCGGGACAGATTTTCAAGCGTTCGAGATGGTAAGTCTATTCTTCCCCAGAGAGATGAGGACTATTGCTATCAGGATCTTTCCTAAAAGCATTTTCATGTTAATAATAAAGATAGAAAGGTATAGATGGCTCGGATATTGGAGAAGATGGCGGTCATCTCCATATGATTGAAGTGGCGTTGTGTCTTCGAAGGATGCTATGATTCGCTCTGTGAGAATAGGAGAGTGACGACGGGTGAGAACTAGGGAAAAGGAGGCTTCGTGCAGAAACACAGTACATGGTAAAAAGTATGTGAAGCTCTTTTTCCTGTGATAGTTGGGTGACGCAACTAATTCCTCATCTATTAGTCGGAACACATAAATGTACCAGAAGGTCTAAAATTGGATAGATGTCGAGATACCGAAGCGTCTTAAAGGGAAATTGGAGAACTAGAAAGCTTTCTTGGGGCGAAGAAGATACAAGATGAAGCCGGTAGTTGTTTTTTGATAGACTGGCCGGTGATTGATCGTTCAGTGCAGTAGTGAGCGTGAGTCTCATGATGACTAAGCAGATGCCCCGCACCACGGAGATACTTCAAGTATCGAGATTAGAGAGAATCTTCGATATGATGCTATTCTTGGCCTCCCTACTTAATCTAGAGGTTCCTAAAGATATTCAAAATATCGTTGAGGTTGCCGTCAGTTTGCCGCTGATGGGTTGCCAACGATTGTCAACTCAACTCTCGAAATTCAATCCCATACTTCTGTCCGCCGAGTGGCTATCAACAGTGCCCCATGCTATCATCCTTAGTTATTCTTATTGGTTTGGCGCTTTGCCAAGCTCTAGCGCATATCCAACTCTGGCTTTCATGTTAGAATGTGGGACCTCAGCCTTCCAGAAGGACAGTTTTTGCCGAAGATATTTCTACGCTTTCTTAAGAGATTCACTAATTAGAATATGAATTCGGATATAAGACCACTGGGGGGTTTCTAAGACCTACTGTCTCTTAGAACAAGGCGAAAGTTGTGTTAAACAGTACCTTCACGTCTCCATATGCCTTCCTACCGAACGCCAGTGTTCTCCGCCCCGTTCGCTCATCCCGTCTTGCAGGTAATGCCTTCAGGGCGCTGGAGGCATCCGTTCTAATTGGAATATTCTAGCCTTGTAGGAATGTTGGCGCTCCGAACTACAATTGCTTGTTCCACGGGCAGTGCAAGTCATGTCTGCCGTCCCTCCGCATTTAGGCATACCCTTAACCATCAGTTCACATTTTCTCCACAGTCCAACCCGTTTTCATTCTTGCTGTAATCTTCAAATCCCTGAGACTCTCAAAATGAATATCTCAACAAATATAGTGACACTCATGCTCCTGTTTGCACATTTCGCCAGGTTATGTGTAGCACAAGGCTCTGTAATACCTACATCCACATCCACAGGCGCGAAGCAGACTCACACCATCAGCGTTGGAAACGGCGACCACAAGATGAGGCCAGACGTAACCCAGGCTGAGATTGGAGACGTATGTAGCTATTGTCCCTATCCTATCTGGATCTCCCACCACACGCTGACAGTACCAAGATCATCGAATTCCGCTTCTTTCCCCCGAATCATTCCATTGTCCGCGCCGAGTACACATTCCCATGCATACCATACGAGATGACGGGGAAGGGGAAAGTTGGATTCTTCTCTGGTTTTCATCCTGTGGATGCTGTGTTGCCAAATGTATGTTGAGTGCAAAAAGCAGAACCCATGCCTGACCGAAGCTAGCCTCCGAAGTGGACGATTGCGATAAATGATACATTTCCAATATTCTTCTATTGTTCCGCAAAGGGTTCGTGCATCGACTACCAAATGGTCGGCGTTATCAATCCGGTAAGATGTCGCTACCTTGAACAGGTTGATTGCCGTTTTCGCTGATAACTTCAGAATGCGAGCACATCTCTAGAGATCCAAAGGCAGTACGCAAAGAATTCGTCATTCATGCTACAACCCGGGGAGCAGTTCCCTTCTGAAGGCGGAACTTCTTCTATCTCTTCGATCACGAGCTACACTTTAGCCTCGTCCACATCGACCCCCACACCTTCTAACAGCTATAGTACTGCAGCTACATCAACAATAGCGGCCATAGCAGTCTCCTCTTCCCGACTAGCGCTGGCGCCAGGTGCTATAGCCGGGATAGCGATAGCAGGACTTGCAATCGTTGTCCTTGCCGCGGCGCTTTTCTTCTTCATCGGTCGCTCGAAATCGCTTGGAGAAGCAGTAACGCGTCAATCTGTAGCCCTGCCACCTCAATCACCAAACGCCATGTTTCCACACCAGTATCTTTCTCCAAAGGGCGATGGTATGACGGATCTTAGTTCTAGGAATAGCGCTGCCGCGTTGCCTGGGACTGCGACATATGAGCCGGCAGGAGGGATTCAGAATACAGAATACTCGTATATGACTGCTAATGAGAATTGGCATTTGGGAGGTGTGACGAGGGGTCCAGGGATGAATGGGGGATATTTGAGGAATGGTAGTGCGAGGTGAGTGCTTCTTGCTGTACCTTTAGGCACCGAGGCGATGTTTATCTGTTGAATAACATAGTCCGGCGGTTCCTATTCGCCATCCTACTGTGCTAATTAATCCGGATAACCCTCAAGAGAAGGACGCAGGGAGTGGGCGATAAGTAGTGTCAAATGAAAGGACTCCATAGACGGAAAGATTCAGGAGATAATATTTTTTTAACCATTTCTACACGATGCACACCACGAACCCTTAAGTTTGGAGGGACAGGAATGGCTCACAAATGATAGTCAAGTGCCTAGAAAGAAGAAGCACTATTTAATCCTCAGTTTCGAAAGAGAGTGTTTCTCAAGGTTTGATCCATATAGTCGGTTCTAATTATATTTGCTAGTCTTAAGCAATCGGTATGGAATTTAAAAAGTAACGAAATACCATGCCATCCTCTTGGATGCCGCAAGCGTACTACAAAGGTAGAATATCGCTCGAACTTGTGATACCCGGGCTTTCTTCGGATCTCATTGGTTCTTGCGCCAGCCTATGAGAAGGGGAGATTCTGCTCAATGTGAAGAATAGCCTAAAGTCAGGCGTTTCAGCGGGGCGTAATTCGTGCATGGAAATGTTTCGACATTTAAGGATCTACTGCTACTCTTGTGATGTTTTGGGAATCGGGGATTGGAGGAAATGAAAGTTGAAAAGGAGGCGGATGGTACGAGGTCTCAAGTTATAGCGCGGCCTTGGGCGTCAGATTCATTGAATGCGCTCGTACAGAGGTAATCGTGCACCCACTAGGGCTGAAATTAAGTGACGCAGATTCGCCCAGTATTGTAAATTATGAATGTTGGCCCCCTGATTCGTGTGATGGTAGTCGATAGTTGCTGCTTGAACCTTGGGACCGCCACAGTGCCTTGCCTAACTACGAAGATCCGCTCCGAATTTCCCAAGAAAGAGGAATGATGTGAACATACCCGATTTGGCGAGTCAAGTGCGCAGAATGTAGAAACTAAACATGATCGACCGGGTGAGTTGGGGTTTCTCACACAGCAGCATAGCATATTCATCAATTCGGAGCATCGGTGTTGCTGTTGGACGGTGCAGAGTGTATCGGGGCCATCGAGCGAACAGGGCAACCCCCGAGCATAGTGTGACGAATTGGGAAAAGCACCGTTGGACGCTCAGGAGAAGCCCAAGGCCGACATTGAACGCTAAGTCTTTCCCTTTGGTGGTTTTGAGTCAGGAGAGGTTGCAAGAGTGCGGGCAACGCCCAGATGGCGGGAGATGGCGAATGATGGCGAGAAGCGAGAACGCCGACATTAACGATTTCCACGTGAATCTAGCTGTGGCGGATCTATCCAAGTTAGTCTGAGTCGAGCAGTTCCTAGTCAAATGCTGTCCAGCCGTAGGTCCATAGGCCCAGGGGAACGTCGTACTTGCTCCACTAACGGTCATCCGGGGTTGTCTCCAACTGGCGTTCTCTTCTGCTTGCAATATTTCTCCCTCCATGCAGCACTGCTCGTTTCTTGAGCACTCTGTTTCGAGATTGCTTTTGGAGCGTTTGCTATAGCATTGAATCAATAGGATTGCCGAACGACGGTTGAAGCGACCGCGATCGACGTCAAGGATACTCTCTGACACTTCCTCCCCTATCCGAACGGTCTCGTCTCACCCCGATTCAACCTCCAACGCTCCTGTATCCCTATCAATTATCTAAGAAAACATGGACGGTTTCTAGGACCCTGCATTTCCATTCCGACGTGCGCCGGCTTCCTAGGTGTCCTTCCCCCATTCTTTTTGCATCATCCACCTGGGCGGTCCGGAGAATAATCGCAGCGCGATCAATCCAGCCCCAGCAGCTGCTCCGCCGGCGCGCAGTACCTGCATACTATCAATCTTAATCGCATCATATTATTCCCCAACAACAGGCGCGCTGCGGCGAAGTTTCGTAAGCCATGCATCGGCACACGCGGTCAGACGCCGGAGATCTCTCCTCTCCTCGCTCAAGCAGAGCCCCAAGCTTCAGCAGCGACCGGCCCAGCGTCGCAGGATCCGCAACTTTTCAGATGCCTTCGAACGTGCGGCCGCCGCCTGCCTACATTGCGGCCTCGGTGGCCTCGCAGATTGTAACGGACCATCACAATGCGCAGCTCCGCGAAGATAACGACTCTGGCGATGAGGGTTCCACGTCTCTCCTCGTCAACGCCCTCTTCTCAGAGGGAGCACTCTGCTTGCTCAACGCCTTCCTAGACCATCTCCTATTCTCATTTCTATCGACCGCGCGATCGCCCTCCCTGACCGCCATCCGGCCCGCGATCGCCGACGTGCTCAAGCCGCGACTCGCCCGCGAGGCAATGGCGACGGCCGACGAGGAACTTCAAGGCCTACTCGCTGGGGAGGATGACGAAGAGTTTCCCGCGGCACTCAATGGCCAGAGCTCGACTGAGAGGTGGGACGTGGAGAAGGTCTGGAAGCGGACTCGTCTGCGCATAATGGTGTACACTCGGTTGGGGGAGCTTGAGGACGAGGATGAGGAGCGCTACGTCCAGCAGGAGCGAGGCCTCAGCATGGATGAGAGCGACGATGAGGAGGCCGGGCTCGTCTCGTGGGCCGCCGCCATCTTCTTGACGTCGGTGGTCGAGTATGTAGCGGAGCAGACACTCATGGTTTCGGGCCAGGCGGCTTTCGCGCGCATGTCTGCGAAGATGAAGAAGACGGCCCAAACATCCGAAGATAGCGAGGATATTCAACTGGAGCGCATAGTTGTCGAAGACTACGATGTGGAGAAGGTCGCCTTGAATTCGGCTCTGGGCCGGCTGTGGAGGACTTGGAGGAAACGTGTTCGGTCTCCCATCACGCCCCTGACTCCCTCGCGCGGGCCGCGCTCCATGTCCAGCTTTACGAGCCTGCACCGCCGACGGGTGAGTCACGAGACGATGGACGATTCCATCTTGAGCGACAATGGGGCTGTCCCTGAGGTCCCCGAGCGCCAGCCTACAGAGACTGACATTGCCGCCAACATTCCGCTTCCAATCGGTGACAACGACGTCGCTGAGATAGAAGTTCCCGGCCTGGCGCGCCAGTTCGATGGTTCGAGCAGCGGTACACAGACTCCCGTCCCCCGGCCACAGAGACCTTCCAGTTTCATTTTGCTCGCTCCCATCGAGAGCGTTAGGAGGGGGCCGGCGAAAGGGCGTCCAGTATCAATGCCACCGCCAGCTCCCCAACCATTTGAAGTTCCTCCTTCCCAGCCTGTGACCGACGAATCCGAGTTTGTGACGCCAATGGAACGAATGTCGGAAGAGCACAGTTACATGGAGCAATCGGCCCAAGAAGAAGCGGAAGAAACACAGAGGGCACACTTGCTTAGCGAAGAGCATGAGCATCACCAAGACCATGAGCTAGAAGCGGATGCCGACATGGTAGCTTTCGCTGCGTCCACTGGGATGGGCTTTGGGATGAGCCCCATTAGCCCGACAAAGCACAAACCTTTTGAGAAGGACGATGACAATAGAGTAGAGACTCCAACCCAGCCTGGTTATGATGACGAGCCGCAAGTATTGCACTCAAAGCGCTTGTCAATTGAGAAGTCTGGACCTCCGGGTGTAGTCCGCACGTACTCGGCTCGCAGCAGCACCAGGTCGCCGTCGTCAGTGTTGCGGGGTGAAGGTAAATCGTACCTCGAGGATGCCGGGACAGACGACGAGACACACGACTATGAGGCCATTGGAGTCGCCCGTACCACGAATGTTCCTATTCCAACACCCTCACCTCCCGCCCAGGAACTTCCAGCCCATGACCAGCCGACGGGGTATGCAAGGCAGCATGACCGCGGGGTGTACGAAGCGGGTGCGACGCGCCATATCGCCTCTGTCTCAACAAAGGCCGTTAAGACACCCAGCCCCCCTGTTGAGACACCACCGCCACTAGAGAAATCCGTGCAGCGAAAAGAAGTTCCGCCGCCCAAAGTCCTGCCTGCTTTGTCGCGTGGGCCTGCATTGGCGTCTTTGCAAGAATCTGAGAGCTGGCCGAACAAGCCACATGAGGAACATACTACACCTGCGGTGCCGGAAAAGCGCGTCTCAGATGTTCAGCGAAACGGGGCCCCTCAGGGTGGCAGCCCAAAACCCAGTGGACCCCGCCGCTCACGAGAATCACCAGTCGCGGTTGCAGAGCGTGAGCGTTCTGGCAAGCGTCCTTCAAGCTTGGAAAGTGGAAGCCGCTCTCGGGCAGGAACGACAGAGGGCGTCCCCGTAGAGAAAGCCACGCTCCAACGTGTGTCATCTTCCGCCTCCTCAACCGCCAGGTCTGTCTCTACGTCCATTCTCCACAGTGCACGTGACTCGGATTTGAGCATCGGCGGCCGTCCTCGAGGTCTCAGTGGGCGCATGTCAGAAGAGGATCGCGAACGAGAATTCGACTCCCTCGTCAAAGGCCAAGAAACGGTTAAGTTTACGCTTACCCCACAGGCCATGCGCGATATTGATGTAAGTGGTTTCCTTTCAAAGCACCATATACCACCTAACCCTCTCAGGAACCTCTGGTTGTTCGAAAGCCGGAAGCCCCCAAACCTACCCCTACCTCCACAGTCACGGTATATCCTCGAGTCAATGCCGACAAAGACAATTCCTTTGGCTCCCAGGCCTTGCCGCCTGTCCGGTCTGGTTCCCGGAGCAAAACCACCTCCGCAAACAAGAAGATGGGACCGAAGCCGCTAGCAAGGGAGCCCCGCATTCAGGGTGAATCAATGAGAGACTTTGCTGACTTCATTCGATCAACTGGTCCTGCTGCTGGCGACCAACGTCCTGTCCAGCCTTTTCTGTCCTTGTCCAATTCAACGAGCCCCAAGTCTCCTCCTTCCACCTCTACCATTAGTGGACTTGGGAGGAGGATGTCTGCAAGACATTCTTCAACACTGGGACAGTCAGGCTCGAGTGCAGGAGAGGGTCCCTCGGCGAGACCTCGCCTCCACATGGAACCAAGAAGTCCAGCTGGCCAACGCACTGGCAATGATGAATTGATTGATTTCATTCGCCAGGGTCCGCCCGGGTCAAACAATGGCCAGCACAGAATTCCACGCTCGGTTGCACCATTTAGAACTACTGTTGACTCTGATCAGTTTGACAGAATGCTCGACGATAACAGCAATATTGAGTCTGCATATGGTTCTCAAGTGTCAACCAATTCCAAACAGTCCAACAACACTTCGAATTCTAGGACTGGTCTCCTGCCAACGCCCACTGTTGTACACCCAGCTTATTCCAATACCCCTCAAAATCTCACAGGAAGCCTCAACAACCCCGAGCCCCAGATTAAGCGCACTCGCCGCCGTGTGAAAGACCCATATGCCATTGACTCGGACGACGAGGATGACGATCTGCTGACCGCCCTTCCCAAGTCCAGCAAGCCCCGACAACAAGAGGAGAGCCTTATGGACTTCTTGGGCAGTATGGAGCCACCACCAGTGGATAACGAGCCAAAGCCGTTCCTGCTCAACAGCGCAACAATAGCCGCCGCCAAAGCTCGTGCTAATGCTGCGGCCAGCGCTGCCAACGCTTCCAACTCAGGTACGGCGCCTTCGTTGACCGCTGCTGGCAATCGCAACGGCGTCTCTCGCTCCGGCAAACCCGTCTCTGCACAGTCCGCTTTTGTTTCTTCATCAGTCACCTCCGAACCGCTGAGAGCTCGCGGCCCGAAGCTTCAAGCGCGAGCCGCCGGTACCAGAGAGGCTCATGCGGGGAGATCTGCCACAAATGACCTCGCCGATTTCTTGCGTACCTCCGGCCCGCCTGAACCCGCCGCTCCACCCCCTGGTGCTACAATTCGAAAAGAGGAGAGCGGCAAGCGCATCAACGCGAAATTCTGGCGGAAGAAGACTTACGGCGATATGCCATGATCACCTATACCCTTTTATATCTTGCCTGCATTTTTCATGTCCTTTATTTATGCTGGCTAGACAGACATCTTGGAGAGAGTTTGGGGACCTGAGGATGACTTGGACTTTTATGCTTCTTAGGTATAATGCCTTGTAAAGACATGGTCTTGTTGTACCTGTATCTTGATAACCTTATGACTTACTAAAGTTCCATTCTCTCTCGATATGAGCCCGGTTGTTCTGTTCTAGCGACTGAGCGATATTTAGAAATGTCCTTGTACGGTTAAAATCATTTGAATACGCATTCTTATCTTGTTTCTGGAGCTTTGGAGGTTGTTCAGAAGTGTGGGGTTTCTAGCAGCTGCTATGCAATATCTTGAAATCATTCGTTTGCGTATGTTATTCTAGTCCACACTATACCCATAGATGTGACCTTCTTTAGGGTACAAAAACTAGGACTTGCACAACAAAAGTTACAGAAATCACGGACGAAAACGAAACATTCCATCCAACAGTCATGGTCAAGACAACAACGACCCATCCGCACATCCACCCAGCCCTCAAATATTGGCGCTCAGCCTAACTACCTTATCTGGATTAAGGATACCCTTCGGGTCCAACGCTATTTTAATCCTCCTCATCATATCCACGCCCTCCTGCCCCACCTCTTTTACTAGCAAATCCCGTAGCTTCAATCCTACACCATGTTCACCTGTAATCGTACCTTCGAGTTCAAGAGCTAGCCGTTGAACCTGAGACAGGAGCTGCTCTGCGGCGTCTTTGTCTTCTTTTGGACAGATAATTGCCGTGTGAACGTTTCCTAGGAAGGGAAGGGGTTAGTTGGTGTACTGTAAATGATAGGGTACCTCTCTGTGTTGCTATATGGTTCATACAGTACCCAGAGTAAGAAGCTGGAACAACAAGACTTAGACCCACCGTCCCCAACATGTCCCACATTGGCACAAAACCACCCCCTCCTCTTCCCACTCCCACTCCCCTCCACAATCCTTATACTCTCCTCCACCAACTTCGCCATTCTACTCACTGGCACAGCCGCATCCGTATGCAAAAACAAATCACTCTCGCTCTTCTTCATCGCCACGAGCGCATTCCCCAAACACTTCCTAGCGCCCCAAATCACATTAATCCGCCCCTTGTCCGCCGAAACCTCAACCGACTGCGCGGAATGCTGTTTGCAGAGCTCCTCGACGAATTGCGTTTGCGCTCGCACTATCTCTTGACCTCCTGCAAATTTGAGGAAAAGGGTAGGGTGTTCTAAGAGCGGTTCTTCCCCGAGTCCGGATTGGTTGATTGCGTGAATACTTGGCTTATCTGCGAGTTCGATTGCTTCAAGCTGTAACCCGCTTTTTAACACTTTCCCCACAACATTCACGGCTGTCTGTAACTCCGCAAAACAGGCTAGGCCGACGTGGAGATTCACCGGCAACGTGGCGACCTTGAGGACAGCTTCGGTGACGAGTGCGAGCGTGCCCTCTGAGCCGACGATCAGGCTCGTGAGATCGTAGCCTGCAGAGGATTTTCGAGGGCGATTGCGGGTTTTAAGAACAGTGCCATCGGCGAGGACAAGGGTGAGGCTAATGACCCAGTCTTTCATTGTGCCGTAGCGGTAGGCGTTTGTGCCAGAGCAACCCATTGATATCTGTACTCGTGAGTCTCGTTATCACAGAGTACCCTGTACCCAGCAAGACTCACCATCCCCCCAATCTTTGCCCCCGGCGCTGGATCCGGCGGAAAAAATAGCCCCTTACCTTCTAGCCACTCATTCAACTCAACCCACCCAACATTCGGCTGCACAACAACATCCATATCCTCGTCATGCACCCCCAAAATTCGATCCATGTTCCTAAAATCGATGCACACCCCACCTCTTGTCGCAGTCAATGCACCTCCCAGACTCGTGCCCCCACCAAAAGAAGTTATTGCGATATTCCTCTCATGACATGCTTTGGCAATGCTGGACACTTCAGCTGTGGTCGTTGGATAGAAGACTGTGGTAGGAGTGTGGTGTTCTCCAGCAGGAGAATGCTTTGTGCTAGATTTGAGGAAGCATTCCGCAGGATCAGACGAGTGTTTAATGGCATGGTCCTTGAGGACTTCGTTGCAGAGAGTTGAGATGTTTGATGGGGAATGGTCGTATGTTAATTGAGGGGTGTCTGAGAGCGGGAGTGTCGATTTTGAAGACGCTAATACCATAGTGTAGGATTTCTGTTCTGACTTTAGAGTGAGTAATATATGGGCTTGGAAGACGTGAAGCTAAAGGTAACAGGTTGGAGACAGGCATAAAGAGATTAGATGGTTTAAGCGAAGTGAGGAGTTGATCGATGTAGCTTGATTTGTCATCGCACTGAACATATGGAGTCAGCAGAACATACCAAAGTGAGCAGCAGATGCAGTCAGCAGAGGTGAGGCTGCCACATATCTGGTTACAACTTGATGTGGGAGGTTCAGCGCGACTCCTCGTTGCTGGCGGCTAAGTTACTAGACAAAGCTATTTATTGGATTAATACCGCAGTTTTCAATGCCCATTCACTGACTTAATCACACCTGTAGTAGAAGTTATTCATTGATTGATTAATGTTAAGATTTTCTTGAGGCTGCCGAGGGGTGGATACCCCACTCTAAGCTGGGGGAGTTGTCCATGCTCGTAGCAGTCTTCCATCCCGCAGAAGAAGTAGTGGAGATCTCCTAGACAGCGTTTCACCATCGCACATTGCTTCTCTCCTGCATCCTCAGTGATTGCGGAGATCTTCTGGACAGTGTTTCACCACCACTCCACCACCCCTTTAACCCCCTACCCCCTCATCTCCACCTCCCTCCTCAACCACTCCCCCCAAACTCCCAAATCTGCACACACATCTAGAGCCCTCGCTACTCTCTTCACCCGATCCTGATACTCCTGGGCACCCTCTACCATCTCCACACCTTCTGGATTAGGAGGTAGAGGAATAATGTTTTGGTCCGAGACGATTAGATCTGCATTAGCGTGTACGTCGATAGTGATACCGATTGGGGGTTTGGTGGTCGTGGCTCCCATGATTGAATCAAGGACTGAAGCACTGGATGTAGGCGAGGTAGGTGCGCGTGTCGAGGCACAGGATTCAGGATGTGGGAGGTAGAGCGAGAGACGAGGTGTGGGTTGTGCGTAGGACAGTGTGAGGTCCAGCTGGAGTGGGGAGTTCGCGTCTCTTTTCTCAGGGGTAAGAGGTGGGGAGAGGGGAGCAGTTGGGGATTTTGGGGTTGGTGGCGGTGGTGTTGAAGAAGGGGACAGGAATGTGTGCTGCAGAAGTGAGCTTGTGAAAGCGTATTGCCGGAGGGTTGGTAGTATTTCAACAAGTTGCCGCGGGTGTTGGAACGGTAGTGACTCGATAGTGCGCGAGTACTCGGTTTTCGGGACGTATAGAGAGTTTGTGTGGATTCTCTGCTCTTCTTGTCCGTCTTTGCCTTGTACTAATACAGTTTTCTCGCTTTGGATTTCCTGTGTAGATTCTCTAGCTATACCCGCCAGTCCCGGATCCGCGTCTCCAGGCCGCAAAGCAAGGCCGAAGAATGTGGTGGGATGAATATCCTGGGGAACATCTAGGCCGAGGGACTGGTGGATTGTAACTACAACTGATAGAGGCACGACAAGAGGAGGGTTGAATTTGGCGATGAATCTGATATTTGGCAGTCTCCCAGATGCCACATCTAAATGCATCGCATCGTGCTCGCCGCCTGGAGGAGCTGAAGGTAGATATGTGGGTGATGGCTCTAACCAGTCGATTGTTGGTCTGTTGAGGAGGATGTTGTTGATGTCGGAGTCCGCTGCGTCCGGGGCCTTTTCTATCGCATCTGATATCCACGCGTCTGAAATGCGTATAGGAGAGTACATGGAAGAGGGGCAAGATTCGCATTCAATAGTTAAGGAGTAAATCTTATTAGTTTCAGGATCTCCGTCCTCGGGATATTCGTTTCCTTCCACAGAATCAATGTCCATTTTGTCCTTGCCTTTACTCCAAGTCGGCTTTCGTTGTGTCCTAGCGGGGATGATATGCCGTCGGTCCATCCAATATTCAAGCGATAAGCCAATGCAGTTCCCAGCATTGATTCGCGGGCGCCCACTCTTCTTGCAAAGTACCTCTCTTTCTGCTCTGTGGTTCGCATGAGGTGTATTAGCCTCGATAACTGCCAGCGCCATCTTCTTCTCGTGCTCAAAAAGCTTCTTCAAGCTACCGTAAACACCAAGGACTGCTTGATAACAGCTCACGCCTCCGTTCTCCGGGGCCCCCAGTTTGTCCATCCGAAGTAGCTTATCCAGATTATGCGAGAAGCGCTCTAGTGTGAGATTAATCCTGGTCATCCCGGGAAGCGGTCGCAAGCTCTGAAGAAGGACTTTAGATCCTGACGTTCCAAACCCGATATCCGGACGATCTGGATCAAGCTCTAGCTTGACACTATCAATTTCGCCATCGCGGAGGGCAATCTGCGGTTCATTAGCAAAACAAGAATTTCTAACGAGTGAGTTCTAAACAATCATACCTCGCACATCGCCTCATTCCCAATAAGCAACGTCAACATAACCCGATTCCCACTCTGCATCTCTCCCATAACCTCCAGGCCCTCTTTCTTGCACAGCGCAATAATACCCTCTTCACTTACCCTCCCCGGTTTCGTCTTCAGCATCGCGATAACGGACTCTAGTCTCCGCCGTCGCTGGTCCTCGTCTGCACGTCCCATTGCGCTGGCCGTTAGCCCCATTCCGCTTACGCTGATCCCCATCCCACTCATGCTGATGCCCATGCCGACTACGCCTTCGAGTGAGAGCCCGAGTGCGGCGGGAGAGTCGAAGTTTATCATGCCAGGGAGGCTGCGTGGTGCAGGGGATGAGAAGGCGGCGAGGTGCTTTTGCGGGGTGTTGGTTGTTGGGGTTGCCATTGTGGGGTGCGAGGCTGCAGGTGCAGTGTGGCCGACTTGGGTTGGAACTGTAGAATACGGATATGTTGTACGGGGTTGAGCCTTTTGCACCTTCCAGGTGGAGGAGGAGGATTGAAAGGCGGGATAGTCGTGAGTGAAACTGCTGGGTTAAAGCTTTCGCGAGTCAGGTCTTGGCGTTTTTCAATCCTTGGTGTATTATGACAGCTTAGGGAGGATGCAAGTGAGCGTCAAAGCCAAAGTTAAAGTGAAAATAAAGGTGAGAATAAGATTGAAAATAACGTGGAATTGAAGGCGAAAATGAATGTGAATATGAATGTGGATGTGAATGTGAAGGTGGATGTGGATATAGGAATATAAATTTAAAATGTGCAAGGTAATGAATAACTATAGCAAAGGACGCAAGTTTTTCTTTCCAACTTAGTAAGCCTAAATACTGCACCCTATTGACACACTCCCGGTTCTACCAAAAGTTTTAATAGTTGAATCAATCCTGGTCATATTCTAGCTGAAGTAATAACAGCCTGTAGTGTGTGTTTCCGTATTTACTTTTGCTTGGAATAAGTATAGAGCTCGATTCGAGGGCATTTAAAGTCAAGCTCTGGGCTAATCCCTTCAAAGCTGGTGGTCTCATATTGTACAACAGATTTCCCTATCTTGCAGACAGTCCACTGAACCCCCTCCCCCGTGAAGGTAAAAAACAGCTTGGGGTATCATGATGCGAATGCTACTCCCGACTGGGCAAACAACCTCAACACTAAAACGCTAGCTCTCGTGACATATTCCCAAATAAAGATACCAAGATTAATCCACCTCGATATAGTCGTCGTCAGGCATCTCAACAACCTTCGCCCGAGAACGTGTCGCAGTTCCGCGCGTCAGTTTTGGTCCATTCCCTTTCCTTGTCTTGGACTTCCCTGAGGCAGTCCAAGTGGACCTACTCAGCATCTTTTCTAGTTCCTCCTCACCCCCAAGATTCGCCCCGTGGCCCAGTCCATTGGCAGGCTGATACTCAATCTCCCTCAGCCGCTTCCGCGGCCGCTCAGCCAGCCCATTTTCCCGTTCCTCTTTCTCCCTGGCTTCGTTCTCCCAGCGCTTACGTACCTCATCCTCGGCCTTATTCTCCATTGAGTGGAACGAGGCGTGGTGGGAACATCCGTCGCATTCGTAGCTGGATGCACTCTATGCGATGAGTCAGACCATGTGTTGTGTTGTGTTGTGTTGTGTTTTGATGTGTTGTGTTGAGTAATCCATCGGCAGAGGGGCCTACCTTCAGAGGATGCAGCATGAAGCGAAGACAAGGGCATTTCGCCGACATAATTGAGGGCTTGAAGTTGCACTGCCCACGTGGTGGAACATAGTCCATTTGTGCCCAAACATTGACTCCGTGGACCGCCATTGTGGTTGGCTGGTCAAGTCGTAGAGTTGGGTGCGGTCGTACGGAATTGAGAGCATTCTATATTAGGCACAGTGTATGTACCAAAGCCATTGTTGGTGGCTTGAGGTGTTGAGTGAAAGTGAGGAGCCGCATCGTGAAACGAGCTGCAGGTCGAAAAGTTGGCCTAAAACGCGGAGATCCCCCGCGTTCACGTGATGCTATCTAACCCCAAACAGAAAATCTAGCTCCGGCCATGACGGACATATGGAGCTACGTCATGTCCGTCGTTAAAGAAGGAATGTCTTATCAAATATGAGAGGACATGTATATGTCAATGCTCGAGCAACAAAGCAGTCTGCTGCTTTTTCCGGACCATGGAGGGCGAAAGAGGCGGCAGAATCCCCGTAAACCTTCTCCTCGGCGTCTCGGTCCACAATATATTTGGAATTGCTCTTGGCCTCACCGCACGCCGAAATGGTCTCACCGCACGCCGAGTTTCAGTTGACTAGTAATCATCATAACATGTTCTGCAGCAATGGCCCCTTTCAGACCTTCATAATTCCAAACACCTCGTCTCCCGGCGCATTTTCCCGTGCTCCATCCCTGCTTTGAAGGTTTTGGGGTGTTGAGGAACACGCCCTTTGAGTATTTTGGCGAATCGGCGAGGCTGGGAGCCGACAATGCGACAGGCTAACGGACTAGGGTCAATGGAGGAGGGGAAGTTGGAACAGTTCGACACGTTGCGGCTTGCTGGAGGCGATCAGCCCTCGGCGGGGTAGCTTAAGTGTATAAAAGCGTGGGAGGTAACAGCATGATTCAACTCCACCACGATCCATCACTTCATTCAATCTACGCTCCAATCCCTTTAGACCAATTTCACACATTCGATTCGAACAAAATGGCACAAGGTGGCTGCACGTGCGGCAATGTCCGCTATAGCGTTGAGGGGGAGCCTGTTGTGAAAGTATGCATTGCATGACCTTATTTCTTGATTGCTGTTAACTAAATTTCTAGGCTCTTTGCCATTGCCTTGACTGCCGAAAGATTTCTGGAAGTACATACAGCACCAATGCTCTGTATCCTGAGGGAGGCTTTAAGCTGCTCTCCGGTAGCCCGAAGACTCATGCCAAGACCGCTGACGGGGGGAACACGATCACCAGCTTCTTCTGGTAGGTACCTGAGAGGCCCTCTATTATCACGTTCTAATTATGCCCCAGTGGGGATTGCGGGTCGACCATGTGGCGTGAGGGACTATCCTTCAAGGGCCTGAAGGTTATCAAGGTATGTGGATGACGTTGGGGGGATTGGACTGGGCTGAATTGACCTTTAGGTTGGAACGTTGGATGACATCAACGCTTTAGCTAATGCGAAGCCTGACGTCGAGTTGTTCGCTCCTACTCGCGTGGAGTGGGTCGCCGCCATTGCGAATGCCAAGCAGGCCCAAGGCATGTCTTGAGGGGATATCGGATGGCCGAAAACCTCGGATAGGGAATGAAGGGGTGGTAGTTGGGTAGCAATAGGCACACGTGCGGTAGCTAATCGGAATCCGAGCTCTCAGGCTCCTTGAGACGTTCTTTCATCATCTGGACGTGATATCAATTGAGCTGGCTTTTGAGTTTGCTTTTGGCTAGAATTGGTGCACACTCACATTCTGCAGGCGCTGCTTGAGCTCTGCGAGCTTGGAGTCCTTGACTAACACGTGCTCTTCATCAAGGTCTTCGATGATGAATTCATGCTGGTTTTCCTCGTCCATTTTGACGAGCATTGCTTTGATAGACGCATCACACTTGACGAGTGTGCCTGCGGAATGTTAGCAAAGAAGGCATGCGACAATCGAGAGGGAGGAGCGCACCTTTGACTGCTTTGACCATTTTGCCGGGGCAGTTGTCCTGTGTATTTATGCGGGCTGGAGGAGGTGTCGTTGGGTTTAAGTTGATGTCGTAGGAGCCATCAGGGTCCTCCAGCGATGGTGAGTGATGGCGAGTGAATGCGAGCTCGTGAACGCCCCTGCGATCGGCCCCCGGGATCTGCCAAGATACCACCCCACGCCACTTTTGGCTTAGGCTTCCGCGGCCCTCCGCCCATTCACCATTAGATTTACAACCAAAAGATGATCATCGTCTTATCGCCGTGCTTCAGTTCTTCGATGACACGTCGAACTGCCTCAATTCACTCTTCCACTGCACCATGGCCTGAATATCGAAGAGTCCCTTCTCCTTCTCCCCTTCCTTCTTATTCACATTACCTTTTCACCCCGCCGGACCACCGACCGTCCGAGAGCACTTGAGTTGATCACCCGCTGCCAATCTTCCTTCGGGGAGTTGCCGCCGGGTGCAATAATGGAGAACATACCCATTCAGTCCCGCTGTGAACCCAAACGCCAGAAAGCCCTGCCTTCTACCCTACTTCTATTCATCACCGCCATGTTACCTAGACGTGTGCACGCCCAGGATATCTCCACGATAACTTCCGAGCTATCTCTAGAGACTAGCTCTTCCACGCCGAGCACCTCAACCTCCGCTGCTCGAACTCAATCGCCGCCCTCAATGATTACATCATTCATGTCTACGTCACCGCCAAACAGTTCCACCGCGACCACAAGTCGTGTGACCAAAGACATGGCTCCTCCCCTCGAGATACCTTTCGCCACACCTCCCGCAGATTCAAGCGATACAACACAGGAAAGAAAAGAAGGTGTCTTCAACTACTACTTCTTGTTCCTGGCTATCTTCGGGCTACTCGTGGCTGTAAGCTTGTGGCTGATACATCGACGGAGAAAACGCCGGAAGGAACAAATGCGTTTGAGTGGACAAAATGCCTTGGCAAGAGATCTAGATGGCTGGGTTAATACTCGAAGGTGGATGCATGGAAGCTGGAGACACAATCAGACTGGATTTGTCAGAAGAGAGGAGGGTCTTGACGAGCATGGAGAGGCTCCTCCACCGTATGAGCCCAAGAGCGAGACGACAGTGGGCCAAGATGGTGTGAGCACAAACCGGCAGCCTGCTGGTGGTTTAGCGATACCCCTGAGGACACTGCAGAGAGATGAGATTGAGAGAAGCCGCCCTCCGGAGTACCAGGAGACATTGCCCCGCAGAGGAAGCAATCGCAGTCAGCCCGAGACGGCAGCCACTCGCACTACTCGTTCAGACACTGCTGGTCCGGATACGGTAGTATATCACTCAGATACTTCTACACATGACCTTATTCGGGCTGGCAGAACATCATAGCGAGTGTATATCTCGTCCTTCAATTCGGAAAATGGTCTTGCGGCCCCCGACTGGGCTCTTGCATCGCATTCGCTTTTCTTTCAGGACAAGCCTCATCGAGCTGTACAGTGGACTCCAGCCCGGTCATTGGAGGCCGAAGAGGTCTAAACCATTTACATCATTGTTCCCATGAGCAAAGACTCCAAAGACTCGTCACGAATCTCCTAGCTGTCCCCATCCCCAATACCACCCTCGTAATCCTGGATTCTCAGAAGCTTTTTGCATAGCACCGGCGTTCAGGTAATTTCTCATTTCACCCTATACTATTTTTTTTTTGGGCTGGCTGGCTGGCTGGGTATCAGCTTATCGCTGCGGCAGAGCGTGGTGTTGTTCTTGCCTTGTATCTATATATTTTGGAGATCTGGCTGGCAAATCAGCAGGTGGTTTCGATTCTGCCGAGTCCTCACCGCCTCATTCGACCCCATAGCAAAACTTTGGATTGAGTCTGTGTCTTAACCAAAGATTATCAACTTTCCAAACGATAATGAATAATTATGCAAAATATTTTGTCACACATTTTTCTTGCCGTAAGTCCTGTCCAGAGGACGATGGTTGCACCTCCCGCCACATTACAGAGCAAGTAGCTGCTGAGCAAGCCAAACAATCGAACCATACACGCTGACTCTACATCCTCATAGCTCACTTTTCACCATAGATAATCCCTCAAAGCTCACCGCAGAATCTGATGAAATTCGGACCTTCCGAGGAAATAATAAGATCCATCCCTAGCCCTATTCACCTCAATCTGACTGTTCCACCCCCCGCCTCACATTCTTCCAATCCGAGAAACCGCCACCGATTTCCCACCGAGTTCACCGACTCAACTCGGCTACTCAAACACCAACTAGCCACTAGATTTCATTCAATCTCACTGTTAATCTCAATTCCAAGACTTCTTCATGGCCCCTTCTGCTCGGCCGAGCTCGACGGACTTCTGCCGTCCCTTCGGCCTCCTTATCGCCAACACACCGCTATCCCTCATGATGGCGATTTGCAACCTTTGACTATAGATTACGAACTCTTTTCGCCCATCCTTACCACGCGCCTAAACGGTGGCGCGACGCTACATGCTTTCAAAACAAAAAAAGCACTTCACTTCTTGGGTTAAATTGTCAGGTATGAACAATCTGAGCTCACGCTAAAACTCGCACTGCTTTCGGCAAGGGCTCCAAACGGCACGGCATGCCACACTATCGGCAACACACCCGAGTCGTGTTTGTAGGCATTTGTCGGTGGTTACTAATATGGATGGAGAATTCTTGGATCCCTTGGATGACTCTTCACTACATAAGCTGAATTAAGCTTTCGGCTAGCCCTACCTAGTGCAGATCTAGATGCGCAAATGAGTTCTTCAGGACGACGACGTCACAGAAAGAACCCCTCTCCCTTAGATTTCAAATGTTTTGGTAAGAGGCGAAGAATTCCTTGTAGTGTGCATGCCCCATGGGAGCGAGCAGGCTAGTCGTTTTCTAAACACTCACAGATTAGAGGAGGCTGGTCAAGCGACCGAAAGGCCGAGCGGCCGACATCACAGCTCGCCTCTACCAATCAGGTAAATCGACGTTCCTGAAAATCACCGTGGTCTTCCTAATGAGGGAACATGCAATGTATCAAGATCTAATTTCAACAGCAGACCTAACAGACCTCTGACAACCAGCTCCGAGTTCACGCTACATTTCTTGCTTATGTGGCGCACTACAACGCCACATTCTCGTTGCAAAGAAGCGTTACCTGCTACTATCGCTACTGCATATCGCAAGCATGACTACTATTTGGGCAGAAATAGCGAAGACCTAGAATGCCGCGAATGATATTTCTACGGGATCACTAAACTGAATTTCATTCATCCTCTTACCGGTTCCAATCCAGTGCCTTCCTCAACTACACGAGCGCTAGAATAGTATGTTTTTGACCATGGGAAGGAGTATATCGGCACCGATCAAAGCTGTACCGGGTTAGAGCGGATGGACATAGTTGGAATATGTAATCCTAAGGCGCTATGCAAATAAAGGAAAAGAGATATCACGATGTGAATGACGTGATCAGGTGCGCAGAGAAAGGAACAAAGGCGTAAAGATTTGACCCTTGTTGGATATCGGTCGGCAAGTCAGTGGCGATATCGACAATAAGACATTGATTTCGAAGCTCGGCAGGCATGTAAGAGCGTGGTAGTGTGGAAAGAGGGCAGCGAAGACTCGGTGAAGAGGTTTTATATAGACTTACGGCCGGGACGAGGATCAAAGGTTGAAAGCATCAGAGTAAGAGATCGCCACAGCGAGTTGCTATTATACAAAGACCTCCCAGTCCCTGAAGAGCCCCATACCCCCGCCCAGTATACCCAGACTATCAATCATGTCGGCATCCGGCGCGCTCGTCATCAGTGAGACTTCTCCTTTCCCGAACCGGTTTTTTTCACTTCAGTATGCTGATGATGACCTTCCAAGTCTCCTGCACCGAGTCTGACGCTCGGATTGACCCCTCCCGCTACTTCAATCTCTCCGCAAATAGCGCCTCTGTGGTGAAAACAAATGGTGGGCGCACCACTGACGCAGTCACCTCGCTCTACTCCATCGACCAGTCTACTCGTATCGGTATGATTGTTATTGTTCAACATACTGGTAAGTAATTCAATCCTTTCCGCAAGTCTTAGCGGAAGCATATCTATAATTTCCTGCTGACTGTCTGTCTGCAGAATGCGCCGCGACGACTGGAGATGTAGACACAAATGTACGAGAGGATATTACTGCGCTGAAAAGCTCACCATATTTACGGCACGATATTCCAATTATTGGGTACAAGTTAGATGCTGCGAGTGGGCAGTTAAAAGAAGTATAGTAAGTCTCCGTGTTTAGTTTTCGAGATGGGTTAATATTGATGCTTGTGCGATGACGTTAGTGTACCGAGAAATGGAGAAGATGAGGAAACTCGTCGACGCGTCTTGAGCCAAATGGACGACTTCGGACCGTTCTGGAGTTAAGTATTATTTTTTTTGGTTGACATCGGCTAGTTGTGGGTCATGACGTGGATTTCTGGTTTACGGTGCCAGGTGGCATTTCTGGGTCTGCAAGAACGTGTTTTGTTGAACTGAGATACCATGGTCAAGGCATCAACTCAAAGATTTTCCTCGCCCATGGGCACACAGGATCTCTTTCTTATCTCGACTTTTGTTCCCATCACTTACAATATTTGACTCATTGTTAAAACCACGGATAGAAACCCCCCAGCCGTTGAGGCGAAGACTTTCCTATTTCATACGCACATTCATTTTTGGTCTCTTCTCCTCTTTTTCCGCATTGCTTATGGTGACTACAATACTTTTAAAGAGGCACCTACATTCAACTGGCTCACATACGTGAAATTTATCATATCTCCCCAATTTTTTTTTTGGAATCTCTTTACTGCCCCCAGCAACCAGCTTATTGGTTTAATAAAGAAACTCCCATGGATAGAACCACTCAGGATAGGTACGCAATGGATAGATCTCATCAAAGACGTCAATCCAAGGTGGGCTCTTCTTGGACTGATATAAATTCTGCCTCTTTTCCTTCTTGCACTTTCTTCAGTGCTTACAGAAATCACGTCCAGTTTCAGAGAAACACGATCGAACGATGATTCACTTCACCTATCACTACCCCCATCTCACGAGTTCCCTGGTCAGCGAAGAGATATGTCTAAATCACCACTTTCATTCGAGATACCGACACCGGGGGGTGTGGGACCGGCTCCTCCATCTATTGCTTCTATCTCTACTACTAGTGCCTCTACTACTCCTACGCACGACGATGAGGGTTACTGCTCGGGCCCGAATACCGCAAGTACCTCCGACTATATAAAACCGTTTCGTAAGCATACATTACTACGCTCATCCAACAAACTCGCTACTCTAGAATGGGACTTCTATCAACCACCATGGCCCATCAAACTGTCATCCTCGTCGGCTGCTAAACTAAGCCCTACACCTGCCGCACCTCACTACAAGGTTTTGCGGGACTTGGGTGACGTTAAGGATTTTATGGCTTCGGCTTCCTTCCCATTTAAATACGATGAGGATAAGCAGTGGTGCTGGGATAGAACTCCCTCTCCAACACCAACTGAATACCGGTGTGACGATCACTGGACCTATTCGCACGATGATGACTTCGTGGATTCTCAGACTCCAACATCACCAATACTATCATCATCGGGCTACTCGGATGGCTTCACAACTTCTACAGCTACTGCGCACTCATCTACCAATCAATCAGAGGCACAGCCGTCCACTGTTCCCGAGATGCTTCAGAAGGGCTACACGTATAGCTTGCATGGCCCACGGCTTCACCAATCTCCACCTCCATCTCCTCCTACCCCTTACAATCACTGGCGAATACCCCTCCGTAACTTCCCTCCGCCCGGCCCACCACCTCTCACCCCGCGCGGCCGCTTCGTCGCGGAGTTCGACAACTTGTTTAAGCGGATGCTGCTCTTGGCTCAAGCTGCATACCACCAACTCCGACTCCACGGAACCACGAAGCCGGACTTGCACCAGCGATTCAGCGTCCAGGTTGAACAGATCCGGATCTATATGTACGAATTTGGGGGGTGTGTGGAGAGAGATTCGGGGGTACGGTATGACAAAACCGTGGAGCTGCGGATGATTGCTGAATGTGCGGGAATGTGCGTATTGGGGACGAAGGAGGTGGGTGTACGGTGGCCGGATGTTGGGTACAAGGGTAGGAGGTGGAGGAAGAAGATGAAACAGATGAAGGAAATGTGGGAAGTGGCGAGGGAGAGGGTTTGTGAGCTTGTGTTTGGGGAAGAATGTGTGCATGGCCGAGCGGTCTGGGTGCAGGTAAGGCGGAATGGAAGGGTTTGCGACATGAGGCTTGATAGATGAGTTACGTGTGTTGTTAGAATTACGGCTACTGTTCTAATTGAGGAATCTCGCTATGTGGGGCTTCTAGGGAGACGAGAGTAAGAATGTATATATGATGCATAAGCTGGTTCCTAGTTTACGGGAAAACGATTTCAGATACAAAAAACGTGTGTGTAGATTAAAGAGAGATTGAACCGGAAGACTTCAAGAGCCGTCGGAAATGGTATTGCAGGCATCAAATGCGCCTTAGAGGCTATTCCATCCACCCTACTCCGACGGCCGAGAGAATGACGCGTTGAAGACTACTGTTGAGACGGTGGACCCAAATTCTGGCGGTAAGAATTTTGAGGGTTCTCGGGATCAAAATTCTCCTTTCACGAGTTCTGTGCCCTAAAGAGTCGCTGTCCCCTCAATGGGAGCCATTGTGACTAGCATAGTGATGGAAATTCAGGCTTCGGTGGCCTGAAATTTCGCTAGATCAACGCAGTCTTCAAGATGAGCTAGTCGTCGCGCTACCTCACGGACACCCTCTAAGAGCATAAAGTGAGAGATTAAGACAGAATCATGGATGCAGAGATTGCATCTCCACCGCCTTGGATCCTATCTAGTCCGAGGCTCCTCGATCAAATTTCCCACTTGGTGCGGGTTAAGAACTACAACCTCTCATCTTCTTTGAAATTATAGCTGTTATTTTTGAATGCAGTCTGTGGTCGATTTTCAGAGGTATGCAGCAGATAGTGTCACGTGTGTTTATGTTTGTAGCTTTATTGGCTGCCTGGAGGACCCAAATTGTTATCTAGATTCAGTGGTGCATATTTGAGGATGTCCCAAGGTCCAGAGACATGTCAAACCTGGTAGTGGAATTATAACCTAAATTGTTGAAAGGTGGATCCAGGGGAAATTTATTCGTATCCAAAACCGGGGAACCTTAATCGCACTGGGGCAGGCGACTCTAGCAGAAATAGCTCCACTAGATATTAAAGAGTTTACAGTGTAACATGCTGTACGTTATCACTCCCCATACAGTCAGCTTTTACACGCAATGATCAACAGTCGCGATCACGTCCTCTCCCATCATTTACATCGCTGTCCCGCGATTCCCATTGGAACTCGACCACCCCTACCTTGAAAATATCTCCTCCCCCTTGAGGACCTCTCTCCTGTCCTAACCTCGTATAGTACCTTTCGAAATCAGTGCCACCATTTGCACACAACTACTTCAATTGCGCCTCATCGAACAGACTCTGTTGTTAGATTCTAACCGAGTCTGGTCAAGCGTCAGATAGCTGCGCCAGGGAATTGGATCTGTAGTCTTGCTAGAGTCACTCAGGGCGCTTAGCTCTTCGTCAGGGTTGCGCGTCAACTACTTTCAGCACTCTTTTCCGCGGAACGGCTCTTGACTGCAGATCTAGATATATTTGGTCCTGGTCTGCTTCACCATTCCGCCAATACTATAAAAAGCATCAACATGGACAACTTACCAAGAGTTGGCAGGAATTTAAGAACCCTTCTGAGTTATTGCCGCATATAACCTTCCAAAACTTCTAGTTTCATGTTGCATTTACCAAACTTGATCATCATATTAGATTTTGATGAATAGGCGTTAGTTCCTTGTACATACCTGCGATCCTGCTTTCCGACACCATTCATAAAGGATAACTGACTCTAAGCACTCTCATTTTAACAGTAACGACATACGCGAACAGCTTGATTACCTTATCCATTAACCAGTCTACTTCGTATACTCAGGCAAGCTCGTACTACGGCTCTAGTCCAGCAGTCTTCCACCAGTAACCTTCACGTTTCTTTAAAGACGTACTCTAACAGCTCGGCCGATTACATACTTGACCACCTCTCCGTATACTCGTATGACAGCATGATGCGACGCTATTCGAGAAGGATGCTCTTCTACTAGTACCTTCTATTTTACTATAACAAAGTTGTTAGTATCTCGATCGCCTCACTACCTACCCGCGTCGTATGTAAATACGAGCATTTTCCGCGACGCCAGTCGTCCGGGGTACTCTTCCACCAGTACCTTCTCGCGAACTGTACGGGAGCGATTCTACCATGCTACCAACCAATAATTTCCAATCAACAATTTACCATGTTCCATTATGAAGCGCGGGTTCTGAGGAACGCCTTCTTCAGCTGTACTCGCTCTTGAGTTTCGTAATTATTAATAATATTGCAATCAAGTCGTCATGCGCTACTTACATGCCACTAAGAAAGACATCTTGTTTTCCTTTACAATTTTCATCTCCCCCTGGGTTCAGTTCCGGAATACATCCAGCGTTATTTTTGGCATCGAAGGAAAAATCCTTCTCTAGGCGGCGGGTAAAGCTTCCAGATTCGGCGGCGAATGTCTCGTCAGCCTGCGTTATGGTGTCACTGCTGCCAGAATTTATTTCATGAAATACTTGTATGGGTGAGAAGCCCGATAGCCTCGTGCCTGGATGCCTGAGACTCGAGGCGCACGCATACAAGTAAAGGCTTAATTGGCTTTCTAAGGCTATGGTCTCGTAGAGCTTAAAGCTTAACGAAGATAGTGAGGAAATCAATAATTGAACAACGTACTTTTTTGAACTACGGATCCGTACAACGCCTTATCAAATACCCTTGTGGAATTGCGGGCAGGGTGTGTATGATGCGAGGCTCTATCCTATTCTACGCTTCATTTTCGCCGGAGTAGAATGAGTGGGATTGAGTTCTCAACAAAGGGCTGAGAAGTGCAAGCGGGCTCGTCCGCAGTCCCGTGGGCCAATAGATTTTGGGAACCGTTGGAAGATCAAATTTGATATAGTAAATCTCTTCCCAACATTTGGGAGAACGGCGAGAGGATGAAGAGGGCCGTCCTCAAAGGCCTACAACTTCGCATTCAGCATATTTCCCGTCGCTCCCACCCTTTTTAACACATCCCAAACCCTTAATCCCTCATCTAGCCTCTCATCCTCCTCGCAAACCACCGTACCTTTTGAAGTCAACGTCCTTACGTGCAACGGATGCTCTGTCCCCCAATCCATGTCCTCCCCATTCAAAAAGCTTGCGAAATTATCATGAAACGCATTCTTTACCAGTCTCTTTTCCTTCTTACTAAGACTGAATTCATTCCCCCAGAACCAAATCGCCATGTCTGTCCCATGTGTAACACCCCAACCCCGCGGCCACAGCTTATCACAACATTGCGCGCGCCATTCCATACGGTACCGGTGGATGAGATGGCCCGCGCCATGGCGGGTGAGTGCTGAGACCATCCCGCGCTCAAGCGCGTGGATTTGGATGTCTGCGTAGATGCGGCCGAAGGCTTCTTGCCAGGTTTTGCAATTCGCGGGGAGTTTTCCGTTAGGATAGTAATGGTCGATGAGGGTCTCGCAGGCTGCAAGCGGGTAGTCTGCTTGTAGGCGACGGAAAAGACTATCTAGATTGTTCTTAGGCGGTCGCCAGTTTCCATAAACGAAGTGTTCGTCTTTGCATTCCCCGATGATAAGTCTCACACCTCTGCGCTTCATCTGCGCCGCAAAGATCCCGGAGTCAATTTCATTGAGGAGGCCATGTCGGACGAAAGACCCATCTGTTGTCGCGCGGAATTGGTGGTATTTCATTTTGATGCTTGCTTGAATCAGTTTCTTGGGTTCTAGCGTCCGCAGCTTTGCGAGTTTCTCCGCAGCCGAGAGACTCATAGGGATTTGGAGAACTGAAAGAAGTTCGTTGAATTGCGCCTGCGCTTCATCGAAGGATTTCGGTTGCATACCGGGGCCGTTCGACAACATCAACGCTCTTCGCACGATGCTTTTGGAATCGGAGACCCCGAGATCATAGGCGAGTTGATGGAACGTCGAATGTGAGCCCGCGGAATATCCGCCAATGGTGATGTTGGATGCGTCACCGCCAAAGTAGCTGACGTTGTGCCACGTCCATTCTAGTGCGAGGCGTTGGTCCCAGAATCCGACGTTGGGGGACACACCTGGGGAGGCTTCGCAGAGTTCAGGAGATGCGAGGAAGCCGAAGATGTTGAGTCGGTAGGCAGGGGCTATGACGATAGCTTTGCAAGGGGTTTCGCTGAGCATGGCGCGCAGGTCGTCTTCGTTGGGGTCGCCGAATTGGAGGAAGCCGCCGTCTGGAAATACTTAGCATCTGGGAAGAAGGCTGGAAAAGGGTGCGTACGAATCCAGAATAGCACAGGCCACCCTAGAAATAATATTAGTTAACAGTTTTCTAGATAGTTGAAGAGAGTGTATAAAGTCAACCTCCTTTCGGCGGATCTCCCACCGGGATCCAAACATTGCATTGTAAGCAATCCTCATCCCACAATTCAGTATTAAGCTCATCATTCGGCTTTGGCTGTGGACAAATACTGCAACCGCCCGTATAGCGTCCCGGGTTTGCTCTTGTTCCATACCTATAGCATGCAGGCAGCGGTCTTGGCTTCTGCCATCTGAAAGGGCCTACAGGAGGTAGTGCATATGGAATGCCACCGAAGTAGTGACATAAGGGTTTGGAAGACTTGTCTATATATGTGAGACCTTCGATGAAGCCGCGGTGCTCTAGATCACGGAGGTATGGTGATGAGGCTTTTTGCATGATGAGTTGTGGATCAGGCTTATGGTGGTGGGGGTGGAGATCTATTGTGTGCAAAAATCAGGAAATTTCTTGGCGTTCCTCAGATCTTTTTTTCCCCCACCAAAATTGTATAGGAGATTAGAATCTTAATAGAATTCCTAATATATTAACAAATAACAATTAGATTAGCCCTAGGTAGGTTAAAGCCTTTAGTTTGTATAAAGAAGCGCCTATACTAACTTTTTTAGAAGTAACAACATGTTTGTTTGCAATATATCGCGCTTATAGTGTCTCTATCCTTCCTAGCTAGCCCTAATTACCCTAATATCTTAAACTAAGCACCTAAGGGCTTAATAATTATGTTTGTATAAACATCTATTAGTTTCTTCTACTTAAATAGCCTAAAACTGCAATTACTAATTATAAGGGTTGTTCTCTTTACGTAGTTTACAATGTAAAAAACAATCTTAAGGCTTATAGCAGCGTCTATAAGCCACCTACTATAAAGCTTAGGAGACCTTCTAAAATTAGTAATAAAAATAGCAAAGCTCTGTTTAAGAAGTTAATCTGCAGCAGATAAAGATACTAGAACAAATAAGCCTATTAGCTATAAATAAAAAAAGGTGTAAAAGTTAATAAATCTATAATCTCTTATTACCTTACCTAGCATAGATAGAGTAGGCGTACCTTATAGCCTTTCTTACAGGCTTATAATAAAAAGCTTTAAGAGCTCTACTATTACTCTCTTTATTAGTTTATGTAGGATAATTTAGTGTTTTTTAATAAGTCTATCTTTAACAAGAAAACTAGCTAGCAGCATAAGGCTTATAGGCCTGTAGGCTATAAAAGTTAATATACTTAGGATATAAGGCGCAGGAAGATGTGGGCTATCCTTCTAGCCTATACAGTAAACAGATACCTGCCTTGTATAGGGGTAAAAGAAGGATATTTTAATTATAAAGAGTTTATTAATTAGATTAAGCAGCGCCTTTTCTCTTTACTTTAAGCAACTTACAAGACCTAGCCTATAGTTATAGTCCTTAATAACATCTTAATCTATTAGAATAAAGCTGTTATAACTATTTTTAAGGCTGCTAGCTATATTGTCTGTTTCCTCTTACTATACTTACCTAACTATAATCCTATTAAGTTAACTTTTAGAGTATTAAAAGCATAAATTAAGAGGAACTATCTATACTATTAGCAGCAGTATACAAGCTTTAGCCTATTCCTTAAAGACATAATTAAAAGCAGTAAGTGCAATTATTTTACTAGGAAACACTTTACATACACTGCTAAAGGGTTATATATAGAGCTAGAGGAGCTTAATTAGGTAAGAGCTAAAATTAGCGCTTAACAGGGTTATAATAAGGATTCCTAGGATAACAGAGACTATAAGGATATTAAGTTATAAAACAATAAGACATTAAACTCTAATTAACCCTATTTAGCTACTAAAAACCTTATGTCTGTTAGAATCCTAAGTCTATTAAATTCCCTTCTTAGCACTTAATTCCTGCCTTGTTACCTTACAGATATTTAATAGTTCTTAAGCAGTTTAATATTTAGGTTTAAATTAACAAAGCTTATTATAAAAATAACATACTATCTTATCCTTTAACCTAAATAGAGCTTCTACTGCTACTATATATAATTTACTCTAAGGGATTAACATCTTTTTAAGATCCTTTAACATCTACTTCTACTTTATTACTACATCCCTTACCTATATATAGTCCTTATAATTCTTAACTAGTTGTTGTTTAATAAGCTAGTTAAAAAACTCTTTTACTAACACCTATAAGTTATCCTTTCTGCTGCTAGCAATAAGGCTTAAGCTTAGAATAGGTATAGGTTATTTAGAAGTCTCTAGGCAAAAAGCAGCTATTAAAGAAGCAAAAAGCAGATAAGGTATGTTTAAGAACAAAAATAGCAGATTTCTTAGACCTAACATATTATAGTTAGTTAATTAAAACTGCTGCTAAAGCTGCTGCTGTTAAAAAGCTTACTTTCTTATCTTTTAAGCCTCTTACTATTTATTAGCTGCTTCTTTTATAGCCTATAGTCTCTTTTAGATCCTATGTTTTTTAGCTACTTTTATTATTTTCCTAAGCTTATTCTTATTACTTAAGGATAATAAGGAGCTATAACGCTTCTTTTTTTGCCTATTGTGCAGGTTTACTCTTAGCTAGTTCCCTATTAAAGTTTACTAGTATTATATAAGCTCTATTAGTAGCTAATTTATATATACTTAGCTTTTAAAAATTACCTAAGCCTACAACTCTAAATTAGCGTCTTTTACAGTAAAGTGCTTATAGGTAGCCTAGTAAACGTAGTAAAAGTGCTTAAAGTTATTACAGGTTAATACCTAGCACTTCTACATATAAAAGATCTAACTCTAGCTATTAATACTAGTAGTAAGATCTTAGATCCTTTAACAGGTATAATTTTTATTTAACAGCTGCTGTGTGTGCTAGGGCAACTTTTCTCTATAGCCTAGAGTAATAGAAAGATTAGATAAAGGCTTATTTACTAACTAGTTATGTAGAAAGGCTTTTATTATTACCTTATATATAAGCTTTACTTCTACCTTAATATCTACCCTATCTACGCCTTTAAGGCGCCTTATATAGTGTTTAACGCTAGAGAACAGCCTCTGTTCTTTACTAAGCCTAAAGTCCTCTATTATTTAGAGCTGCTAGCTAGCCCCCTACTTGTTAGCCCTATATTAAACAGCGTGTAAGGTAATATAGAAATCTTAAGCCTTTATATGCTCTTATATAAAAGGGCTTTTAATTATAGCATTAACCTAATTCTTTACCTATAAAAGCAAGAAAAACGCCTAAGAAACAACCTTATCTACTAGCCTACTATTAGCCTTATTACTATTCACGCGCACTAAATATTGTACAGTAATGTTAAACTCCACTATTTAATTAGAGGGGGAAGACTCCCTAGCAGCTGCAGGAGCAGGAGCAGGCTAAGATAAGATAAAAGTTAGAGGGAAGCTCCTTAGCAGCAAAAAAAGGTTATCCCTAAGTATATTAGATAAAGTATTAGGCTTAGAGTAATAAGCAGAAACTATAGGAACAGCTTCTTACTAAGCTAGAGTAAAAGAAGCAGATTATTTAGTTGCTTTTACTACTTTCTAAGGTGCAGGCTTGCTCTTAGTAGGCGCTAAAATATAGTAAGCTTTTTCTACTTTACCCTTACTATTAGGTTAACTTATAACGCGCTAACTTTAGTTTAGTACTACTAGCAGTCTCCTTACGCTTACTTAATAGGCCCTGTGCCCTTGCACGCGTAGAATAGGCTAGTAGGTTGCCACTAAAGTTAATTTAACATGTCTAGGTAGCTAGGGCTGCTCTAGCCTTCTGTTTTAGGCCTATTATTGTCCTGTTACTCTAAAAATTAAGCTAAAAGCAGTATCTCTATATAAACTTAAGGCTTTAACTTACTAATAATATTTAAAAAGGATTTGTTAATATATTAGGAATTCTATTAAGATTGTAATCTCCTATGCAATTTTAGTAAGGAAAAAAAAGATCTAAGAAACGCCAAGAAATTTCCCGATTTTTGCACACAATAGATGAGTGCGGAGGTTGTAGACGATCCTCCACCTCGGCTCCGCATCCTAGTTGTGGATTAGGTAATTACATGATTGAACTTCAATAGTGCAGCCAGCATTGAAATGTGAATCCGCAAAATCAGAAGTTGGTTTGAGAATGTTGGGGAATAAACCCCTGGATTTCATCTCATATAATGAGGTGAAATATTTAGAGATTGCCTAGGTCCAAAACTTGAATTGAATCTCACCTGATGAGAAGCTGCTTTCCCCTTTCTCGCGAACTCTATCCTGTTCAGCGAACGCAGTAGCCATATCATACTCAAGTAGGATGCGAAATAAAGAATAGGAGATTGTGGTGATGGATTTCACCTCGGAGCGACCTACCCGATCCTCAATGCCGGAGATGCAAAGAACCATGTCGATGACGTTGGAACAGCATCCTTACTATGCAGTTGAGTGCTGGAACTGCTCTATACTCTTTAATTTTACAAGTCGGATAACATGAAGCTAATGAATTGATAGTTGCTAGCGAACCGGACGGGGTGTACCCACTCTCCACTATCTCCGTCGTATTGTACGACGAATTTGGTGTTTCAGGTTTAGCGTCTTCGAGAGGCGAGGGTTGTAATTGGTTGATATAATCCTACATCTGCACTACAGCGGATGGCTTCTAGTTTCGCATTCTCGTTCGTAATTCGCAATGTTAGCGTGGTTGAAGCATATAAACCCTCTGCCCAAGGAGGGAGATATTTCAGATAGTCTTCAATCTTCATAGTCTTCAATCCCCACAGTCCAAGATGTCGTTCAAGTACAACAAAGTCCTGCTCATTGGTGCTACATCTGGTATTGGCGAGGCGTATGCGGAGAAGGTTGTCCAAGATGGAAAGAAGGTTATCGTCGTTGGGAGGAGGATGGAGAATCTCGATGCTTTTGTCGAAAAGCATGGCAAAGACAAGGCTGAAGCAGTTGCGTTCGACATTACCCTGCTGAACCAGATTCCCAAATTCGCGGAGGATATCACGAGCAAGCACCCAGATCTGGACTGCGTGATCCTCAACTCGGGCATTCAACGAGGTTTCGACTTCTCCAAACCAGAGACTGTGGATCTGTCGGTTGTTGGGCTTGAGCTCACCACCAATTACCTCTCGTACGTCCACCTGACACATGCCTTTCTCCCACATCTCCAGAACCAGCAAAACGAGACGGCTCTCATCTACACGTCATCCGGACTGGCGCTGGTTCCGATCGCTACGTGTCTCAACTATTGCGCGTCTAAAGCCGCGCTCCACCATTTCCTCCTGTGCTTGCGGGAGCAGCTCAAAGAGGGTCTGGGGAATGTCAAAGTCATTGAGATATTCCCACCAGCGGTACAGACGGAACTGCACGATGAGAAGCATCGTCCTGATATCAAGAACGGCGGAGCTATAGGAATGCCATTGGACCAGTTTACGGAGGAGTCATGGGGAAAGATGGTTAAGGGCGAGGAGCAGATTCCAGTTGGAATAGTGGATATGCTGTTCAATTCTTTCGAAAAGACTCGCCAGGAGAGGTTTCACAAGGTTGCTGAGATGCTGAAGGCTCACGGAGGAGGTGCTTAGCACGTGAGAGCCTTGAGACGGGAGGGTGAGCCACACGCACTGACCATTGGGACCTTGCTTACCAGCCAGGAACGGACAGGGGATGGTGGCCCGGGGTTACTGACAGCGATCCAGAAAAATAAATGGAGAAAGAGTTCAAAATTTGAATTGAGAATAATTGAACTTATTTGCTCGATGAAAAAAGCTAAACTAGAACCTTTTCACATGGAAGACATTCAACAGCGTATGAAACGGAACTTGCACAGCCTCAATTCATTTGCGGCGCGGCACAGCCTTGCCGAGACGTGGCCCTCAACACGAGCTGAAGGGATTGAACCTCTCACCACCCCAGCAATCTCAATCTCCGACTCCTCAACCACACAAAATTGCCAGTCCCCAACCATTACTTGATCGGTCCGTGATTCTCTCGCGATACTGCCTGTTCTCACGACGCTCTTTGTGAAGGTGATTAACACCATCCCAGATACTCCATCCATCGCCGTCAACATGTCGGAGGGGTTCAACAATGCCATGACCAATAGGTCTCTTCGCGTGATCAAGACGGTACGGAACACGCCTTCCCCACTGCGAATAATTTGTCTAATACGACACTTGTAGGAGCTCGAGTTCCTCGTCGACTCCAACGTGATTACGAGTCAGCAGTTCAACGCCATCATTAACCACCTCCCCCTCTCCACCTCGATGCATGCCCCGCTGCCCGCCGCCCAAGAAATCCCTATCCCGCAGATGAATAACCTGAACATCAAGAAAGAGTCAACACCAGAGCCAGAGAAGAAGGTTGGATACTATGCCGCCGAGACCAGCGCTGCTAACCTACCGCCACCGGCCTACCCAACACCGCCAGCTGCTCCCGTCGGCCCTCCGGCTCTCGCACACGCCACCGCCATGTATCAGTATAATGCACAAGACGCCGGCGACCTTGCACTGATGCCAAATGACAACGTCGTCGTTACTGAGTACATGAACAACGAGTGGTGGAAGGGACGCAATGAGCGCACCGGACAGGAGGGCATCTTCCCTGCCAGCTACGTCCGCCGCGAGGAAAAAGCCATTGTTCCCCCAGGACCATCGCCATTACCGTCCGGACCACAACCTAGCAACTACGGCAACATGCCGCTGGATGTTAGCAATGGCGCGACGAGTGATCCTCATCAGCAGCCAGGGAAGGGTGGGGAGATGGGCAAGAAGTTCGGCAAGAAACTGGGCAATGCTGCCATCTTCGGAGCTGGTGCAACTATTGGTGGAAAGATTGTCAACGGCATATTCTAAACTTTATTTGAGATCATTTGGGGATTTGAGTCTGGTCCGGATTTTAAATTTATTCATAGGAATCGGGCGTTCGTGACTTTCGGATTCTTTTCGTGCATAATGGATATATATGGTTTCGCTGATAGCTTCGTAGTTTCTCTTAAATGGTGACATGGGTCTGCGTAAAAGGAATATCCAGGTTCTTTTAATGTTCTTTCTTCGGATTCTTCGTTTAAGTCAAATGTGATCCGCGATTTCTACTTCCGGTAGATAACGTTGCGTACCTTTCCTGATGAGGATAATCTTTACTTCCCCCTTTCACTTCTGCTTCATCTCATCTTTCTGCTGATGTCACCCCGCAATGCTGGAAGAGGAGTACACCCCAAAAATCGGCCTTGTCTCCGTTTCTTTCTCCGTTTCGTTATCACCCCCTCGAAACTAATGCATGTCTCGTCGAATGTCTCCCACGGTGACGGTGAAGTCGCATTCACATTCACAAAAATCATACGATTGGTTTCCGTGGCAAACGAAGTAGTTAGGGGGCTCTTCGATACGACTCTGTTGCTTTCCCTTGCGAGCGATAGATCCTGAAATATTAAACCTTTTCTATACTCTTCTCTGCATTGTTTCCGAAGCCTTTAGCGTCGAGGGGCGTCAACTTAATATCCTCGTCTGCGCTCTGCGCTGGGGAAGGTCGGGAACTAAACCCCGCTGTTAGCACCCTGAACGACACTACCGCCCGGGTGCTTCCGCCCGCGCAAGAATGTCTTCCCAGGGGACCTCTTGCGGTTCCTGGAGAAGATCTGACCGGGCTTTAAGACCGACCGATGCGTCCGCCACTCTGGTAGTTTCTCAATCAACAGACCCTCGACCCCGAGCCTCCGATGCAGCAACCAAAGCTGCCACTCCATCAACATCAAAGCCGTGGGTACACCGCAAACGAACTTACTTTGCATACTGCCTGATCAGCTTCAACTGCCTCGGGATACCGCTCTCTTTTGGTCCTTTTCTCGAGTACTACTACACCGTATCTCCGCACACCTCACTTCTCCCCCTCTCCTCTATCATCGCTGTCCAACTATTTTGTATATTTGGCCTTGTAATCCCTGCTGCGTGGCTATACAGACGCGGAGATTTGAAGATATTGGTTGTGGTAGCGACTGTGCTTGCGATCGCTGGTCAGTTTGGTCTCTCCTTCAGCACGAGCCTTCGGTTTACATGGTGGTACATGCTCATGATGCAAGGGATTCTGATGGGCATTGGACTAGGGATTCTGCTCGTGGCTGGAATCCTCTGTCTCTCGAGCCACTACAAGAACAATATTCCACTGGCTTCAATGACTGGAACAATCATGGGACCACTTGGTGGGGTGATCTACACAACTGGCTCGTACATTCAATTCCAGGAGAGGGAGTTTCAGAAAGCATGCTGGATCAACTGCGGCATTATGGCGGCCACGCTTGTTCCTGCCTGCTTCTTGATGAAGCCCTCCGAGATATACGGCAGGCTTTCAACCCAGGCACCAGAGGAGTCGACCAGAATCTGGAAAGAAAAGGACACTCTTCTTTTTACCCTCGGATATCTTTGCTTGTTTTTCGGACTTTTCACTTGGCCGGCTTACATTGTGCTCATGATTGCTAGCACACCGCAACACGAGTTCCCGACGTCGCCCACGGTGGTCCTCATGATCACGTACGGTGTTTCGATCCTCACAGCCCCAATCATGACCAGTGGCCTGGTGTTGCGAACGAACGGTGCGCTGAATACCTTTATTCTTGCGGCTGTTGCAGTCGGAGCGAGCTTTATTTTCCCCTCCCAAGCACCTTCGTTATTAGCATTTGAGCTATGGTGCACTCCTTACGCCGTAGGACTTGGTGCTGTTCTTGGGTTGTATATCAGAGTCACTAGCATTTTCCATTTCTCGGATGCGACAAGGCCTTTCGATAGGCCAGCGCGGATATCAGCGTTGCTGACTTTGGTCGGGATTGTGGCAGCGGCAGGAGTCGTGACTACGGCGGCTTTGGTTGAAATGGATGACGGAGGATTCAAAATTGCGATGTTAATCAATGGCATCGTGGTAATGGCTGGAGGTTTGCTTATGTGGGTGGGTAGGTGGTTCCGGATAGGCAGTCGGGTTTGGTTTTGCATTTAGGGGTTGGGAGGTGTGCCCATGCATGCACCTTTAGTCTTTACTTTACTTTTAGAGACCTGATTTTGCTTGTAAAGAGCTCGGTTTTGCTTTTATATTACAATTGCTATCCTATCTGGCCATCAACTCTTCCGCAAGTTCCCGTAGTATAAATTTCTTTATCTTTCCGCTCCCCGTTAATGGAACATTAGTATCGCAGTCTTCGCCCAACCACAGCACATGCGCAGGTGCTTTGTGTCTTCCCAATATATTTCTTACCCAAGACTTCAACTGGCTGAGCGTTGGTTTCTGAGCTCCGTCTTCGAGTTGTAGAAATGCAACTGGGACTTCTACATAACGCGGATGCGACACACCGACCACAATGGCGCGGGATATTGCTGGATGCCCTACAAGTCGTTCTTCAATCTCCAGCGGATATATATTCTCGCCTCCTAGATCTGTTAACCTAGATCCGTCCCCTCTACCCAAAACAGAAGACGCGGGGATACATACCACGTATAATAATATCCTTAAACCTCCCCGTAATCGTACAATACCCGTCTACATCCAGTACCCCTTCATCCCCAGTCTTCAACCACAATTCGCCGAATTCATCATGTACCAGCACTTCAGCTGTCTTCTCCGGGTTTTCCCAATACCCGCGACATAGCTGATACCCCGCTACGCAAAGCTCTCCTCGAACGCCGATTGGAACAATCTTCCCATATCGATCTATAATCTTGACCCTTGCGTGCGGCATAACAGTCCCCACAGTCGTGAGTCGAGCATGAAGGGAATCAGTAGTGTGGGCGTTAAAGACGGTTGGCGAGGCTTCCGTAAGCCCTTTCTCCCTGTTAGCTCTTCTCTCCGCTCCACACTTGCTGCGTCCTCCTCTCGAATACGTACCGTAGCTAGAAGTAAACTCCACCATCCCCAAATCTTCAACCATCTTCTCCATCAACCACTTCGGCACTGGACTGCCCGCTACAATTCCCGTCCGTAATTCGCTCTGCCAACCACCCGGTCGCGGGAGGCTGAGGATGGATTCGAGCATTGCGGGGACGCCGTGGAGAGCTGTGCAGCGCTCATCCGATATTGCGTTTAGTGTGGCTTCGGCGTCAAAGGCTTCGGCAGGATATACCGCTTTGCCGCCGTGTGTGAGGGTTGCGAGGAGGCCGAGCGTGAGGCCAAAACAGTGGAAGAGAGGGGGTGGACAGCAGAGGATGTCGTGAGGTGTGAGATTCATTCGCGAGCCGATAAAGTGGGCATTGTTTAGGAGGTTGCTGGGGGACCGGTCAGTCTGCGAAAACAATTCAAGATAATATGATAGCAAGAAGATGGCGATAGTGAGAATTACTGATGTGTGAGCATAGCGGCCTTCGGATTCCCCGTACTTCCACTAGTGAATTGAAGATTCACTACATCGAACGGACTAATTATCCCGTCAAAAATATCGAGTAGTTGCTCTGGGATCTGGCCCGCTTGCGCTAGCATGTCTTCATACCGTAAACACCCTTCGACATCTCCTCGTAGAAGGCATACTGTCTTCAATTCGAGCTTCTCACCTCCCCGTTCAAATTCTCGTAGCCGTAGAAGTAGAGGCATATTATCAGTCCGCCCGATAGTAGGCGTCGTGAACAGTATCTTACATCCTGGAATCATCAGCTCACATCCATAACCCTTCAAGAAAGGCAATTGGGAAGAAGCATACCGGTATACCTCAAAGCTCCCTCTACTTCCGTAACCGTATACGTATTGTTCAACGTCACACACACCGCACCCACTCTCGCACAGGCAAAAAAAACGGCAACATATTTCTCACAGTTCCCAGCTATTATCCCAACCCGATCTCGCGGTCTCACACCCCATTTCAATAGCGCGCGTGCGAGAAGATTCGATTCGTCCCATAGTCGCGTATAGGTCCATCGTGCGCCTGTCCAGGGGATGATGAGGCATTCGCGGGACGAGTGGATGGTGGTTTGGCGGAGGAGGAGTTGGGGGAGGGTGAGAGTTTGGAGAGGGGGATGCAGAGGACCGGTGACAATGGATAGGTTGGGGTATGGCGGAAGGGTGTAAGGGTCTATCAAGAGCAGGGTTTGGGTTAGACGGTGGAGGGGTGAGGAGGAAGAGGGAGAAGGGGAGGGGAGGGTTGACATGGGGAATTGATTGAGAGTGAAGGGGGTTGAAAGATAGAGAAAGGGATGAAATGCCGAGAGGCGGTTCAACGACTTGAACTGTAATGCTGAGAGAGGTAATGGAATGCGATGATTGAGAGGTATAATGATGTTAGAGTGTACAAGATCAACCACAGAATCTCGAAGAGGTTTACTTTGCTGTTTGCCATGGCTCCAAGGTAAGAATCTAAACTTGACCTCGGATTGAGATTTGCTGCATGCATCTCAGTTTCTGGCACAGTCGTAGCTGGCAGCGCGTCAACCTGAATGACATCGCGCCTTACCAAACCTCAATTCAATTTCGCCCCGTTTGGCTTGAGTGCTAAGACCATCGCAAAGCGCCCCTCCCTCGCCACCCTCCGCTCACATGCATTGCAAAAATCACTCTTCCACTTTCCTATTCTAGGATATTCCGACATAGTATGTTGCGAGTCGTCATGTCGATCGCGACATCCATGACCGCTGCGTGTAATCCTTGTCACGAAATCTAATCTGATAAGATAATGCCGATGTCGGAAACCTTCCACTCCCAAGGATTCTACATTCTTTCTCCACTTTTCCAAGGCGGTTGCGAGCAAATTTTTATCGGATGTTCGATTGGAGCCGAGAGAGTCAAGGCTTGGAGGTGTCTGGTCTTCTGGTTACGTTCAAATTTCCAATTCCGTAATATCCCGTGCATGCCTGCATTCCGTGTAACCCGTCAAACGCAGCCGGACAAAGTTATCAGATCCGCCCTCATTCACCCGAGCCGTCTCGGCAGAACTTCCCCCCGCTGTCCTATCGAATCAGCTCATCTCGGGTAACGAGCCTCGTCGTATCAGGCATGCAAATTTTATCAGATCCGCTGCACACCGTGCTCCGAGTTTCGGCCCTCGGTGGCAGGGTGCAAACAGAGTTATCTGATCCGCACCCTGCGTTTTTGGCGGCTGGGCAGGTGGGAGGAACTAATTTAATCAGATGGACCGATTGGTGCATGGCGTGGGATGGGAGCCGTGTGCCAAGGTAGTGGTGGGAGAGGCTTGGGCTTAGCGGGGGTTTGTGAGCGGGGGTGAGCGGAAACGGGATATTGGGGTTGAAACGGAGGAAGGGTGATGGGTGAAGGCAGAATTGAGAAGGGAGGTCAGAAGTTCGGTCTATGGTTGCAAGAGGATGCTAGTGAGGCACAACCGTGCTCTGGAGTTTCAAAGTATTGAAGACATCTGAGAATTGCATCCATTACTTTTTTTATACTTGTGTACGTAAATGACATGGTCCATCCAAACCTCAAACATCTATCTCTATCCCTACAACTTCGCAAGTGCATCCAAACTTGGCCTAACCGCCTTCTCCCCATCCCAAACAAGCGGACTCAGCATAAAAAACTTCTCTCTTGAAACCATCATCAGCGCGCTACGTTTATGCGGCAGATCAACTAGTTTCTCGATATGAAACCCATGGGCGAAATCATATGCCAATACCGTGCTATTCGTTGCCTTAGGCTCACCCACGATATTCGTGGTGCGAGGTTCGTCGAGAAACATGTAGTGCATCAGCCCGCTCCACCACGCAGACACACGGTATGGGCCTCGGAAGCGGATATCGCCTACGAGGGAGTGGCGGCCACGGTCATATGGGGAGGCGTTGTAGTGGGCACCGAGTTGATCTTCCTATATCAATTGTTAATAAAAGTCTGTCATTCTGATGTAGCAAAGTAAACGTAACATACCATTGCCCAATACACCTCAAAATACGCAAACAGCACGTCATCAAATGCCGCAAACATAGTAAGCACATGCGGATCCTCATGAAGTTTTTTGAGATACTCTCGATGTTGGTCTAGCGTCCCGGTTTCGTTCCAGCCTGCAGCAACGCGAGGGTCATTTTGCCATCCGTGGAAGAGATTGAGATGGTCGTCGTTTGTATGATCGAGTGCAATCATCGAGAAATGCTCGTTTAGATGGGGTATCCAGCGACTGTATATTATCGAGCCAGGATTAGGTTTTGGTGCCCGTATTGGATGTATCGTATGTCGAGATGGAGCAGGGAATTGCGTCGTTGGGGCTGTTTGGAATGGGAAGAGTGGATATTCTGTCGAGATGGGCTGGTTTGAGGAATCTAGCCGAGGCGCCCATACTGGACGGGAACCAAAGGGGCAACCAGCACCTTGCCAGAAGCAGCTCCGGAGGAGGAGGTATCCATCCTGGGGAGCAGAGGAATTTGAGGAGGGAGGATGTGGGTGAAAGAGGCCCTTTGATCGCAATGCTGTAGCTAGTAACTCAGATTCGCTGCCAGAAAACAATACTCTCATTTTTTCTACTAGCGGATGCAGCGTGATGAGCGCATATGATATTAGCCACATCTGGGCTACGGTAGGCCTGGGACCTGTCCACGAGATAGTGGACATGGGGGCCCGGCGAGTCCTTGCCCATGAGCTGTTATTTCCATCGGGAGGAGCTTGATTTTCTGGAAGGACAGCTATATCGCTGAAGGATACCGAGCTGTTATGGAGCTGCATAGAGGGAGAAACTCCATTCTCTGTATTCTCAATTAAGGACGGTAAAACTTGAAATATTTTGGCCTCTCCTTTCGGTGCGATGTTTGTGATCGTATATGCGGTGAGGTATGGATGTGGTAGTTTTAGAATGGTGGGCTCAATTGAGGAGTCTGCTTTCTTTGGTTGTGCCATAGTGGTCAACCAACTGTCTTGGCTGTGCGGAAAGGATGATTGAGAGAAGGACTGAAGATTTTTTGGAAGCTGAAGCAGCATGCTGAATAGGGAGAGGTCTACAGAAACGAGCTTGGACGTGATGCAGTATCCAGAATTTGTTCACATTTGAAATTTTGAATAGGGATACTTCTCATTTTCAGCTCCCTGCGGCTTTTTTTTTTTTGGATGCACTAGCGGAGATCGGCTTGGATACTTTGAACCTTGCATGCAACCCCATGTCGCAGGCAGAGTTACCTCGCTTATGGGCCGGTTGTGACGTATTTTGCGGTATGTCTTTCGCTATTCGGCCCCCCCCCCCCCCCACTGATTGTTTTTCAGCCTACCTTCCAAATCTTCAGCTTCAGAGCCCAAGTCAACAACTCATTTTTTAGTAATTTACTACTATTTACCTGACGAAACCCTCCCATTCATTGCGGAGAATGGCGTCTACAGAATATGCCGCGAGGCCTCTTTTTCCCTCATCCAACCTGCCTACAGCGAGTGTTGTAGTACAGTATGACCTTGTGTGCATCGGATTTGGCCCAGCTCAACTGGCCACTGCCATCGCAAACCAAGAAACGGAAACGCCGGCAAACATCCTCTTTCTCGAAAGAAAACCAGCATTCTCATGGCACTCAGCTTCCCATGTCCCGCGAGCGCGGATGGTATATCCATTCCTCTATGATCTGGCAACAACGAGGAACCCGAGATCGAAATTTACGTACGTAAATTATCTTCTCGCTCAGAACCGGCTCGTGGAATTTGCAAACTCTGATCAACTAAACCCATTGAGAGAGGAGTTTGACGACTATCTGCGATGGTGTGCTGTCCAATTCGAAGCACAGGTCAAATATCAAAATGAAGCTGTTAGTGTGCGGCCAGAAAAGGAGAATAATATCGTCAGGAGTTGGATTGTAGCTGCCAAAGATGAAAACGGAAGGATTTATGTGGTGAGGACGAAGCGCCTCATGATTCCCTCGCCTTCTTCCCTAAGAGAACCCGTAGTTGCTCGTCCTTTGTTAGATGTTGACTTCTCTGCGGGCCAACGAATCATCTCGACGAAGGACTACATGTCGAGTAGAGAGGCGTTACGGAGCGCTCATAGTACGCCGCTTGACATATCAATCATTGGCTCAACCCATCATACCATTGAGATATTGGACGACATCTTGACCTGCCCGCGTCTCGGGAATGTTACGGTCATCACGGATAGCACATCTCTCGAGCCATTGAAGGTTCTCAGTGTCGAACCGGCACCACCTCCGCCAAAGTTGTGTTCCATCTGGGCTCGGCCATTATGTCATAGAAACACTGATATTCTGGACTCCTCAGAACTCATTCAACACATCTATGCATCTGCATACGAGAAACAGGTTACCAGCAAGGGCAAGTACCGACTGCGTATAATTGGAATCGGCACAGCAAAGCCAGCAGCGCCATCTTCCGTCATCATCTCAGAAAATCCAGGCCTGAAGAAATCGGAGAGTGGGCTATTCCATGGCATTGACTCGCTTATTGTCGGCTGTCGTCAGAAAGGAGAATGCCTTGAGGAAGTGCAATTCAAGCGAGGCGCTGTTGCTGAGAGCTGCAGAATGTGGGTGATGTCGACTAATTCGGAGGGCGGGCGATCCTTGCCGAGGGATATTGCTGCAAGAGCCGGCGAGGTGGTGAGCACCCTGATAGTGGCCGAGGAGCAAGGAGATACAGGAGTGGTACTGGTCAGTGCAAGGATGTAAGGATCCGATGGGTGAAGAGGAGTCGGGTGTTATGTAATGGTCAAAATTTTATCTGATCTGATTCATCTGATAATTTAAGCGTCTTGGCGGGGTCTACCTCCGGCATCGCTGAACTATCAGGGCCCTCACTCCACATCTCAGACTTCGCTTGCCTCGATCAAGCAGGCCTGTCCGCCGTATTGAAATTAATCACTAGTAGAAGCCGTCTTTCACATTACCATGTCCACTAGTCCATCCTTGTCCTCGGTCCTGGCCACAATGCAAATCTCCAACAGTCTGCTTGCAGACCTCACAATCTCAATCTCACGTTTCGTTGCTCCTTTCTTTCCTTTGATCTGGCTCTCTCAATGGGCTCAATGCAGGTTAAAGTACTTGCTCAGTCCTTCTTTACCCCCTTCTTCGGATTCCTTCACCTCCTCTTCTATGCCGACCCGACATGGCTAGACAAATTACTGGTGGGAGCTGGCTTCATTACGGCAATAGCTGCAGGAGTGCCGTTCCCTCTCATTGGTATTTTGTTCGGTCAACTCGTCGATGACTTGAATAGCGCTACATGCGACGAAGGCATTACGACCAATGCATCATCCGAAGTACAATCTTCCATCAACTCTAAAGTTCTTCTCCTCGTTTACGTTAGCATCGCTAGTTTCGCATTAATATACATTTATATAGTGTGCTGGAACCTGACATCTCAGCGTCTCGCCCAGAGAATTCGCGAACGATACTTGCGGAATCTGCTAAAGCAGGATGTTGCATTTTTCGACAAACTACAAGCGGGCGAGGTCTCATCTCGCCTTAACGGAGATATTCAAATACTCGAAACAGGCACATCAGAGAAGGTTGGAATTTTTTTAGCATGTCTCTCCTTTTGCATTACTGCATATATAATTGCATTCATGAAAGACGCAAAACTCGCCGGCATCTTGCTTTCCCTTATCCCAGCATTCATCATCATGACTGTGGTTGGGGGAACTTTCGTGCAAAGATACTCTGGGAAAATGTCAGAGCACTTAGCTTCAGCAAGCGCCCTTGCCTCTGAGGGTCTCAATCACGTTGGCCTTGTGCATGCACTTTGTGCAAGCTTCAGGCTCGAAGAAATATTTAGCGGTTATCTAGGGAATGCTCGGGCTGAAGGAATCAAGAAAGCCTCGGCCGCTGCTATTCAAGCTGGACTACTATACTTCATTGCATTTTCTGCTAATGCCTTAGCTTACTGGCAAGGGAGCAGAAAGATTGCAAATACTGTCCAGTTTGGGAACGATGATGTGACTATCGGAGATACCTACACGGTTATCTTTATTCTGGTCGATGGTAAGTCCAGCTCCTTTGTTGGTGTGTTGTACTCACAATATCTAAGGCGCAATCGTACTCAGCCAGGTGGCTCCTCTGCTCCCACTATTTGGTGCTGCCTTTGCTGCCTTTGAGCGCCTTCGAAAAGATATGGATCATAAACCATCAATTGATGGCAGCTCTGACACTGGAGACAAACCACCGAGCACGAATGGCAAAATTGAGTTTTGCAATGTCTCATTTACGTATCCGTCGAGACCAGAGCACGCCGTTCTTCGAAATGTGTCGTTTAAATGCGCTCCAGGAGAAATGACTGCTATTGTTGGACTTTCAGGAAGTGGAAAGTCGACTGTTGCTAGTTTGATGACAAGACTGTACGATTCTGGAGATGGGACCATTATGCTTGATGGACGAGATATCCGAAGCCTTAATGTGAGAGCATTACGAAGCTTCATCAGCCTTGTACCCCAGGACTCGTCCCTGCTTAATCGCTCAATACTGGAGAACATTGCCTTTGGCCTCATGAATTCACCGGCACATTCCAACCTTCGAGATGTTCTTCAGGGAGACAGCCTTTCTCGGATTACGGAAGCGGCCAGGGCTGGCCAGAATCTTGTCAAGTCCGCGGAATGGGCAGGCCCAGAAGTCTTTGAGATCTTTGCTCTGGTTCAACGTGCTGCTGATCTGGCTGACGCCATGGATTTCATTGAGAAACTTGAGCATGGTCTTGCGACTCTTGTCGGTTCCAGCGGAAGCCTTGTTAGTGGCGGCCAGAAGCAGAGGATTGTGCTAGCTCGAGCACTTGTCCGTGACCCGAGGATTCTGGTTCTAGATGAGGCAACATCTGCCTTAGATTCGGTTAGTGAACAGAAAATACAACGAGCCATCGAGAAGGCAGCGCAAGGAAGAACCGTCATATCCATTGCCCATCGACTGTCTACCATCAAGGCCGCTAGCAATATCATTGTCATGAAAACTGGAACGATCATTGAGCAAGGATCGCATTTACAACTTATTGATTCGAATGGAGCGTATGCCGAAATGGTGCGCCTGCAATCGGTGCAGCCAACCGATGACGCAGAAAATGGAACGGGAGCAATACAGGGCAAGAAAGATGTGGAAATTATTGAAAAAAACAAACCAGCATCTGCTACCGATGAGAAAGCTGGGGCCACTACGTCGCCTGATGATTTCGACAAGGTTGTCGACGACGCCGATGGATGTTCTGTCATCCAAACAATACTGCCAATGATTCAACCCTATGGTATTCTCCTCTTAGTCGCTTTCGTTGCGGCCGCCATTGTAGGCGGAACTTACCCTGGGTCTGGAGTGATATTTGGGAATACCATTGGCGCCTTATCTCCTTGCGAACAACCAGCATCAATACGATCAAGGGGCCTGCTCTTTTCTGGCCTCTTCTTCATGCTAGCTTGCATAGAGTTCTTAGCTAACTTCACGAGCTGGTCAATGTTTGGCCTTATCTCCGAACGCCTGATGTACAAGGTCCGCCTACGGTCGTTTCGAACCCTGTTCGATCAACCACTTCAGTGGCATCAATCTAACGGCCGAAGCCCCGAAATTCTTCTGTCATTCATAACAAAAGATGGCAATGCGCTCGCTGGATTCAGCGGCTCAATTGTTGGCACCCTCTTTTCTGTCGTTATCAATTTCATAGTTGCCATTGTTCTCTCTCACATCATTGCGTGGAGAATTGCCATCATCTGCTTGGTCACAGTCCCACTTCTCTTGGGTGCTGGATTTATGCAATTACGATCTATCGCACACTTTCGCGAGCGCCATGCTAGCGCATTTTTAACCTCTATCGCCATAACAGTCGAAGCTGTCTCCAACATTCGAACCATTGCCGCACTATCTATTGAGGCTGAAATCATGCAGACGTATCGCCGCACGCTGAAAGCACCCCGAAAAGAGATGGTTATGCAGAGTATCAAATCCAACGTTTGGCTCGCAATTGCAAACTCCACTGGAAACATTATATATGCGTTTGCGTACTGGTGGGGTGCGAAACAGATACTGGAAGGCAGATACACCCAAACACAGTTTTTCATCATTCTCGTTGCTATGCTGGTGTCCGCACAACTATGGGGCCAGATGTTTACACTTGCTCCGGAACTTTCTCGGGCTAAATCTGCTATCTCACGAATCGTTGGACTTCTCAGCCTGGAGACGAGCCTGTCTCAATCTAGGTCAGGGATGTCTACCCCCGACCCCGATAATCTGGATGAAAAAGGAGCAGACGATATTGAAGCAAATGCCGCTTCCCCCATACTCTCAATTCTGAGGCATGGTGCAGCTGTGGAGTTTCGCCAAGTGTCTTTCTCGTACCCAGCGCGTCCAAAAGTCACTGTAATCAACTCTCTCTCTCTCTCTATCCATCCAGGTCAGTTCTGCGCTCTTGTAGGGCCATCAGGTGCAGGGAAAACTACGATATTTGCTCTTCTAGAACGCTTCTACAACCCTTCATCTGGAAGTATATTGCTAGATGGGGATGACATATCGCGCCGCACGACTACGAGTTTCAGGGAAGAGATTGCGTACGTACCGCAGGACAATGTTCTCTTCCAAGGGACTATTAAATTCAACGTCTCGCTCGGAGCGCGACCTTACCATTCACCAACGGACGCAGACGTTGAAGAAGCGTGCAAACTGGCCGGCATTCACGACGCAATCATGAGTTTGCCAGATGGCTATCAAACCGATTGTGGATCCAATGGGTCACAGCTATCCGGCGGCCAGCGCCAGCGCCTATCCATTGCCCGAGCATTGATCAGGAAGCCAAGGCTGCTACTTCTGGACGAGAGCACTAGTGCCTTAGACGCAGAGAGTGAGAGGGCATTCGAGATGGGGCTGGATAAGGCTGTTAAGGGTAATGGAGTTACAGTCATTGCCATTGCTCACCGATTAAGGACGATTGTGCGGGCTGATGTGATCTTCATGATCGACACAGGGCGGGTTATTGATCAAGGTCGGCATGAAGATCTGGTACAACGAAGCGAGAGGTACCGCGTTAATGCTCTCCACCAGATGATGGAATAGGCGGATAATACCGTTATGGGTAAACGAACTAAATCTCACACTGAGTGTTGCGGTTAAGTTCGACCGTTGTCTTGCGCTGTGGCAATCTTTTGTGTTTATTATTCACTCAAGATCGATTCAATCTAGAAGCGCCGAACCTTTTCCCTCAGGAACCCAGACCATCAAAGAGACCTCACAGTCCTCGCTTTCGTGGAGTACGTCCTTTGAATGTGTGATTTCGTCCTTTAAACATCTGAAATCCTAATTTCTCACACATGTGGATACCTTCCTTTGAGCTTTCCAGATAGATGGGTAGTCCAGTCTCCTGCACAATTTGAATTCCCCCTTCTGTAAGCTTAGTGCCCACACCTCGCTTCTGGTACGAGGGATAGACAGTTATTAAGTGACATCCTATCTCTGGATCAGCGACATGACCCCGCAAACGTCCCCTCATCGATGAAACCCGAAAATTCAAGAAAGCATGGGAATACACTGGAAGACGGTACGTACAAACATATCTTTTGCTATTCACAAACGCTCTCTTGCCTCCCAAAGAGGAGAGGGTAGTCTTTCGGCCCTTACTTTCTCCTTTTCCTCCAACCAGGCTACGCCCTCCTTCTTCCAATTATTCGGATGTACGTAGACATCCCATAGTGTCATTCCCATCACGCTCCCCGTCTCGCTGTCCACGCATTTTAAGATGTATTGCGTAGCTGAGGTCTACCAATATGAAAGAGTGTGGGCTATATGGGCTTTGCGGAACTCGGACCCCGAGCTGGTGAGGTCGGAAGCTGTGGCTAATGAGAACAGTGCTGAAAGGATTGAGGTATATCTGAAAGCTTCGAAGTACACATCGTATACGGCAGCGATGTCAGGAATGAGAGCGGGAAGCGCCACGAAACCCATCGCTTGCGCAGAGACTTGACAGTGGATACGAACACGATGTTTGCCAGATAGGAGTGAAACGATGCGACATGCTTCTTTACAAAAAAGACGACTGGGGTCAGATCAACTTAGACTAATAAATTACCACAATTTTGCACATGAACCTATGATCTCCAGCCGAGCTGCATTCTGGGAGACTTTGTCCCTGCGGCACCCTCACCTCGGGCTCGCATGCGTTTTGTTCGCACATCGTCTCTACCTCGCACCGATATCGGTAATTGAGCTTCATGGCAGACTTTTCGCTTCTAATCGTGCCATTGTGCAGGGTCGGCTTGTCGAAAATCTCTGAAGAAGGCGAACTACGCAATTCGGAAAAATATATCCCTGCGGTGAACTCCGTTCCAAATAGCAGCCGGAGTTAATTAGATCAAAGCTTTTACACTACCCTGTAGTTCTCCTGGGCTGAAGTTCACGCGCATCAGCGTTAGCCTGGAAGAGGCAGGTCCGAATGCCATGGTGGGTGGGATTAACGTTATCAGATGCGCTCTAATTCACCTCTGAATTATCTGATCCGCTTTTTGTGGGGAATCGGACTTGGCGTAACTCTTCCCTTCCCGACCATGCCAGGGGTCGAAAACGCCCTAACGTTTCCTTACACCCTTTGCGCACCCATTATCTGTTTCACGCGCGTATCGCGGAGTCCATGTATTCCGATTATCTCTCATTTTACGTATCAAGTCTTGTCTTCCCGGCTTTGACTATCCTCCTTTCATACACACCCCACGATGACGAAATGGACTAAAAATAAAAATCGAGAACTCGGTGCAAACCCAAAACGACTATCCTGGCATTTTCAGAGCTTCTCTCCTGGTCAGCAGGTGATAGTTTCGTGATGGCGGGCTCGTTCCGCAACAGGGATGAGGATATTGATCATCAAGGTAAACCCGCAGATGCCCGCACCTTACTGTCAGACCCTTCTCTACCTCTCATCAACTTTTAGAGTTCTGAAAGATGCACCCTCGAGGAAAAGAAACCTCGCAGTTTGGTGATAGTAAAAGATGTGTATCCAAATCGGGTGGCCCATCAATTGGAAAGGTCGACGTCAACGTCGAAACTGTAAGCCAAGATCGCGTGTGGACTGATGAAGCTGTAATAGCTATTCCCGCAGGTCAAAACCACAGGGCTACGTTAGAAACTGTTTTAGTTGCCTGGATTCTTCTCCTGTATCGATATAATGGGGATTCAATCACCGAGTGCACATGGGGATGGGGCGGAACGGAAGAGGTGGAATTCAAGCGTCTCGTGGTGAATAGAATCGAGGGCTTTAAGGCAGTGCCAGATGTTGCAAACGTTGTCCACAATCATCTTTTAGCACTGGATCCTTTCCTAAGCTCTCGATTTGCAGTGGTAGTTCTTAACGATGGAGGTAGAGACGATGTGAGAGAACTCCATTCTGATACGGAAATAATTATTCTGATCCTGTTTCTAGTGGAATTTCCGAGTATCCGTACGTTTACTGTTCCAGGAACTCTACATGGAATCGCATTGGAAGCCACCAGCTATGTCGGAGAGCCAAGCTCTCACTCAATTACAATACTTCTCCAAGATCCTGGCCACCATTTTCCAAGACCGAGATCTTTCTCTTTCCAGGATTGCGGACATCTCCCAGGAAGAATTGTCCCAGATTTGGAGTTGGAACACTCCCTTGCCGCCGACAATCAACCAGTGCATGCACGACATCATCCGTGATAGGTGTTTTCAGTGTCCAGAGAAAGTAGCGGTGGATTCCTGGGATGGGAAACTCACGTATGCGCATATCGAGCGCTATTCGACAGAGTTGGCACAGAATCTTCTGTTGCTTGTCAAATCGCCACAGACCATCATTCCTCTGCTCTTCGAAAAGTCGCGCTGGACAATTGTCGCATTACTTGCAGTTATGAAGGCAGGCGCCGCATTTGCACTCCTCGACCCAGCGCAACCAGAAGGCAGGCTTCGCGCCATAGCCAAACAGATATCCGCGCCTCTTATCGTCACATCCAAAGCGCAAGCAGCGCTAGGGTTTCGAATAGCAACTGGCGTGACCATTATTCCGATCTCCGAATCCAATTTTACTAAAATTGATCAGCCTTTTTCATCGCGGCAGCCAATTATATCTCTCCCTCCCGTTCCACCATCCGCGCCTCTCTATATTCAATTCACGTCCGGTAGCACTGGAAAGCCCAAAGGTGTCGTCATCTCACACAGCAACTACACTTCTGGTGCAATACCCCGTGCCTACGCTGTAGGGTATCGATCGCACACCCGATGTCTCGACTTTGCGAGTTATGCATTCGACGTTAGTATAGACTGTATGCTCTGCACGCTTGCAAATGGTGGCACTCTTTGCACTCCCTCGGAAGAAATGCGCATCAATAATCTCAGTGGTGCAATACGAGATATGAAGGTTACTATGGCACATATGACTCCTTCTGTAGCACGTATCCTTGACCCAGACGTTTTATTATCACTGGATGTACTCGGCTTGGGTGGAGAAACTGTATCTGCTAGTGATGCAGCAAGTTGGGGTGCAAATACCAAGGTTGTGATTGCCTACGGGCCATCAGAGTGCACGGTGGGCTGCTCCGTTAATAACAATGTTAATGGGAGTGAATATACGACTATTGGGAAGGGTGTTGGAGGTATAATGTGGATTGTTGACCCTGCAGATCATGACCGGCTTGTCCCTATTGGTGCTATCGGAGAGCTGTTGGTCGAGGGTCCCATTGTCGGAATCGGATACCTCAATGAGCTGGCGAAGACACAAGAGGTATATATTGAGGATCCTGAATTTCTACTTACTGGAACCGGAACAATACCAGGACGACGCGGTCGGCTATACAAGACTGGCGATTTGGTTCGATACGACCCCGATGGTCGAGGAGAGATCGTCTTTGTCGGGCGCAGGGACCAGCAAGTCAAACTCCGAGGACAGCGAATTGAGCTGGCCGAGATCGAGTACAACATGCGGAAACACCTCCCAACAGGGACGGAGGTAGCAGTAGAAGTCATTAAGCCCGGCGGATTCGGTGAACCAACTCTCGTGGCTTTCCTTACAGAGGGGAAAGAGAACGGAACTCGTTGCCAAAACGGCGATCTCATCTCTACATTTTCGAAAGCCCTCAGAGAGAGAATGGATGAGATGGACGTCTGCCTTGCCGCTGATCTTCCGGCATACATGGTTCCTTCAGCATATATCCCATTGCACAATATGCCATTGATGGTATCATGCAAGACTGACCGAAAGCGTCTGCGGGAAATTGGAAGTGTAATACCGAGAAAGAAGCTGAGGAATTTCAGTTCAGCGAAATCTGAAAGGCAAACACCGTCAACGGACATGGAAAGAAACCTGCACCGACTTTGGAAGGCTGTACTTAGCGGACATGGCGACTTCGGGACAAAAGACAGCTTCTTTGCGGTCGGAGGGGATTCACTGCGAGCCATGAGGCTAGTGGCGGCCGCGAGAGATGCAGGCATTGCCTTGACAGTGGCTGAGGTTATGCTCCATCCAACTCTTTTCGCAATGGCCACCAAAGCGCAGGTAATCCATGGAATGGTGCAACCGGATGTCGCTCCGTTTTCCTTGATCGACTTGATGTGGGATGCGGAAGATGCTCGTGCGCAAGTTGCTGAGCTATGCCAAGTATCATCATCGTGTATTGAAGACATATATCCATGCACGCCGCTTCAGGAGGGTCTGATGGCATTGTCTGCGAAGTTTACGGATGCCTACGTCGCTCAGAGAGTCGTCGAGCTGCCGAATATCGAGACAGCCCAAGCCCTTTGGAGGGCGTTTGGAAGTGCTGCTTGCGACAGCCATATCTTGCGCACGCGGATCGTGAGCATCCCTGGTCGAGGCCTTTTCCAAGTCGTGGTGAACAAAGTGGAAAATATTAAACTTGCTTCAGATCTGTTCACATATCTCACCCAAGACCACGGCAACCCTATGGATCTTGGAGACCCACTTGTACGCTACGCAATCGTCGAAACTCCTGGAAGCTCGAGCGTGCATTTTGTATTGACAATACATCATGCTCTGTACGATGGTTGGTCAATGCCGCTAGTCGTCGAACGCGTGAATCGCGCATATCAGGGTCTCGAAACGGAACGGCCCTCATCATTCAAGGACTTCATCAAATATCTTATTGGATTGGACCGGCCTGTCTCAGAGGCATATTGGAGGGAAAAGCTGAAGGGCGTGCATCCCGACCAATTTCCTCTTCTACCGCATCCTGGATACCAAACCCGCGCGGATTCGCTTCTCGAGCATTATATCACCATGAAAAATTCTTCATCTCCGTACACCATTGCTACCATAATTCGGGGCGCGTGGGCACTGACAACCTCATTATATATGCGATCCTCAGACATCATCTTTGGCGAAACCTTGACGGGACGATCTGCTCCAGTGAGTGGTATCGATCAAATTGAGGGACCAATGATCACGACTGTCCCTATTCGCGTTCAACTTGACCTTGATAATTCCGTCTCCCAATACCTGGAACAACTTCACATTCAGACGGTGGAACAAATCCCATATGAGCATTTGGGGCTGCAACATATTCGTCGCGTTAGTCCTGACGCACGTAATGCCTGCGAACTCAGAACGGGATTGGTCCTACACCCAAAGGCGGGGAACTCCCATAACGAAAAGTATGATATCATGGATTCCCCAGCAAGTGGCCTGGTACCCTCGAATGACGATGAAGCGGCACGAGAAGCGTTGAAATTCAACACATACGCACTAATGCTAGTATGTACACTCGACGCGAGTGGTTTCTTAGTCATGGCGAGCTTTGACTCCCAGACAGTGACTACCGACGTGATGGAAAGAATGCTGCATGTTTTTGATAAGGTTGTCCTGGCCATGTGCAATGATTTGGACCAGAGACTCGGGGATGTCGCCGTGCTGACCGATGATGAGGAGAGAGGAGCAAAAATGATACGACAGAGCAGAACAGCAGGTCCAGCCTCTACCGAGAGGGTCTTGAATCGAGTGAATAACAGCCGGGTGGAAAATATTAAGGTGAAGGCCTCTATTCTCTTGGAACGGGAAGGAAGACTGCGGGAACTTTGGAGTCGTATCCTAAATCTACCAGCGATAGAGATTTCACCCACCGACACATTTTTTCAGCTTGGTGGAGACTCTATTGGGGCGATGAGACTCGTCTCTGAGGCGCGCCTTGCCAATATGAAGCTATCTGTTGCGAAGATCTTTGAACACCGATCTCTATCGTCTATGGCCATAATAGTGGAAGAGGTCTCTTCAATGCCACCAAATGTGATTGTGGAACCGTTTGCTGCACTTGGCCCCGAAAAGGGTATCTTCACCCAAGAAAAGGTCCGAGCTCTTTTGGCAAATCCCAGTTGGGAGATTACAAATATATACCCTACACGCCCGCTCCAGGAAGTCGCTGTCAATGGTACTGTGTTCTCTCCACGGTACTCTACTCGGTACGAGCTCATCTATCTATCTGGATCCGTTAATCACACTCTTCTGTTTAACGTATGTCAGAAACTTGTGGCCTATAATGAAATTCTTCGCACAGTATTTTTAGAAGTCTCTGGCCGTTGTCTTGGTGTCGTCCTGAAGACCCTTGAGGTTCCAGTCCACGAGATACCGATATCAGAAGGAGGAGATCTGCGAACATCCGCATTAGATTTCTGCAACAAGGACATTGGCGAACCGCAACTGCACGGCACATCGTTTGTTGCCTTCACGTTGTTGACATCTTCAACTGGAGAATCATGCCTCGCATTCCGCATATCCCATGCCCAATACGACGAGATTTGTCTTCCTATTCTCTTGGAACAACTTTCTGCTCTCTATTCTGGAACCGTTGTCGCCAAGACTGAGCCGTTTTCCAAGCATGTCAACCACGTGATTTTCAACAAACTTCAGGAAAGCATCCCGTACTGGCAGAATTTGCTCAAAGGATCGAAAATGAGCACTCTTATGTCTTCAGAGTCTCTTGTGGCACGAAAATCTGGGACTGTCTATTGCGACCTAGATATCTCTGGCCGGCCCAGGGAGATCACGATCGCAACTCTTCCGACGGCCGCTTGGGCTCTTTGTCTCTCACGCCGCCTTTCCATCTTAGATGTCGTTTTCGGAGAGGTCGTTTCTGGTCGCAACATTGATCTACCATCTGCCGATCGGATCATTGGGCCGTGCTGGCAATACATTCCAGTGCGAATTCAATTCCAATCGTCCTGGACCTACCGCGACCTACTTGAACACGTACAAGCCCAGCACATCGAATCCGCGGCGTACGAAGGAATTGGGCTCAGTGAAATCATTTCCAGTTGCACGGACTGGGATCCAGGAGAAATAACCTGGTTTGATTCTGTGGTGCATCAAGCGACAATTGGTGTTGAGACTTTGGACTTTGGGGGCGCGGAAGCTAGGGTTGAAACCGTGTATCCGCATGCGGAACCGCTGAGGGAGTGGAAGATCCAAGCTTTTGTTGAAGGCGATATAATGAGGGTTGAGATTGTCACGTTTAAGGAGTGGATTAGGGTTGCGGAGGAACTGTTGGGGGAGTTGGAGGAGGTGTTTGGGAGTTTTATGGGTAGACCTGAGGAACGAATTTGCTAACTGTCTTGGGGGTTGTTTATTTTCGAGTAGGCTTCTCTATTCTGCGAGTGTTGGATGAAGTAGGACTTATCATGTTAAGTCAAAGTCTTTGGCCAAGCCAGATATTTGAAGTTTTAATTACAACTGGAATCAATAGTTTGCCTTCGTTAAGGAAGAGATCCGACAACCTAACTCCCTAGATTTCTGGAATAGACAGGAACGCGCTAGAAAGCAGTTACTAGTGGTATCTAGGTGACGAGTGGATTGTAGTGGTAGCGGTGATGTAACGAGGCCAAGTCATTATCCAATAGTGTCTGAACCTCTCTATGTATCATGGGTGCACCTGGAGGCTCCACACCAAATACAACACTCTTCCACTTCGCCACCGCCCCGGCTTATAGATAACACACAAATAGATTGAAGGATGCAAATGAAGGCAGTCACTCGATACCACCACCCTTGATGATATTTCGTTTTAGGTACATATTGCATGGTAGTTAGTCAAGAACCCGTCAGAGGGAATGCGACCAAGTATAGATCACTTTGTAAGCCTGGAAGAGGCTAGTAATATATTGACAAGTGATGGGGCTGATGGGCTATGAGGCATATATACAAGCGAGAGCAGTTAATCCTTGAGTTGATTGAGCAGCCCTCCAGGTTGCAATTAAGTCTCACACTACCCAGCTCCTTCTTCGCCGCCTGTAGGAGAAAACTGACTACAGCATGTTTTGGCTTGACCGATGCTGTCTCTATCTCCGGACTCAAGGACGTCAATGCGGTGCAAGTTCTGTGATAACTTAGTCTTTTTGCATTCTACGCTGGGTGACAAGACATAGTACTGTTTTCGCCAACCATCCTCTCTTGGCTCTGAAGTGTAAGCAAGACACAATTGGTTCGTGTTGACAAAAAAGCCACTGGCAGCCTCTCATGAGATAATAATGCATCACGGGCTTTGATACCCAAATAAGTTCACATTATTTCAATTGCTATAAAGGCGTTACACGAAGGCAGCTAGGATCTAGGTGAACTGTGGATTATTCAAATTTCGGTCCGCAGAGTAATCTTCGCTAGAAAATGCTATTCACGCATAATACGTATGGAATAGACTCGTGATTTGTAAGTTCCAAGTTGCCTGTTCAAAATAAAGGCGAGCCTGCAGCCGGCGCAATTGGAAGGACTGGGTTTTGTTGTCTCGCGTAGGGCATGGTAAGTATCTTCGGAATAAAGCACTGCTCGAAATCAGCACTCGTATAAGGACATCGATCTCCCTGGTGGGGAATTTATGCACAAATTCATTGTTAGTTAGCTTTCTACTCGTAAGTTGGTTAGGTGATGAGAAAAAGGGGCGAGGGGTAGGGCTTGAACTTGCCTCCGCTCTAGCTCGAGGTTCGGAGCGGGTTCACGCTTCTCCGGCGGTAATGGGACTGAGGCCATTACATAATCGCGGCCCTTTCCGAAATCATCATGGAGCAGCGACACACACGACTCTCATAATTTTGTTTCCATAGACCCCACTCTACTCTCTACCTATGGTCCCTGGAACGATTGTCGAATGCCACTGAATCTTTGTAGATCAACCGTAACCACAGCATCGTACCAACTAGCGACTATAATGTGTGGCGCGACCTTCCTCAACTGACCCTCGTTTCTACACTTCCGACGCCCTCTATACACACAACGCCGGTGATGGGGGTTGTAATTTTAATTGGTGCAACTAGGTACAGGATGTAGGATCTAGTGGCACAGTAGCAATGACTAAGGCAATAATGCGGAGATGGCGAAGGATTAATGGGAAACAGCGGAAGAGGACCTGACTGGGACTCGTCGATAGTCTACTTCGGTCGCGACTCCCTCGTTGGGGATAGTTAACACGAACTGCGTTCCGTACTAGGCGGCCCCGGAAATCAAAATCCACGACGGCTGAATCCCTTCGTGCTTGATCCCGTCGCGCGTCTATGAACCCCACCGATCGCCCTCTTTTCATCGCACAAAAATGAAGTGTGCGCCAATTAAAGGTGATCTCTAAGCACCCTCGAATGGTCTCCGATGGGTTAAGTCAAGCTGGCCCTACCTAACTCCCTCTAGCGTTGTCGGGCGACTGCGGGCACTTTACAACAAAACATCGCTGTATTGAGAAATATGTCCGAAATAGAAAGTAGGATGAAAGCTACTCTCTTCCTAAGGTACAGAGGGAATGGAAGAGAGGTGCCTGAGATGGACCATAGTATGTCTGTAGGTCAGTCGGATGAAGTCGTTACGAAAGGCAAAAGATAACTTAAGCTGGTGGACCACTGCGCAAGTTATCGATGTACCGGCATAGTCTTTCCGAATACAAGCGAGTAGGGGAGATGGTCGGGGTTAGAGGATGACAATGGGAGTCGGTGGTCGAAATCCGAGACGTTTCTGTCACCCGCGGAATACAGGCGCGAGATGCCGCCTTTGAAACCCTATGAATTTCTTCCTGCCGTCGATCACACATGCTCCCCACTATTTCCCTTGAACAAGCAAGTTAAAAATATAGACACTTATCACACAACACGGAGCATGTCTAGGATGGTAAATCTGCTGAGCTTCTTGCTGGAATCCTGGAGAATATCAGCATTAAAAATTTCTGCTTGATACTCTAGCATAGAACTCTTCATTTTCGTTTCCCAACTCAACGGAACCGTCGCGCTGTCATAATCTCAGCCTTGTCGAGTGCCAAGAGGATAACATTCGATGTCTTTTCAGCCGCACTTAATATTTGGGGGCCGGCGCTAATTCATTTACCCCTCCACAGGCAACAGGGCTAGATTTGACGACCTCACACTTTTGTCTCCCAACATCGGCCAGCCGGATCGTTGTTGAGCACAATTCAATAATCCAAGCTTCTTCGTTCTGGTAACTATGGCCGAGTGGGAAGAAGTTGAGGAGTACCAGACTTTCGGCTATATTGATGACCGGTATTTGTCGGCAGATTCTGCCTCAAGACGTCCTCTCTCGACAAGACGTCCTCTTTCAAGGGGTCCCCATGAAAGAAGACCTTCATTACACCGTCGCTACCACTCTGACAACGAGGCCATCAGTGACAGGGGATCTGATTTCCCGGATTTCCATGACCCGGAGTCACTACCTATGCGAGCACATCCCATCTCTGTCCCCCGAGTCCCGTCGCCTCCTATTCCGAACTGGCCACGGCTACACGGAGAAGTATCTAGAACCAAACAAATTCCCTCACCTCCTCCGCTACACCGAGGATCAAGGAAGCGAGTCCCATCGCTTCCCCCACGCAATCGCCGTGCATCCTCCCCGCCTTCTAAGTTTAAGCAAGCCTCATCGCCTCCACTATTTAGCCACCGCAGAAGCTCCATTAAGGTTTTGCGACCGGCACGTAGCCGTACCCCCCGACCATCTTCCCCAGCCGACGATGATGCTTACTACTACTCGGAAAAGCGTAGTCAATCCCCAGGAATGAAGTCTCGCAGACACGAAAGAAATTCGTATCCTGTCCCCGGCGGTTTCCCCTCTGCTCCAGGAGTGATTCTACCAGAAGATTCTCGATCGGATGTATCAACATCGCGCTTCGGGTGGCGACCTTGGTCTACTAAAACGCCTTCCGCAGCTACGTCAGGCTCAACATCTAGACCGTCCGCCTCCCGAACATCATCTTCTGGAGTGATTGGTGATAAAATTTACCAGTATAATGAGCTTCGAGAGTTAGAGTTCAGACTGATAAGGATCTTACCCGCAAGGATGTCTACAATCAAATGCGAAATCCTTCATGCGTCGCTCGAAACCCCTCCCCACTATATCGCCATATCCTACGCATGGGGAGATGCTAGCGATACACGGAGAGTTATCCTTGAAAGTGTCAGCATTCCAGTTGCCGCTAGCCTCCATGGTGCTTTGGAAGCTCTTCGAGAAAAGCGAGAAACTGTTCTGGTCTGGGTTGACGCGCTCTGCATCGATCAGCAGAACAGAGACGAAAGGACTCAGCAGGTACAAATGATGACACGGATCTATAGCAAGGCAGATTCTGTGGCTATCTGGCTGGGTCCAGAGGCAGATGACAGCAACCTAGCGGCGGCATTACTGGAAGAGGTGGCCTCGAGAGCCGACTCTGTGAAGGACGTAAAATCTCTCATATCTGCAGGGGTTGGGAAACCAGATTTTGCCGCCGTAGTCTCGCTATTTGAAAGAGACTACTGGAGGAGGTTGTGGGTTGTTCAAGAGGTCTTCAATGCCAAGGATATTGTGGTCTACTGTGGCTCCACCAAGCTACCCTGGGATGTTTTCAGACTAGCATCGCATGTCTTTTGGCGCCACAAAGACGACCTCGGCTACTATTTTCCCGGGGGGAATAACCAGAAAGTCTCTCAGAATCAGTCTACTTACTCGCAAGTTCTAGTGTACCAAGGCCCCGGCAGCTTTCCGGACCTTAATTCTCTCATTGGCTTCGGCGAAGAATCCCTCCTCGAGGTGATGCGAGCATGCAGAAGAAAGCTTAGCTCAGACCCTCGAGATAAGGTCTTTGGGATTCTAGGCGTCCTGCCACAAGAGATTCGCAGCGAATTTGCTGTTGACTACACCTTGTCCGTGAAGGACGTATACATCAACGTTGTGGATTACATCCTTTCCACGACGGATAGCCTCGACATTATCTGCGAATCCATCCATTTTCCCCTTCACACGAGCTCGGCCAGCCTACCTACGTGGGTGCCGGATTGGTCATACATGCCTGAGACAACCGCTCTATCCCGTATATGCGACTTCTCTGCTGCAAGCACAACCAAAACCGAATGCAGATTTGCTGATGAGCGGCGGAATAAAATTGAAATTTCCGCTATATACGTCGATACAATCATTCTGCATGGCATTGCCGTAGGAACGCTCTGCACATTGGCTGATTACCTCATGGCTTTCCTTCATTGGCGTGCTTTGCTATTGGACAGCGGAGACAACGAAGAGGAACACTACAACCTACTCGTGCAGGACACATTTTGCAGGACTTTATGTCTAGACCAGGTCCCTTCGCAGTGGGACAATTCCACTGACTGGCTAACTGTCTGCTATTTTGTCTTCGCATCCTTGATCCGCGATAGACTGCCGCGACTTTCGCTTGATCGAGAACTTCGTCGTTACGCTAGTGCAAAGGTGAATATCGATTCGGGGGCCCGGCGACAATTTCTTCAAGAACATTTTGGCTCAAGAATGATGGGTCGCTGTTTCTGTATCACCGAAGAGGGTCGCATGGGTATCGGGTCGGGATTTATGGCCGTTGGCGATGTCGTTGTTGTGCCGCTAGGCTGCTCCACTCCTGTCATCCTCCGTCCAGAAGGCAATCGTGGGGAGTATCGGTTCGTGGGCGATATTTACATCAATGGATACATGCATGGGAAAGCAGTGGAGAAATGGAGAAGTGGGGAAAAAGAGTTGCAAAAGTACGTTCTCCATTAATGAGGCTCATCTGCGGTAGGGTACCACATCAGCAATCCCAGCGGACAAAGTCGTGAGCTGTCGGTACACACAAGATATACTACGGGGTGTGCTAATGTGTTGGGGGATGAAGGTTTATGTCCAGCGCAACATCTGCGTGGACGGAAGTCCAGGGACACATTGTTGCCGGGAGAGGCGAGACTTCTCCGGAATTAGATTGAAACCAATAGCAGATTTAACTTAGAGTCAAATATGAGTGTTGGGAAAGGCAATTTCAACAGTTCCGAGAATTTTCTCCCGTTTATTCATTCGTGTTAGTACTGCACGATGTTCATCGTCAAACTTTTAGACCCTAACCATAAGGGCAAGAGCCTGAGTGAAGGGCAGAAAAATGCCCCCAAGACGATCTATCTCAGAGAGCCTAGATAGAGCTGATAGAGGGCATGTATAGAGGGGCGAGCAAACAATTAGGTGTTGTGTTGCGGCGCGGTGATGCCCAAAGGCTGAGATGCTGGCTGTGAGCGCTATGTCAAGCAGGAAGGGCCAAACCAAGGGACAAGAGGGTAATGTTGGGCAAAGGTACAAAGGGAAGGCACTAATTACTAGGATTAGATAACGTATTTCACAAGCGAGCGGTGTACAAAAGCAAACATTCTACCCTAACAAAATTTTAGCACTTTAACGTACCCTACAGGCAAGTTGCTTACACACCTAAGTTACTTACTTTTACTAAGACTACAATAAACTACTCTTTTAATATAAATGCATTTTTAACAACACTACTTAAATATATTAAAAAAATATTAAATATAGCTTATACCTTAAGCTTTTAAATAAAATATAATACTTTTTAAATAATATACTACAGCTACTTATAAAGTTTTTTAAAAAAAAAATAATAAATAACTAACACACTAAATAACTTTTATAAGCTAATTCTATAGCTAATTTATAAAGGCTAGATAATAATAAAAACTAGGTAATTATTAAGCATATACTTAAGCAAGATGTGTAAGAATTTTCCTCTTAGCTAGTAGCTATATGTCACGGTTATGTTACAGCTATCCAACCCTTGAGTGTAACGATCCTCATGAATCGTTCCATCTCGAGTCGCCCGGAACCTCCGGAAGGCCCTCGTGTCGGCCCCGACCTCGACCTGGCCCCGACCCCTGCTGTTACCCCTATTCCCTTATGTATTTAGTCGCACCTCGCCTCTGTAGCTAGCTCAGTAGTTTTCTGATATCCTACGTACAAGGCCTATAGGTGTCATTAGTATTCCCAGGTCTCTAAGTCCCCACGCACTCCCATATGCCTCTAAGTAGATTCATACCGCATTTAGACCTATTGTCTTGCCTGCGCTGTTACATTATATTAGAAAACTTGCTTTCGCTAGTAACAGCCTTATTACAATATCGCATTAATTGTCTGTTTAACTACGTCTAAGCCTAAGACGCGTCTAATTTAGTTTAGGTCACAATCCTCTACACTGTTACATTAAATTACTTAGTCTATAGACTAGATCCTATTAACCTCTAGTTAACTAAAGCCTTTAGGTTTAGAACTTCCTATCCCCTGCAATTAGGATTGCCTTTAGAAAAGTTGCATAGAGGCGCTAAGGTAGAAACTTAGAGACTACTAATAACCCATTAGAATTAGAGGCAACTGCTAATGTCTGACCAACCACCCCCTGACCCCAGAGTCAAACACGCTCTAGCCAAGCCATACCACCACCCCGTCAACAGCTGAACCTGCGTCCGCGGGACCCAAAGCTATACCCCACCTAATTCAGAGTTAATGCATAGCAACAACGTCCTAATAGACCTCAATCAACCACCAAATCACCCCCAATAATGCCTTAAATCATCCCTGCTACGTCAATAGCAGGGGACCTTTTAGGCACCCCTAACAATGCCTTAAATCATCCCCGCTACCTCAATAGCAAGAGACCTTTAAGGCACCCCTAACAATACCTAAATGTCACCTTACTAAACGCACGCTAAAGATTAATAACTGCACAGATAGCAAGGAACAATTAGCAAGCCTTAATTATTAACAGGCTGCGCATCTATACAGATCACTATTAGAGTAGGCACGCACGCATGGCGTTTAGTTTAGAGGACACCGCTGGCAGTGCAAAGGAATACTTAGCAAGGACACCTAGCTAAATTAGACCAGTTTTAGTTTAAGGATGCAGAGGACATAACAGCAATACTTTAAACTATAACTACTAATAGGGACTATCAGTCTACAGAGGGGGGGGTAGTGTAACAATCCTCATGAATCGTTCCATCTCAAGTCGCCCGGAACCTCCAGAAGGCCCTCGTGTCGGCCCCGACCTCGACCTGGCCCCGACCCCTACTGTTACCCCTATTCCCTCATGTATTTAGTCGCACCTCGCCTCTGTAGCTAGCTCAGTAGTTTTCTGATATCCTACGTACAAGGCCTATAGGTGTCATTGGTATTCCCAGGTCTCTGAGTCCCCACGCACTCCCATATGCCTCTGAGTGGATTCATACCGCATTCGGACCCATTGTCTTGCCTGCGCCGTTACATTGAGCACCCTAAGGGCTTGGCAAGGGGTATATAGACTCCTCGGCCTCTGTACCTCTGCATCCGACCCTAAGGTTTACTCTCTCTTGTTACCCCCCTATCCTACATTCCCTCTCTGTGACCTGTGTTTCCTGCTTAATACCTCTTAGATTGTAAACCTTTACATATCCCCTTAGAATAAGCAGTATGCGCAGCGTAGCTAGAGGAGGCTTAAAACAAGCTAAGTTAAATAAGCTTAAGCATTATAACTAATAGAAAATGCAAGTACCTTTTATTTTTAATTGTTAGCTTGCAAGCTGCCTATTTACTAAGCTGCTTATGCCCTGTTATTAATCTAAGCCCTTGCTAGCTACTTTGCGTACGCGTACTAATTAAGCGCTTAAGCTCTTAAGCAGATACAGTAGTAGTAGTAGTAGTAGTAGTAGTAGTAGTTGTTATAGTTAAATGCAGAATTATTATTAGCTGCACTAGCGCTAAGAACCTTATGTTTTAGCGTAAAACACCTTCTATTTTATTAAAAAGTGTAGCATAGATAGCTTTATAATGCAACTGCTCTTAAGCTCTAGGTAGCTTTAGGCAGTACCTAAGAAGCTTTTAGGCTGTATCTAGATTACCTTTAAGCCTTCTAGAATGCTTTAGGCTATACCTAGTTTACCTCTAGGTGTAAGGCCGGATGTCCCAGAACGGGCCAGTATGGCCTCACCTGACCTGTTTGGAGGTCGTATGACCTGTGCTTCGTATATAAGCATGAATCCTGACAAGCGAAGCTTGGCAGCGATTCGTCTCTCTTACAATACACTCCTATCTTTCTCCGAAAGCTTGCTCTCAGTGCTATCCGTGCTACTTACCATCCCATCTTTACACTAGGCTGTATCTAGATGGCCTATAGGCCTGCAATTGCCTGCTAGCTTTGTAAAGTTACTGTTACAATCCTTGCTTCGTGGAAGCACGCGGGTCAATGTTATTCCTTATGAGGTAGAACGGAGGGTAGGGGCCGACGGCAGGGTGTACAGTCCTACGTAATGGCTATTAGGCTAATAGAGTGGGGTAGAGTGACTAGATTGTAGTTTGTCCCTATAGCAGCAGTATAGTAGCTAGGTTAAACAGTCTTGTTAGACAGAATTAAAGGTATATATAGTGTAAGATATATAAATAGTATTACAGCTTTTTAGAAAGCTAAAATGCTACTTAGTATCGCAACCGCTGATCAGGGAGCAATGAGGAGCAAGTCTATTGACTATGAGAGGCTCATAGGGAGCCTGCCTATGTAGTGGGAGCTCCGGCGCCAAGTGTCTCAGGCTGCTCGTCCGAAACACAGGCGCGACACTAGGATCATGTGCTCTCTTACGCGACACTTAGTCTATATAAAAATAAACTAAACATTAAACACACCTTCTTAAAAGTTATTTAAAGTTAAAACTATATACATGTTTAAGAGTGCTAAAAATAAGTTAGATAAGTTTACATACGTCTGCTAAGC